ACTCTGAAAACATCAACAAAGTTGAGGAATTTATCCCATACACCTATCAATGTGTCTGCTGCATAAGCTTGTGACCAGGTATCGAATTTATAAGGGTTTCTAACGTATGATAAGCCGACGTTCAAGCTCAGCTGAGCCAACATTATACTTGTGACATCCTCTTCATATAAATCCAAATTCACTTGAGGTTCCCGTGCAATGATCAGTTCATCATCCATGGGCAGCATCTCAGACTCCACTGCTGCATCGTTTGCGTCATTTTCTATATTCTCTTTCGATGGCAAATTTTTTGTTATGTCCGATTCAGGAAAGGATTCATTTGAAGAGAGAAGACTAGTGCATGATCTCAATTTCACATCACCGCTCGTTTTTAATTCTTTGTCCGAGGAGTCACATAATGATGATGCTGGTGGCCTCTGCCGAAAATCAAAACTGAGATGATCCGATGATGATGTCGCAGCGGGTAATGCAGTCGAAAAATCAAATCCTTGGCCAATTTCAGAGTGTTTCTGCGAATAATGAAAGCATCTCATTATCTTAGTCTACCACTGCTGATTTGGGACAATATGCAAAGTAACCAGCCTGCATTTACAAACATGGAATAGTTCTCCATCCCAAAACAGGGTTTGATCATGACAGAATCTAACAGATGCAGGGATGTATTCGACTTCTCTTTCGAAGAATCTCGATGGTGCAAAATGGAGCAATCAACGAAATGACGAAAATAAAGGAGAGGAGATCAAAAGTGAGAAAGGTAGGATGTTCACTCGGGAGGGGTACCTTAACATGTATGAAGGTATGGGGACGTGCCATTATTTTGGGGTACTTTTTTCTGAAAACTGCGGAAATATCGGTATCAGATTTTGAAATATGAAACATGCGGAGCTATGGGTATCCTTTGAAGAAACATCCAGAAACAATGGGTACCATTTTTGGAAAATACAGCAAAATTATTAGGAGAGAGATTTAGCATTAACAAAATGAATGTTTAGTTAGAAATGAAAGTACAAAATATGTGCAATATTGAGATTTTGGGGCAAAGAACACGCAAAATTTGTTTGATGATTTTGCTGTGCTTTAAAAATGATATTTGCTTTCCGGAATCATGCGTATAGTTTTCATCAAATTTGCGGAATTATGATTCAAATTTTTTCAGACATGTGCGGAATTATGACTTCACTTTCCTTTGGATGCTACTGTTGTGCCTAAAGGTATGATTAACGTATTATAAGGTATCGTCGCTAGATTTTAGAGAAGAATGTAAGTCCTGAGTTACAGTGGAAGGGCGACCAGGCTCACATCACATCCGAACATCATCCGCTGTTCCGCAACTGCCTACTGACATAAAGGTGTCACCCCTTTTTTATGTAACAATGAAAAAACAGTCATATTTACTTGCAGCTGTCTGATCTTTCCTCTGACTTCACCTCGAACAAGCTTTGGTCTTTCTGGCTTCTTCTCAACCTTGATATAGATAACATTGCCCATGAGGAAACCTCGTCTTATTTACGTACTGGATAAATTTATATTGTATCTTTCATTGTTTTTGTATTTGTTTCTTCCTAGCATACGAAGGTAGTTTTTAGGAAACTGGGAAGCTTATGCTTATCGTTTTTCATTTTTTTGCATTTTATAATATTTATACAGGTTAAAGGTTCATAAATATATGTTTTTCAACCTGACCTGTTTAAAAGATTAAAATAAGCGCTAATAAACATGTTATAATACTAATAACAAAAGAAATTTACCAACCTAACCTAATTTACAATATTTAATAAAACTAAGGCTATAAAAAGTGAACGTAAAGATGAAATAAAAGTTGTCCCCGACTATAGTTGTTCTTTGAAGGTTTTCAGGGAGTGGGCCAATTTGGTAGCCCTTTCTAGACCGTTCCACAGTTTTGGACCGCGATAAGAAAAAGCCTTTTGGCCATTTATCGTTTTTAGCAGCGGTTTTTTAAGATCAGTTTCTGATGAACGCAGAAACCGTTCTCTATCATCCGAACATTTTTCGAATAATTTTCTCAAGTAGTCTGGTGCAAGCAGATTTAAAGATTTGTAAGTTAGCATGGCTGCCTCCTTTCTTACAAGATTACTGATAATTGACCAGCCAAGTTTCTGCATTATCGGAGCAGCAGACGTATCGTATGGGCTGCTAGTTACAAATCTGGCAGCTCTATTTTGGATTTTTCGCAAGACATCAAGCTTTGATTCATTACAGCAGCCCCAAACGGAACAACAGTAGCTCAAATGGGGCTCAACAATTCCTCTATACATTTTGTTGAGTATGTCAGATGGAAGATATTTCTTAGAATACTTAATAAGTCCAAGGGCTCGATTAGCCTTGGTCTTGATAGTATCGATATGCTTGTCCCAGTTGAGCTTACTGTCTATCTGAACACCTAAGTATATTGTGTTGGTGATCATTTCAATGTCCTGATCACCTATTGAAAAAGAAAAAGATCGAGAAGTGTCCTTGTCCTTCCTCTCGATGTGACCACACCTTGTCATTCCTTCGCCTGGAATTACAGAGAGCTGGCGACTCTCCTCACTCTGGGTGAAAGTTTGGTCTCGCCAGGGGCTCGAACCATGGTCCCTTAGGTCTGTAGTCAGCGCCTATAACAACTGAGCCATCCTCGCACCAAAGTATGACAACATTATGATCTATGAATAACGTTCCCAATGAAGCCAAGGAATTGAGCATGAATTAAAATTCAACTACAGCCTATCATTTCAAAAGAAATAAACTTTATTGAATCTGAAGTTTTAGTAGACAAACTGCCTAAAACTCAAACTCATTACAAGTGAAGTGATCTCCAAGGCAGAGGGAATTAATAACCAAACGAACTCGCTTACCTCCCCTTTGTTAAAAAGTGATTGTTCACCAAGTTGCAGGTGTCTTTCCTAAAGAAATAAAATATATGATTTACACTAGTCTATTTGACTTGTCACACTTCATTTCATGGGCTCCGACAAAGGTTGAAAAGTGGGGGGGGGGGCCAAGGGAAAATTTAATACCCATAACAAAAGATTTTGAAAAAAACTCTATTGTTTTGCAAAAAAGTGGGGAGGCCAAGGCCCCCCCCCCCGGCTGCGCAGTCTATTAACATTATGAGGCTTCAATTTAAAACAAATTTTCTGCCTTGCTTATTTTCTAACTTTACATCCTTATCAAACTACGCTTGAAGATCGCCTGGCCCTCGATAATGTTAGCTGTCCAATCGCTTCAGTATTTCAATTGTTTTGGTACTTTCATTTCACCAGCATTACTTCTCTGCTCGAGCATTCCTACAGTATTAAAATGGCTTCAGTTTTCAAATTATTCCGACACTCCGATTTTATTTGTATTATTATTGCTCCCGTACCCAAATTATCCCAGTTTCCTTCAGTTCCCCATCGCTTTTCTTCCGTCCTACAGTATTACTAACACTCTACGACAGGGGTATCCAACTTACTTTGGGTGGACCATAGATCCATACGGCCCAGGCGGGCCAGATAAACGAGTATGTAAATTTTAAGGAAACTTCGTATCGAATAGCAAATTGATTAATAATTACAGTTACATGAAAAGTTACATGAAAAGTTACATGAAAAGTTACATGAAAAATTACATGAACAGTTATATGAAAAAATTATCAATGGGAAATAATGTTTTTTTGTTTGCGCAAATCAAATCACACATTAAACTGGAAGTTGATATGCATATTTCGTGCGAATGTTTGTCTGCAATCCATGATTGTAGCTTTGACTTGTTCAGCTTCATGTAAAAAATGTTTGTTCACAGACATATGTGCTCTCAAACGAGCTAGTGATTACTGTTTCAGGTTTGGAAATCTTTCATCACAAAGCTTGTGATACAATTTCACAAGAGGCTTTACAGGATGTAGTTGTTTATGGAGACTAAAGCACTGCAGACCATATGTTTTAAATCCCTACTCTAGAACACTGACTGCTCCATTACTCATATCAAGCAAGTATCACCAATGCTCCACTATGCTCAATATTACTACAATCAGTCCAGTATTACAACATCACTCTAGTGCGCTCATTGTTCAATTTCTCCAGCCATTCTAGCATTCCCAGTAACTGTACAAGTATTCACACTGCTTTGGTATTCCCAAAGTTTTCCCACAATTAGTGATCCTACAGTATTTCTCAGTTATTTCATTACTGAATACTATCACTCCAGTATTCCCACGTCACCCCCATTTCTTCATTATTACAAATGCTTCATTGCTCAAGTACATCTATTGCTCTATAAATAACTAGTCACTAAGCAACAATGCAAAATACAAGAGGTTTATGCAGGGGCTGCAGAAATCGAGGGGGCTTTAGCCCCTCAATAATTTTCAAAATGTACTAAAAACCATACAAAAATTCGCCTTGCTCATGGTTTTCAGCATGTTTAGCACCCCAAAGTTCTTGAGCCCCCTCAATTTTAAATATGCTCTGTGGTCCTTGAGCTCATGTTCAGCTGGGGAAACTCATAGTTTCAGGTTAGCTATAAGTATGCAGGGATGTATAGGCATTCTATAAAGTAGAAATGGAACCATTTTACAACGCTGCCCTGTATGATAAACATAATCCAGTGAAATCTACCTTAAGATGCAACTTTTTCAAGCTCGGGAATTGATGTAACAGTCTTTTTTCCTAAAACCAAAGAAAATTTATTAATAATTGCATTGGGTCCATCCATTTTCAGAATCAAAATCACTAGGAAAAAATGTAAAGAGATGGGCAAGATTACCAACAAGGGGAATTTCCATTGTAAAGATGTCCAACTTCTGCCCCTTGGTATGATGTTGTGGTTTGAAAATAATACAGCAAGAGCATCATTTATGATCAGCAGCCAATAGGAAATTTTTTAAGAAAAATTGCTTGAATTCCTCCTATACATGGTTTCATTCTGTAAAAGACAAGGGGCTCTATTCTACATGAAATCCGAATGTATGGCATACTTTGGTTTGATTGAAATCATCGTGTAAAATTTAAGGTAGCTTGATTTAACAGCCCTGTATAATTTTGCACAATGTTGTACAACTGTAACTACACGTGTGACTTTAAGTTGAGTCTTTAAGACCAGGCATCTAACCTTCTTTTAACAAATTGATTTTGAAATTTAAAAAAAAATAGCAAAAAAGCTTGCTGACAATCAAACTACACACAACCTTTGTTATAATCAATCAAGTCTTGTGAGGCAGCAAATACAAACAAAACAAGCTTTCAATTGAGTTTAAAATATGTGAAGCTAAAGCTGTTTTTGTGTGAGTGAGCCTAAGGACAAAGGGGATAATTAATCTTAACACAGCCTGCTTTCAAAAGAGCATAGTTGAAGAATTAGCAAACCAGTATCTGCTGAAAGAAAATCCAGCCTTAAACCATTTGAAAATCAATTCTAGGGTCTTTGAAAAAATTAGCAAAGTAATGATAAAAACTAATCTTCCAGAGAGCTGTGTTCAGTGTCTTAGGAAGGACAAAATTATTGGTGGTGCCATTGTTTGAGAACAATATAATCCAAGGGATTCTTCATTTGAAAGAAAGGACTTCAATAGTTTTTAGGGGACAAGAGCCGCCCCCTCCAGGGAAAAAAGTAGCTTCAGCCCTGGCCACTTGTATATCTAAAACAATTCCTTCAGAATAAAAATTTAAAAAATACCAAGTTAAATATTAATTTATATACAATTATCTAAAACTACAATCTCTGCCAAAAGTCTTTGAACACTGATGTCAGTTTCCAAGGTCAAAAGCAAGCACACCCCTCTGCGCCATGGAACAATATTCATTAACTATGAAAGGGGTTAGGATTTTATAAAGCACTTTCTTTTGTGCTTCTTTTATGATATTTCTCTAAATTATCAACATTGCTTTAATGGAAAGGGTGCAGAAGTAGCAATTTTCATTCGGAAAAGGAATGAAAGATTTAAAATGCAACGGAAATTGCCCAGTGTAGATAAGTACATTTGGCAGTCATGTAGATACCTCAAAAGATTTTTCAAACTTCACAGACCATTCATTTTCACTTTCATTATCCTTAAAAAAACACAAAGGTCAGGTAAGAAAATATCCAACGAAATTGCTAAGTAAATGTGCTTTTCAGAACTAGCAAATTTGTGTAGACTTATAAACCCAGCTTATGGTAGTTAGGAAGAATCTAGAAGATTTTTTATCTTTTCTAAAACAAATGAACCAAAATTTTAAAATGCTCATCAATAATTTGAAAATATATAACTGTAACTTAACTTTATAAGCTGCCTATAGCTTAAGTTCTTTTGTTTTCATTCCCCTACTCATTGTTGCTATTCCTGAAACCTGTACATTTTTTTGAATCTGCAACCATGGTTACTTGAAATCAGTGGCAGTGTTTAGATGAAAAAGTGAGAAAGGATGTTAGTACAAAAGATGGCCCATTCACTTCTTCTAAATTTGAAAACAACTTGTTGGGTAGGAATATATAAAATGTTCTAGCTAGTTACAAACAGTAGCATTATTATAGAAAAGTAAGGCAGAAGTGCAGAAATGATGTAGAGGGTGCAACTGTAATACAAAACAAACTTGATGGTTTGTAATCATAGGCATGTGAGACATGGGGCTGGAAGGTCTGCACCCCTCCCTAATAAGTCAAAATCTGCCGCAATTGGGACTCTTTTCGGGCAGTTCTATCACAATGGTGCAATAGTTTTCGGGCAAGATCAATTTTAAGCCCCCTAAGATCTGCTATGCCTATGTTTGCATTGGCTACACAAGTTAATTTCTCTAAACCACCACTGCCTGAAATCATAAAGATACCAAGTATTTGCGTTGTCCAGTGACGTGAACATGTCTTCTTTCACCTATATAGCAAAAAACACCAGGATATGCTGCTACTTCATCTGGGTCGAATTTAATCAAGCCATCAAGCTTTGCATTGGTGTACTTCACAGCAAAGGTGTTGCATATTACATCGCTACATAGCTTCCCATTCTCCTCTTCCAGAAAAAGATCCTCCTGCGTAAGTAAATAGTTAGATCTGTATAAATCTTTATGGCGGATAAAAAGTACAAATGAGTAATATAGTTGTATCAAAACAAAATCAATGGTAGGTAATGAAATTGCTTTTGAACCATTTAGCAATTAACTGTAAAAAATCCAATCGCTCAGATGCGAAAATTTTACCGTCCAAGGTCTGGCAATTCCTGAATCCATTGCGAGAAACGCCGTCCGACCGAGCACCGCATCCGTGGTATCTACCATTACTATGCCTTGCCACTTCCCGGAAAACTAGTCACGTGCTCCTCCCTCCTTGGGTCATTTCCTCGAGACGGACACTGATGATCAGAGGAGACAGATGATAATAGATAACAATAGCCAAAATGAGGTATCTTAAACCTCATCGTAATAATCAAAGTTGGCAGAGACAAAAGCGATAAGCTAATTATAGCCGACTATACAAAACGCATTAAAAGTTTTAATTACAAAAACTTAAATTTTAAATAAAAATTTTACACGGTTTACAACTGCAGTCAAATATTTTGATGGACTTCATATTTCTTTTTAAAACCCGCTATTGATTTGGACTCTGACTTCTCTTGGCAGATTCTACCATCATTTTTGATCAACAAAACTAATAGAGCCAATCATAAAGAAGCACCAAAACCTCAAGTACGGTGATAATATTAGCCCCTGTCCCTCTCGATTAAACAACCTCTTTAGTGTCAATGTTTTAATTAACTCTCCTCTCGAATAAACCCACCCTTTGTACCAGGGGCGGACTGGCTCCAATTTTAGGGCCCGGGCCAATTCGTCGAGAAAGTGCCCCAAAAATTAAAAATAAGTTTCAGGTATCCCAAAAGTTGTTTCACTTTTTTAAACTAGCTTAAAACGTTATTATAATATTGCTATTAATTCTAATTAGTAACCACCAGAGATGTAGGCGTAAGTGTAAAAGATTTACAAGGGGGATCCACAATCTTTAGTCCAGGTCAGCATCATTTTCACTGGAAATTTAATTCTGATGTAGGATAAGAGCGGAAAGAAAATCATGACATTGCGGGGAAAAAATTATTGTTTTCTAGCTGGGCCTTTAAAACTTTTAAAGGGGGGCCTCAGTGATAATAAACGGCGAATGGCATTTAGAGGCTCTGGTACCCAAGGTAGGACTTAATAAAATATCTAGGTTATTCAAGAAATATTTCAGTAATTCAAGAAAATCTTGATATGTAATTTTCCAGTCAAAACATAATAGAGACTGTTGTTTTTTCGATCATTGGTTGAGCAGCCAGGTGAATTAATTTGTTTAGCAGCCGCCAAGATGTGAACATCAGTAGCATAGGCAGGGATGGTGAAACGTTAATGAAGTAGGGGAGGGGGTACAATTTTTAGATTGTACAGGGCTTAAATAAAGGCCACCACCATGGTTAGGAATTCTGGCCGAATTCAAGAAAAAATTTAGAAATATGACGTTACAGGGATGGCAAGAAAATGCATCTAGATTTTTGCCATATTAAGTTTGACGACTTCTAATGTTCCGACATCTAATGCGAGACAAACTTATTATTGACTATTGTAATTCTGTTGAATTGTAAGCACCATCTGCAGTCTGGACCAGATGACTATATGTCCCATATTTTTTTATATGTCCTATATAAAAAAAGTTTGGCGAAAGGACGATCCTAGGCAATGCATGTAAGCTTTCATTTACAATAATTCCCCATTCCCTAATAGTTTCCAATTACCAAAAAGCCAATATCTTATTTCCAAGCTATATTTTTTAGCGACAAGCCCAGCATTTCCGAAATACATAACTTTGAACAAATTTGAATGCAATTATAAAAAATCCTGTCTTGTATATTGAAGACAGTAAATAAATGTTTTCAGTAAGAAACTTTCAAGAGTAACGAGTCTTCCTTTCTATGTTTAGATGTCAATTCATGTCTACATTTCTATGAGCGTAAAGCTTGTAATGCATCTAAGTCTTCCAGTTGTATCTCGTTCCTTTTTCTTGTTTAGTTTACAATGATAGACATCTAAAACGTATTCATTTTTGCAGGCCCGTAGACTACTAAACTGGAATGGGGCATGGATAGAAATAAAGCTTTTTCTATACCTGAGCTGAGGGGGTTGAGCCCTTTTGCTGTTTTGATCTATACTCTCAAATCTATTTGATTAGCGTTAAAATAATGTACCTTCCTAGAAATTGACCCACAAAAATTGTCATGTCCTTACCACCTTAACCTTTGATTAAATGAAAACATTGAAACTGCGGGCCTGGAAGGAAAATTTATCAGATTTTGCAACTTCCAGTTATGTATCGTATTATTGCATTAGGGACAGTGAGCCCTGGTCCCAGGATTCTCCTTAACTCCATTCTTGCAAACGTGATGAGAAAACTTCAGGGGAAGGGGGGGGTATGTACGTTATCTATATCGTCACATGTAAATGAAATTTCTTGGGAGACAACAGTTTCAAACAGGGCAAAAGGGCGTGGTCCAAAAGAGCATTGTCCCTGACACACCTTTAGTCCCCCCTCACTCATCCCAGGCTGAAGCCGCCACTGGGAAAAACTCAAGGCTTGAAAGCTTAAGAACAATGAACCAAACGTGTATAAACAACACAACAAAGAGGTGAGGCCGATAACGTCACACCTTTCCTCCAACAAAAGACAAAGTAAGAAAGCTATACCGTAATGTAATAGGTAATTTAGAAAGGGTCTTTGTAAAAATGTTGATTTCAAAAGTAGAAAGTTAATGACATGCTCAGTTCTTCTCTTTTTAAAAATGGTTTCAAGGTGGAAAATCCGGCAGATTGATTCTTCTACCACAAACTGGAGTTGTCTGTGGTCAGAGCGTATCTCTTAAAAACTGTTGATCCAAGTGGCTACAAGTAAGTTTTGACAAGGACGTGCAAAAGTCACAGTGTGTTAGATTTTTATGAAAAGCCAAAGAATAACAATAAAAGTGAATTTTCTCACGAGAAAAGGATTATCGATGTTATGTAACCTTTAAAAACAAAAAGTGCCAAATCATCTTTATTTCGATCTTGCAAAATGCAGCTTGATAATAAAGGGGATAACCAGTACGGCGATAAATAGACACAGTTTGAATTTCTATTTCAACATCTTTAATCAGATTGAATTGAGCGACTACTGAATTATAAGATTTATGAATTCAGTGAAAGATTCCTGTTACAAATCTAGGTGTGACAAAATCAGTTTTAAATAATTAGTAGACAGACGTCTATATTTACTAAGACTGAGTAGAGACTTACTGAGCATAAATTTGAGTTGCTTTTAAAAATACGCGTAAACTATTTGAAAACATATTGTATCTTGATCTTGTTTTAGTTTGCTAGCCATGTTTGCGATATGTTTTTTGTACAGTTGCAAATTAACTGGAAACCAGGTAGGTAGCAGTCATTTTACTGTACCAGTCAAATCTTTCAGTTTGGCTCTTACTTGAGATTGGCCAAATGATCTGACTGCAGTGAAAAAACCAACTCCAATAAACTAACAATTTATTCAAACAATTTATCTTCAGGAAACCGTAAATACTTTAATCATAGCAATGTGAAATCAAGGGTTCGTTTATTTATTAATATAAATATGACAATAAATATAAATATAGTATTTGCTTTCCTTTCGAAGATTCACGGTCATAGGAACCTGGATATAAGGGGTATATGATTGTCAGCGATTCCGCAGGCGCACATTATTTTGACGTCATGTTTTGGTTTATCGTTCAGTAAGTTGCTAAGAGATGATGTATTCGCACTAGAGTAATTAATATTTTCACCTTTTAGGTTTTGGACGCACATCTATTGATTGTAAGGATGTATTGTAGGGATTGGCACACATTTGTAAGGATTAAACGCACTACACCCATTTGTAAGATTTTGTATTTTCGTTGGTCAAGTAGTGATAATCTTGTAACGGTTTTTTGTGGGAATATTTGAGTTCGATAGTTTTAGATTGGAAATAAGTTGAAGAAAATGTTGAGTTCTTCGTGTCTTCTGGTCTATATGCTCCTTTCTGGTTGTGCCCCAAACTTTTCAACACATTCAAACTGTATTTTCAATTCATGCAGTGCTGAAGCCAGTGAAGGGTGGTTGACAGCAAATTTTTACATTGGAATCCCTGTGTTATTTGCATCCCTAAATTGGAAACCCTTGAGAATAACACAATTTAAAATGTAGAGACCCGATATTTGCCCCTACGGTTGTAATAAGCCTTATTTTTAAAAATTCGTAGATATAAGGTTAAAATATCTCTCTATCAACCCCTCTCTCTCCTGCAATTTTCTTCTCTTGCTCTACTTTTACGACACGAGGGCCCCCGCATTGAAGTACATGGCATTTGAGTCACATACACACAAGAAAAGAAAGAAATTGTACTGTGAATGAAAAGAAGCGTGTCATAAAGGAAAGAAAGCAAGTTTGCCGTCAAAGAAAGAAAGTCAAAGTGTGCTGGAGAACAGCGAGTTTGCCATGAGAGATAACGTGTGCTGTGAAAAAAAGAAAGAAAGAAAAGAAGAAAGAAAGAAAGAAAGAAAGAAAGAAAGAAAGAAAGAAAGAAAGAAAGAAAGAAAGAAAGAAAGAAAGAAAGAAAGAAAGAAAGAACGAAAGAAAGAAAGAAAGAAAGAAAGAAAGAAAGAAAGAAAGAAAGAAAGAAAGAAAGAAAGAAAGAAAGAAAGAAAGAAAGAAAGAAAGAAAGAAAGAAAGAAAGATAGAAAGGAAGAAAGAAGAAAGAAAGAAAGAAAGAAAGAAAGAAAGAAAGAAAGAAAGAAAGAAAGAAAGAAAGAAAGAAAGAAAGAAAGAAAGAAAGAAAGAAAGAATTTTTATGCTACTGTTGACTTAAAGTCCTTCCTGAAACAAAAAAAGTAAAGTAACAAAGAGCATTTCAGGTTCAAGAAATGGTTGATTCATAGAGCAAGCTCGTTGTGTGTGTACCATTGAGAGCGTTTTTTCTTCAACATTGTAGGAAAGGTACCAATCGCGAAGTACGTTTTTGAAAAGAACATACTGTTAGCAAAGCTTAAATATGTCTGGTGTCTGGGTTAAAGATGTAGCAAAAAGTCTGGAAATACAGTTATTTGATGAGGATATAGCCACGTGCTGGTACCGATTTAACACCGTTGTCAGGGTAACAGAGGGCAAGATTGCCACACGAAACTCCAATTAAACTCTGAGGACATGTATTATAGTGGTTCCATTTTGTCCCAAGGCCAATGTATGAATTGGGAGTAAAGCAATCTGGATCGTTGTTAGCGATAATGCCTACACGGGCAAAGATGACTCCGTAACTGTCTTTAACATTGATACCTTCTTTGTTGCAATAATCCTGAAGCGAACTGCCGGCCATCATCGCTTTCCAAGTACTCCTTCCGAAAGAAGTTCCAATGTACGCGTCATTTTTGAACACATTTTGCAAAGAAGACCCAGACTTTTCAATGAGCAAAAATTTGGTCGATCCTGAGTAATTCATACCAATACAAATGGAACTGAAAGCAATCGAGCTGAATGCGTTGTATTTTGCCTCTGTAGTTCTTGGGTCAGCCAAGCCACTCTCTATGTTATACGTCACACCATTAATCCAGTAGCTACTGCCAGACTTAAAAGTTTGCTAGAAAAGACGAATAACACTTGTTTTAGAAACTAAGGAAATAAGTGAAGAAATAAAAAATTCACAAAAGGGACACTTTCTGCATTAAATTTAATGACAAAAGATTGCGCTTAACTGCTGCTTTTATTCCAGTTAAGAATAAAAAAAATGTTTTGATTCATTTGAGCAATAAATTGTAAATTTAGATTTTCAATGTGATATAGCCCTGTACACGAGGTTGTCTAATGGTTAAGAGGCTTGTCAAAGAGAGGCAAAACCGCCAACAAATTTGTCTCTTTGCGCCATTTCTGTATTTTCATGTTGTGATAATTTGAATGCCAGTCCGTTGCCAAAAGCAATTTTATGTTAGAAGTAAACACTTTTCCAGCTGTAAATTAAAATTCAGAGAATAAAATAAAGCTTAAATTAGCAAAATTATAACAAAATTCCAGCATTGCCGCAAACATTCTTTTCTAACCAAATAAGTCTTTGGTACAGAAAATTGTCAAATTCTTTTTTAATATGTAAGAACCAGTGATTTCTCGTTCAAGCTAGCTGTTCTTTAGTTTTCTAAAACTTTTAGGCTGGATCATTCTTAATTCCTTTTAAATTACTACAGTGTAATAGATCAAGATACAAGACAATATTCTACTACAGAAAAATAAAGGATGTGTATATTTGCAGACATTTCTAATAGCTTTAGCAAATGCCACGTCCCAGAGATCGACGGTTCATTTTTCATCAAAAAGTGTTAGAAACAAATGGACATCAGAGAGTTTGATATGAAAATAATACAATGACAACGAAATGATTAAAAGAAAAATGAGATCTGCTGGCCATATTATGAGAGGATCATCCGGGTTCTTGGCAAGGCTTGTTTTGGAAGGCATGATTAACAGAAAAAAGCCAGGGAAAGACAAAGAAGAACAAAGGGGGACAATGTCAAGGAATAGAGCCGGTGTGAGAGCAATGGAAGAGCTAAACGATATTTTGAGGATAGGGATATTTTGAGGGTCATTGTAGCCAACCTTCTAATAGAAGATGATGACGATGATGAAACTTGACGAGCAGAGTAGCAAAGTGATGATGTCATATCTGATGAAGAAATTTTTCTAGAACCTATGGTATTTAAAGATATAGCCCGAAAGAACGCCATATAATACTGATATCATAATCGGTTAGATGTATTACGAATTGGCTGATATGTGGCCATATGAGCTCAGGTTATTTCTTCGTTAATTGGTCTTGTAATTTTGTCTATGTTAATAACTTTATGTACAGTGCCATTTTAACATTAATACAATACCAAATTTTGAATATATCATTGATAATTCTTGTTTTATTTGCCATTGTATCAATACTTTGCCACTGTTACTGTTTCTTTGCAATTCTTTACCACTGTTTAAAGATTGTTTACAATTGGTAAGAATGAGTTAATCATGTAATCACGTATAATGAGAATTACCTTAGAGCCATCAATAGTCATTGCTAGCGTCCAGCCTCCTTGGCCACACCCACCTAGATTGCTCATGACACAGAAATGTTTACCAGATACAAGAGAATAAACATTATTGGACAAATTTGTTTTCGCTGCGTCGTAAATGTCTTTACAACTTCCATAAACTGGAAAGAAGATGATAAGTTAGATGCTGATGAAATTAATTTTCAGCTGTTGAAACATGGCTGTAGCTGGAAAATAGAAATATTCAAGAAGGAGTCTCTTTGACTTTTTGTTTAGCCGGGGAATAAGATCCTTCTTTGATCTTTGTTATTATCATTCTATTGTGCAATAGGCTTAGGCTTTACTTTTTGCTTAAAGTCATGTGAAAATAGCATGACACTCTGCCAAAGCTATTATATATTATACCCAGTTTTCTATCCACCTTTTTTCTATTTCTTGTTGCATTTTTCATACTACACACAAGTACCCCGTCCCTCCCTCATTGATGGACCTGACATTGCTGACTGGGTTCGAAAAATATACATATGAAGTTATTTGCATTCTATCTTTGGTTAAGTGCCATCTAAACCGTAAAGAGACTAATATTCAGATGGAACAAATGTGTCATCAATGGCCAAAACGTGACATAAAGCTTTACAAATATCATGGTTTTGTTAATCAGAATTTCATCAAAAGCTTTCTTTGCTAAGAATCAGGAACTTAAAAACTTCATGTGTAATTGCTAGTGTCAAACCTTGGCTTGATAGATCCGGAGTGACTCCGACGGAAGATGAAGCAGTAGGTTGAATATTTCCATTAGAGGCAAGGCCGGGTTGAGAACCTGAAGCTGTAGTCCCTTGACTAGTGGGAGCTGTTGTGATCAAAGCGGTCGGAGTTAATCTCAACTGTCTAGTTGCCTCTGGTATACCAATGCTTCCCAATGTCTCTGATGGGTGGAGACTTATCGATGATTTCGGCGCGCTGGCTGCAAACACACAAAAGAAATTGGCAAAAGGAAACATATCTGCTGGTGAAAGAAAGCAGAAAGATTCAAAGGATAGAGTGTCTGTTCTTATTAGGATGTTCGGGGGTATATACATACCTGACTCAGCTGAAAATGAATTTTTGACAATGGAAGAGAGCCCAGGTTTTGAGTTGCTTGGAAGTAACGTTTCTGGTAACTGATAGCCGGAGATTGAGAACAGAAGCTTTTGAGCAACAGTTATACCTGATGAAGTGACTGGCACATTCATCGCAAGAGATGACGTTATCACAATCGATCCAAGGGGCGACTCATAGACAAAAGCCCCGATAAGAGATTTCTTCATGACTTGTTGGCGATTGATTAAACCATCATCTTCGTGTGTCTCCAGTCGCTGAGGGAATTTATGTAAAAATATTATTGTTTATGCATGACTTAAAGTGTTTTCACAAGCAACAGATTTTAGTAAATAGTTATCAAGATGTTGATGACAACGATTCTTTAAATTCAGATCTTTGATATTTTTTAAAACACCAGGGTTACGTACCTTAAGTTTAATCGCTTTTGACTCAGCTTCAAATGCTATCAGTGAGCATCCTTTGGCGTCCTTTGATTCTGAAAATATCTAACGTAGAATAAATTAAAACAAAAATGAGCAACTAAAAAACATCGCTACTTGGCTAATAACATTGCTAGGTGATGACATTTATCATGCCCTATATCTATAGGATATAGATGTTTTTTGTTTGATTACAGATCAAAATAACATTTGATACTGATACTTTAAGCAAATGTACCTCAGAGTAGTTGAGAGAATTGATGTTCCAATGAAGGCTATTAGTAGGCACTTTCTTTTAGGTAGAAGCCATGGCTATTACCGAAAGAATTTAGGATGGATCTAGAAAATTGACCCCTGACCTTTTGCTAATTCATGTAATCAAAGTCAATCGTTGCAATATTTTATCAAAAATCCTTTTTTACCTCTTGTTATAGACCTTTGTATACCCATTGAATTACACCCTAAAATTCAACAAAAGGAACTAGCAACTAAGTTCTTTTATATTCCTTAAAAAAGGAGAGATCCTACTTGACACATTACTAACATATAAAATCACGCGAAACAGCAAATACTTTGTGCTTTGCTTTTCTATTTTTATTTGTTTTCCCCAGCTCTACAATTTCCGCCCCCTTTCCCCCTCAAAACAGAAACCTTTTGACAGTGATTGTATGTTAAATTTAGAACTTTGTAAAATTATTTTCAAGACAAATCAAGATGTTTTTTTGTTTAGGCTAATAATTCCTATTCTGAACTGTATGAATAATACTTAAACAGGCTTTACTAAACTGAAGAATTTTGAAGCAAGCTTGGCAGAAAGATGGCTTTAAAAAGCAAATATTTAAAACATACTTGAGCTTTTCAGCGCGTCATAGAATATAAAACGTCAGATTGGCGGTTTAATAAACGTTCTCTTATTTTCATGATTGGTATATATATTGCATAGTTTAAAAAAAGTTCTATACTTTGAAGAATGACAAGCGAATAGCTCAGGTTTGTTTCATAATGTTTGCTATTTTTCAAGGGTAGAAACTAGAACTCGAGATAATACCTCACAATTTAACTGGTCAGTCGTATCACCGGTGAAAAAGTTGACTGTTTCACAAGCATCTTCTCTAAGACACCGGTTGACACAATGCAGCTCGCTCGAAGCAGACAATGCAAGTTTGCTTCCGTATTGACAAATATACTTCTGACTTAGATGAAACTCTTGTAATATGGCTTCTCTTTTATATTGACAGTAGGTTCCCATGATGGTGAGCATTGCAATGAGGAGTTTTAGTTTGGTATACTTCATAGCGCTAGGGAAGAAATTCACAGTAAAATGAATACTGTTCTTGGAAATATCGTAAAATATATAAGAAAGTCATTTTTCTTATATGCTTAACATTAATGATAAATGTTACTGATTGTTGAAAATATACACTCTTACCAGACTGTAAAAATATTGTGGAACATTCTAGCTCACTTTTTCATATCATTCTAGTATATTCGTAGTATTGATTCAATTCTTTTTTTTTTGCAAAATAATTACTTCCTCTTTCTCTAACCTTCTGGAATGATACTTTTCTAAAAAATTCTAGAACATTACAATAAACATACAAAAGAGCATTGCTGTATCAGGTTAGTAAGTTATTCATATAATTACATCTGCGTTAATCAAACTGCGTTAGTTTAGTCTGTGAATACCTTCAACAGTGATACCTTCAGAAGATTAAATAGCAATGTACAAGAGAATGTCACTCTTAGTCTAACAAGCAGCATTATGCATCTTATATGCGGACACTTGTATCATAGATTGTTAAAATTCTTACCATTTACCAGGGTTTGGCATCTTCAAAGCTTTATAGCAATGACAAGAATCTCCTTTGTGCTTTGACTAACTGTATTCGAATCATATCACAAAATTGCCATCTAATGCTCTTATTTTCTATATTGTTGAGCAAGGTATACCGAACATACTGTACCGAAACTGTTATTTGTCATTGAGAATAGCTATTGTCCTGTATCATCATTAGACAAAAGAAGGATTCATACTGTATTGCTTCTTATCGTAGCTCAAGTATCGTTGTTAGCCGATTTGATGTTACTATAATGTGACAAATTCACCCTTTGCACCTGCAGCTGTCGCTTTTAAACGACACCACTTTAAAGGTTATCAACAAGCCAAATGTTGCTGTATTGAAAGCAATTAACAACATCATTGCGTGAAAACATGTCTTTATCAAAATGATTGCTTTATTTCACAACTTGTATGTTGAAGATTTCGAAATATGTGTTAAAACAGAGTACAGTCTAATATAAGCTTTCGAAATCAAATGGCCAAATCCATTAGGTTAAGCCTGAATTCAATTTGGCAATTTTGTGATAAAGATGTCAATGAGTCGACTATCTCATATGTAGTCATTTAATATGTAAACATATGTAATGTAGCGTTGGAGAGAAGATCAACAGTTAAAATACAAACTCAAGTTGCTAAACAAGTTTTACAGTCTTTCTCAAAAATCCCCTTTTGCGTCAACACAATCGTCGTGCAGCTGTTTTTGATTTATGACTTAACCGATTTCTACTGTGCCGTACAAAAGTAAACTCCCGGCGGGACCACACCTACAGACGAGTTGTAACCATGACCGTCTGGCACTTGTAGTGATGGGTCCTAATCTCTGACTATTGTTCGTTGAAAACAGCACACTTTGCAATTTCTTCTGACATGGAACAGCAAATTGCCTCTCTTTTGTTTGTTTCAAGGATTTCTAGAGGACCGAAGGGTAGAGAGAAAATAATACATTGCGAAAGACTTTCACAGCTTAAAGCTAATTGATGGGGTTTAGCAGGTGTGTTTATGAACAAAGGATCGGGCACAAGTATAAACATATTTAAAAGGGTGAAACTGGCCCCTTATATATATACCTTAATTCACTGATACTCATATGGGATTCATACCTGTCTCCTTCTCTCTGTTTGAAGTGTTTTTTACATGTAAATCTCTATTTGAAGGTCTCTACTTCATAGGAATGGGTAACTGTTATTTAGTGCAACTTAACATATTCTAAGGTGATGTCAACATAAATTTATTGATATTTGATCTATTTTTTCGAAATTCCAGGAAATATTTTTAAAAGGACCCTTTGTCTAATTTCTATGTCCTAGATTTTTCATGAATTCCAGACCCTTTCTCATAGATTTTGTAGACGGTCACAGATGCAACTCTTCTATGGGAGTGGGAGTAAACCTGCCGTGAGTAAACTTTATCAATAAAACATGACAAAATATCAAGAATTAAAGACTAGACAGCTTTTCTGTTGGGCTAGCTATTATTATTGCTAAGTTATTTTTACCCAATGTGTATTCCATCCTAAATTTTTTTGGAATGTATAAATTTCAATTTTGTAAGCCAACGCTCTATATACGTTGCCTTATCTAGATCACATAAAATGCACACTAACTTTTAATTAGTATCCAGCTGTTGTATTTTCTAGAAAAATTAGTCGTAGAAATTATATTGATTCAATCGACATCTAAATGTAATTATCCCTGCTACAGTAGCATACAAATGCTTATTTAATCAGGTATCACAAAAATACTGAATTTATCAGGAATCACAAATATGCTTTGATTCTTATGTTAAAGAAACAACCAACCAATGAAGACTATATACAGGCTAAAGCATCACAACAAACGTATGGATATGGAATAAATTTAAAACGATGTTAAATCTAATACCTAAACCTTTATTCTAGCTACATACAGCTCTCTCATAATTAACTTGATTGCAGGAGACTAGGAGAACAAGACAGAGTTATCATTAACTGCTGTGGCTATGGGCGAATGTAGTAATGGATAAAGATTATTATTATGAATCGGGTAAAGAAGTAACTTTTCATGAAAAGTAATTATATTGCAAAAGTTGTTCATGGTGTTTTTCAATGTCACCGTGAAAGCACTTAAGACTGGTAAGGTCTCTCTGCAGACTAGTCTACAGACAAACATTGCTCCCACGTTTACAAGTTTATAATGCCGCCCAATTTTCTGTTTATTTTATAAATCTGGTATCTATTCGTTAAGGCAAGATGAAATTATAGGTATATTATTGGTATTTTATCTAGGTTAGCGTATATCATAAACCTGCTTCGTTTTGCTTGTAATTGAATAGTTTTGAAAAGATTCCGGCGAGTAATGTTTATTATAGTGGACACGATGCATGAAGAAAATAAGTCTAAATTCAAACAGGTCACACAATTCTAGGATTTTGTCTTCCTTGTGTTACTTGCAAATGGAATATCTACAGTTTTTGTAAATGAAGAATCTTAAGAATGCACTGATAGTAAACTTTCAAAATCTTTCTTGCTTGCTACTCGATACACTTCACGATAGTAGCTTATTTTAGGAAGAATTTACCATCAATATAGGGAAATACGCCTTAACTATCGCCGTTATTCTAGTCTAGGAGAAGGGAGTGGAAATAGTAGTGTTGCTTTTGGGTGGCATATAAAGGAAGGATTTTATTTAAAAAGAAGCGTTTTATTGTTATGCTTCCATGAAATAAGAATCTTCTACAAAAATGCCATTTAATGGGTGCATATATAGTAAACCCCATAATCAGGCACTGTTTGAAAAAAGTGTACTAGAGCCTTAGAAACGTTCTAAAAAATAAGCACAAAGGATAGAAATTATTTCAAAATTTCATGACACAATATTGGATTCTAGTCGTTGTTTTGCTTGGTTCCCGATTATTACCTTCACATTATTACTCATTACAAGATTCACATAATTCAGCAGACGCCTATCCTGCTTTTCTCCTTTCTTACAAATAGAAAATTGACCCTTGGCGTCAAAAAAGTATTCTAATATTCTTCATATCACATTACTTGAATACTTTGATAAATAACTTCTAAAAAATACTGTAGATTTTACAATTCCCTTTTCTTCTTGATTAGTCATCGTCGATAAGTATTGCCTCTCTGTCAGTTGTTATTTCTGCAACAAAATGCAATGTATTTTGATATATATCACCAGTGGCGTAGCGTCCGGGTATTCAAGGTATTCAGTGAATACCCTGAGATTTCTCAGAAAAAATAATAATACGACGTATAATTGTAATAAGTAAAAAATGTTTTCGGGCTATTGATTCTGGTCAAATTCGTTACCTTCAATATTCTACATTTTGTACAAGTACAAAATATCACGGAATTCATGGTAACAATAACTCTGGGAAGCATAGAGAAGCTGGGAGATCTTTGAAGCTAATTTTGAAGATTGAGCTACTTCATGTTATATAGAGATCGGTCATGAATACGCAGTGAATACCCTAGACGGTACTTTAACCAATCAAAATGCTTCTTTCCGTGAATAATATTTGCCGTTAATCAGCTAAAACAATGGTCCTGTACACTGAGAAATATGCAGCGTACAGCCTCAAAGTTGGTTCAAAATAGTCTCGTTATGAGATCGATATAAACAGTTAATGAACGTCGGAGCGGTTGGAGTGATGGCGCTGCATCGAAAGCAGTAAACATGACTTAATTAAAAAACCATTGCAATGTCTGTATTACTGTTTCATAATCATTCTCTCATTTGACCCCTAATCTTAATCTACCAACAGCAAAGTGGAAAGAAAAGGTAGGCTGCTACATAATACTACACTGACTCAGATCTGTTCCCTTTTGAAATGCCAATTTGTTATTGCTTGCCAATCAGGGATGCTTCTGTTTGTATTTTGTGATAGAATTAAAGTAAATGTCAAAGCCCTTTTGTATTAAGCTATTAAGAGTAGGTGTTTACAGTTACTTCCTCTTCACATCAGTGCAAATGTTAGACGATTCAACAACAACTATTGGGACATATTTCGACCAGTAAAATTTTACTGGCTTTCAATGATATGTTTTGATTTGAATTACTTTTGATGAAATGGTTAGTGGTAATTTGATGCAATGAATGAGTTCGAAGAGTATATTTGAAGGGCCCTTTAGCAAAGTATCGTTTTCATCATAGTAATGCCCTGACAGTGCAGTACTTGCCAACCGAACAAAAAAGAAAATTAGATAAAATGTCAATAGCTAGTCCTTTTAATCTTCCTATTATCCCCCTATTTTCATCAAGCCCCATCGAGCCACACCCTGCCCCACCCTTTTGTTTAATAGAGAATACCCAGATGAAAAAGTCACGCTACGCCACTGTATATCACACAGTATTGTCAAAAACATGTCAATTTAAATTGATAAGAAGCTTGTTTGATAAAACTAACTGCTATTTACCTTTGAGAACAACTTTGTTTAAGACTGCTGTTGAATATGCCGATGACGATGTTTGATATTCTTGCTTTGCAGAGACAGATTTGCTTGGAGCAGTCAATTGTGTTGTAGCAGATATTTTGCCAGCTGCAGAGTTAATTAGCGATGTTGTCTTTATTTGTGCTGATGACGTTAGAAGATTGGCTGATGTTATCATAAGTTGGGCAGATGTTGCATTAAGTTGGGCTGATGTTGCATTAAGTTGAGCTGACGTTGTCGTAATTTGGACTGATGTTGCTATAGGCTGGTCTGATGTTGTTATACATTGGACTGATGTTATCATGTAAATGTCTGGTGTTGTCATAAGTCTGGCTGATTTTATCATAAGTTGGGCAGATTTTGCATTAAGTTGGGCTGATGTCGCATTAAGTTTGGCTGATGTTGTGACGAGTTGCGCTGACGTTATCATAATTTGGGCTGATGTTGCTATAAGTTGGTCTGATGTTGTTATATATTTGACTGATGTTGTCATAGAATTGTCTGGTGTTGTCATAAGTCTGGCTGATGTTGGCATAAGTTGGGCAGATGTTGCATTGAGTTGGACTGATGTCGCATTAGGTTTGGCTGATGATGTGACGAGTTGAGCTGACGTTATCATTATTTGGGCTGATGTTGCAATAAGTTGGTCTGATGTTGTTATATATTTGACTGATGTTGTCATAGAATTGTCTGGTGTTGTCATAAGTCTGGCTGATGTTGTCATACGTTGGGCAGAAATTGTGTCAAGATTGGTTGATATTGTGATTGGTTGGTCTGATGTTATAATTGGTTGGTCTGATATTGTCCGGGTGCTGGCTAGAACACTTATTGCCCCTATCGTGTTTAGAAATCGTGTTTTGAAGTCGTACGAGTTCGAAGGAGACGGCAGATGACCAGACTCAATCAATGGAGCATCCACTCGCTGATCAAGAAAATGAAATACCAAATTTAGTCAATAATCCAATGCTTGGTCTGAGCAAATTGAGCATTAAAGTGAATGGGCCTAAATGAAAGGCTGGAGGTTGATGGTAGGCTGCTTGGCTACATATTCTTCTCGCATGTTCTATCCCACGATTAAGAATTAAAAAAAATTTCGTAAAAGCAGGAAGGCTTTATACACAAGAACATAATTTAATTGCGAGTAGCTATACTTTTAACTTTTTTTCGTTTTTATTTTTATTCTCTACCTTTCTAGATTCAAAGTAAGTGACCAACAAGTATTTATGGAAAATATATGACAAGGTTTTAAGAACTGAAACAAACAAACTTTAAATCTGATAGCCTTCCAGTTGTCAGAATGAACCAAGGTACATTTGCCAGAGCAAGCTTCGTTGTCAAAGACCTAAAAGTGAAAGCAGAAAGGAAATAAACAGTGATTTTCATCCAGAGCAAAGACTTACTACACTCCATTTTATAAGAGCCAATAATCTGAAGTTCAGGCTGGCTGTTTTAAGTTTTACGAAAATCTGAGGCTGGATTGTTTTTAATTTGCTCTTAAATTGATAAGGTGTAGGCAGTGAATTGCTAGCTATTGCGTACTAAGAAGGTGTTTGGGCCGCGTTTGCCTACAAAATGTATGGGAAGTCTTTCATTTGCCGATTAGTTTGAGAACTTACCGAAAAAGCCTGTGATGAAACATTGTTCTAAATTACATTTTGCAGTAGCTCAGCCTCGGCTTCTTCTTAATTTGTTCTTAACTTTGACCAATTTTGAGGCTCATGTTCTTACAAAATTGTTCTCAAAAAAGTGGAAGTGTGTACTCAGCCTCTCTCCTCCAAAGGGTCGCTCGAAGGCAAAAAGAGGTAGACTCTCCTGGGCAATGACAGCAGGAGACTGCGGGATGGGAAAAATCAACTGATTAAGGGTCTGTTTATATGGAGGCGAGAAAACTCGGTCAGGCAGGAAATAATTTATGCAAATAATTGGGGTGCCATTGAAAGACGGGAAACCAGTTTCGTATCAGGACAGTTTCAACAAATATTTCCAAGAAGGTTAGACAGATTTTGATAATAGACTTATATTTCAGCCTGCTGTCATTTCATCTGCAAGGAATTTGTGCTTTTTTGGCTTACGGAATAGCAAGAGATGATCAGAAACAGGATCATCAGAAAACTCAAGATGCAAAAAAACACTAGATTGTTGAGAAAAAACGCTGCAAGGTAAAGCTTAAAGTAAGGGTCCTAGTGGAGGAAAAGGAGAAAAGGCTGATGTAAACTGTTGTGCGTCTCTTCTAATTATAGTTTAATGGTCTCAAAATCCAATATTTTTCCATTGCACAGACATTTTTTGATTTTATAAAAGTGGAGCTAGAAGCTACATTTGACAGATTAGAAACATGAACACAATAATCGGCATGGAATTGATGAAAAACATTTTTTTTGGGCGTTAGTGCATGCATTCTTGTTAGTGTGAAGAATCTGTTTAAGAATAATCGTATATCAAACAGATTTGTTAGAAACCATTAGTGCTAATAGTAAAGCGCCTGATTTAAGATCGTGCGTTTTGGTGTTGAAAAGCCTTCCACATTCTAATGCTCAACTGCTCCACTAAAAGACCTCAAACGAGCGCGCCTGTGCGAGCTCCTGCGCGTAACATTAACATAAAAGAATAATAAGACAACTTACCTCACAGTTTTTCTTTGAAAGCAGCCCTTTGCTTATATAGTTTGTTACTGCACAATTCTCTACATGAAGACACTTGTGAACGCATGTAATCTCACTTGGTACACTGTACATTACTTTCTTTTTGTTGTTGCAACTGAATTTGTGGTCAAGAAAGAAATTTTCAACGAAACCTTTCCTTGACTGGAAGACAGTTGCGTTCACTTTAGAAACGACAAGAGGAAAACAAAAATATGTGATCAAAAGCATCAATATGCTCCAAGATACTTTGAACAACCAATCCTTCATCATTGTTGATTTATATAGGGATGTTGAAGCAAAGAATTCTTCAGATCTTTCGATAAAAGACGTTTTCAAACAATTACCGAGATGAATTCGCCAGAAGAAGAGTACTGGGCCAACAGGTGGCATAGTTAAATCCAGAAATTTTTTGATATTGAAAGACAAGGAGAAACCTAAAGGTGAGTGAAAGTGCTGCATTTTTTGTAATTTATATTGTAGCAAAAGGTAAAGGAGAATTCGATTACAGGGGAAATTCCAGCAATATCGTCCTCTCCAATTAAATGTGATAATTGCAAGCACCTTGAACTAAATTAAAAGTTAAATAATCTTTTTGCAAATGATGACATCTGGTTTCTTACAACAACAGGTTAATAGGTCTAGATAATAAGAAATGCTTAAACGCACTTTGAGTAAAAAACGACAAAAAGCAGACGATCGCAAGGCGACGAAGGGGAGAATCATATTTCTTCTGGATCTAAGAATATCATGATCCGCTATCAACGCATGAATTCCTGGTTCCTCATCCACGTCAAGATTAAGATCTACGTTGGGAAGGAATATTTAGTCAACGTTGGGAAGGAGTACTCCAATCATGGTGATCTGTCATGCGGGGTCCTTCAAGGGTCTATTCTTGGTCCTCTCATGTTCCTTCTATATGTAAATGACACGGGCAGTCGATTATGATCTGTTTCTAAATGCAGATGATTCTTGCTTAATTTTTAGAGACAAAAACATTGAGCAAATTGAGAACAACCTGAATAAAAATTTTAAATTCACTCTGTAATTGGTTTATAGAAAACAAACTCAGCATTCATTTTGGAAAAGACACAACGAAATTCATTCTTTTAATTTGAAAGATTCAAACGCCTTTACAAGTTGGACATCAGTACAAGAGATATAAAGATAAGCAGGACTCAACAGTCACATATCTAGGATGTGTCCTGGATGCATCGATGGCAACTAGTGTGCTTGGCAAAATAAATGGTTAGCTAGAATTTTTGTACAGGAAGCAAATATACCTAGATACGCCCCTTTGCAGGTTGATTTTAAATGCTCTTGTACAACCTCATTTCGATTATTGCTGTTCTTCCTCAATAATATAAAGCCGGCGCTAGATATCTAGCTTGCTGTTTTCAGCTGAGGCAAAATCACTCAAGCGGAAATACTGGCAAAAGGACAATTCCGCACTAGGGGCACTGATCTGAAAAAGTCTTTCTTATAAATCAGTGATTAGGGGTCAGTACGGGAAATTGCAAGGCGGACGAAGGAAAACTAATATTTTCCAAAATCGACAAACATTTGAAAGTTTACCTTGGCAAAGTTTAACTCTCAAATTTAAGCCAATTTTTGAAATTATTGGTTTATTTCGTCCGCCTTACAATTTCCCGTACTGAGTTTTTATGCGTGATCATCTTTTTGCCAGTATTTCCGCTTGAGTGATTTTTCCTCACCCGCTCAATGGGCAATTATGCACAGTCAGACATATAGCGCCTTCGAATCTTCTATATCATTGTTCTTCCAGCATATAGAAGAACAATTTTGGTTGTTAAGTAAAACATAATGGCGGATATCGCTAAGCAGTGTTGACATTCGTAGCCCCTGTGATTCATCGCGCGCATGGCAAGTCCATTTTTCCCCTATGCTTGCTCTTCCTGGTATTCCGGGTTGAAAAAGAGGCTGTCCAAAAATGTCCAGGCAGCACAAAACAAATGAATTCGTCTTTTTCTCAATCTAAGAAACACAACACATATTGGGGTCACGGAGTTAAAGGCTATAAATTGGCCCCCTATTAAAAAACAGGATAGGTCATTGTTTCTTTGTCAACATCATGAAGTTTTTGAAAGGAACGGCTACAGCGTACACTGCTGAGATATTTCATCCTATCAACCAGGACCGAACTACACGAAGATCGAAGCTTACACTAAACCTACCATTTCGGGAAAGCAACACTGGACAAATGTGCCTATCCTACCTAGGGCCCAAAATATGGAACAGTCTTTCATCAGATTAAAACCACACTGCTAAGCTCTTAAAATTAACATTGAAGTTATGAAGCAGACTAATGAATCAAACTGAAAGATCGGAGCAATTTAGTGAATTGCATTTTCTCGTTACTAACTGATATTTTGTCCATGTATACAAAGAATCTTTAGAGCTACTAAAATATCCACCTAGTATATTCTCACAATTGAGAGCAGGAAATCTTGTCATTGTAATGCTACAGTTATTTTTAAAAAACCCTTTTCTTCTATACTAAAGTAAGAATTTTTGGTCTTTAAATTTGGCACTGTATTCAGGAAACAGATCACAGAAATTGATCACATATAATGGCGACAAGTTACATTTAATAATGTTACACAACGAACAGACAAATTTTATCAAATTCATATAACTCAAAAAATTGGGTGCGAAGATTACTGACTCAGCTTTTCTCCATGCAATCGTGGAGGGAAGGCACAAAAACTGTTAAGCATGCAATAAAAATACTTAATGGTAGGATAAATAAACAATTTTCAAAACAATTAAAGTAATAACTCTAAATGTTTTGAAAATTGTTTATTTTTCCTCGCATTCTCAACTTTAAACAACTTGAGCTATTGAGAAACAATTATGCCTGTACTTTAAATGACGCAGCCTATCTAGACTGGCAAAATATCACGAAAAAATTAAAATCTTATCATCTTAAAGTCTTATGTACCGTATCTTCATATCAGCTTTCAGTGTGTAGTATTAGTTTCAGTGTTGCTAACAACATCTTTGTGATCCGATCGAACTTGCGTATACACTAGGTCGCTGCCATATATGCTGTCAAAAGTAACTTTCTGTTCTTATGTAAACTTCTTCTCTTTATTATTTTCGATATTTTTTGTACGACCAATACTCAACTGCTTTGGTCACGATGCAACTAAGGGTATGTGATTTGATTATTTCACTAATATATACCCAAAAGCGGCTATTACTTTGTCTCCGTTATCTGACGAGCAAAAAGCTGCATTGCCACATGAAACTCCAAATTCAGGGTAGTTGCAATTACTGTTCACACTAGACTTTGTGCCAAAACCAATGTAGGAATTTGGGGATGCACAATCATTTGCATCATTGCCTATGATACCAATTCTGGCAAACATACCACCACCATCACGAAATACATTAAAACCTTCTCTATTACAGTTTGTCTGCAATGAAGACCCACCTAATAGGCTTTTCCAAGCCGTACGACCAATGTTTGTTGCGATAAAAACATTAGGCTGGAACACGCTCAACAACGAGCTGGCCGAGTACGTTATTTCTGTCCAACGGGTTTCACTGGAATGATTCATACCAACACACACAGCAGTGAAGGCTAAATTGTTAAAGGCTGAGAATTTTGCTTGCACTTGGTCTAGGGAGTTCACGCCGTTTATTTCGTTGAGCACACTGTTGCCAGTCCAGTGGCTGCTTCCTCCTTTGAAAGTATCCTAAAAATATTAAAGTAATAGAAAAATCAAAAATAAACATCTCAAAATAAATCGAAGAGACTGTCGATATTATATATTATGCATTATATGACACCTCCTTTTTTATTGGTAACAGCCACAATGATAATAGTGTCGGTTCAACATAAAATTTCTTATCTTCCCTATTTTGTTTTGTCATCATGTTTTACTGATAGTTTGAATTAAGAAAATATTGTATTTGTTTGAATTTGCAGTTTTAAAGTTTATTCATGATGAGACATTATAATTATTTACATTTTTGTTACTAGGAATTTTCCATAACAATAATGGCCTAATAACTTGAAATTGGATAAAATTAATAAAATTAAATTAATTCTAGAGTTATACAAAGTCTAGATAAAATACTGTTTAATAAACCCTAGAATTACGCTCGTTAAGTCATGTAATACAGAAGCACTTTTAAAATTCTATGAACGCTAGCATCAATATTACTTACCAGGTTGCCATCAATCTTCATGGCTAGGGTCCAACCCCCTCCTGTACATCCAAGCACATTTTGCATCATGCAAAAATGCTTACCAATGGTAAGTTCATAAACACCATTGGGAGCATTTGTGTGATTTGTGTGCAGTTCATGGCATGATCTATAAACTGAAATGGCAGATTGAATCGTCAAAATACAACTCAACAATCCTTGAAAAATCTTTAAGAAAATGTTTCAAAAATCTGCCATTAAAATTAGCATTTATCAACGTTTCTCATTTAATGAAATAATTATTATAGTCACTAAAAACACTTTTTTCACCATAGCTTTCAAGTTCTGTACAAACGGCCTTACTTTAATGATGTCACCGCGATGGATCTTTTTTAAGATTTGAACTAGTGAGTATTCATTGCAAGGGCAATTTTCGTTAAACTTGAAGTCACCCTCACTGGATGATTTTAAAGGCAATGGTACTCTAACTAGGAGAGGTTAGCATGGTGCGTGCTAGTTGAGATCTAAACTAGTTCTATAACAAAGGGTTCCCTTCAGTAAAGCAAATAAAAGAGACAGAGGGCTCCCTTGTCGTCTGTGTTATATTTTAAAAAGTTTATAAGTTAAAAGTCTCCCCAGCACAATGGAAGAGTCTCCCAAGCACAAATTTAGAAATACCATTGCTCGGTACAGGAAGTGGCACAGATGCAGAACTGACGGCTGGTGACTGACCGGCGAGGTATAAGGTAGAGGCTGCCGATGCCGATAGTACTCCCCAAGACGACAGTTTGTTGGTTATAACTGTATGAAAGACTGAAGTGGAGGATAGCATCATCAATGGTTTACTGTCCGTCCAAGCTGTTGTCAAAATGGTGGAATTCATTACAGATACCAAGCTAGGTGCTGCAGAAAATGTCATTGACAGTGAATCGTACTCCCCAGACTCTAAATCTGCAATAGTTGTATCACTTAAGCTTTCACTTGAGGAATCAGAAGTTGTAGTTGAACTGTTAATCGAAACGGATGGCGCCTCATCAAAGATGGTGGTTAATAAAGGAGAAAACAAACTGGATGCTGTCGGAGTGGCAACTGCAAAAAGATAGCAAAAGTTTGAGATGATGTTCCAGATTTCATTTAAAAGCGCCTATATTCGAATCAATGTTCGTTGCAGGCATATTTAGATTGCAGTTAAATGCACTTCCAGAAAATTTCAAAGAAACCGTTTCCATTTTATTTTATGCCTATACCTTTTTGAATTGTGAAGAAAAGGTATTCAGAGAATGAACTTACTGAATAATGTTAAAAATCTTAGAATTTACTGTTTAGCAATGATAAACAGTGGCAATTTTTTTAAGAGCCTCCCATTCTCGATTTAAGCGTATTTGGAATGCTTTTAAACGCACTGATAGGTTAATTCAAAGAATCAATCTTTGCCTATAACCTATTTACAGGCTATGGTCAATGAAGCACAAATCAGTTAAAGTGGTTAAGATCAGTTAGAATAAATACTTAAGCCTATTTGGAATACGCTGTTTCAGTTGTGCAAAAAATTTTAATTTGAAGTAACAATGTTTTGTTCTAATCCAGTTGTTAGCTCTTTTTTGGCTACGCTCTGACACAAAGATAAACACAAAGGAAAAAAGATATAGGATGAATTCAATGGATACAAATGGGAAGATTAAAACTCAAATGCTAGATTGTGTACAATTCAACACAGCTGCAAATCATTGTACTTATAGTAAAAACAAACACTGGAACTATACTGTGGGTAATATTCTTGCGGAGAAAATGAGCTCAACATGGAAGGAAGAGTCCTTCCTCATATTTGAATTAGTTAGCAATGATGAATACGAGATCAAAAAGCATAAAAGTAATGGAATTTTTGTCATTAGCGAGTATTGGCACTGCGAAGTGCTCCAAGATGTCTGCGTTTATGTTAAGAGCTCGGCAAGCATGGGTTGATGTACGAATATAGATTCTTTCGTTAGCTTGCTAGTGTTTGAAGGCAAGTTTACCGAGACTGAAACGCTCCAATTTGGGACTGTAGAGTAGAAGGTCAATTTATGGGTAGTATGGGTAATATGGGTAGAAGGTCAATTTAACAGTTATAAAGACCTTAAACCAAAAACTGTTAGGTTCAATTACCTTATTTTTAAAATAAAAAATTACGATACGATTCCATTACGATAAGATACGATACGATACGATACGATACGATACGATACGATACGATACGATACGATACAATACAATACAATACAATACAATACAATACAATACAATACAATACAATACAATACAATACAATACAACCCAACCCAACACAATGCAATGCAATACTTGCCTTTCTATTCTATCCTTCTTTGAATTCTAAAAATTTGAACTATAAGGGCCTCTTAGTTCAAATGTCATAATCTTAAAGTATGCCTTTATTAGCATGACAAATTTTAATGTAACACAATCATAAGTAACAGAGGTTGCACCAGAAATCTTCCGACAGAGGGGCTGGAGCTTCCGACAGGGGGGCTAAAAATGACTAAAATAAGCAGTTTTCGTACGTTATTTTGTCAAATTTGCTCCGAAAATAACCTAAAATTTCCTCCGATGGGGGGAGGGTGCTATATGCTTCCGACAGAGGGGCTGTAGCCCTCCTAGCCCTCCCCTGGCGCCATCACTGATAAGTGACAAATATGAATGAACAAGAAGAGGGATACCTTCAGATGGTGTATGGATGATATCTTTGCTCATGCTTGTTTCTTCCAATCTCTGCAATGATCGATAAAAATTAGACAATGATAAAGATGACACTTGTCCAACCTACCAACGTGTAGCGATGGACCTGCCTCTCGAGAAATGCAATCAAACGCTACTACGGAAAAGTCAAGGAACGCCTAATTAGGCAAATGTAAGTTTTTGTTTAGTTTGCTAAGATTAAAGATAAATTTCTTCTGCTCTAGACATCTTACTGTATGGGTCCACATAACGTTTTTCCAACAATTTTGCGTCTAAAATCGACCCTTACTGCGTCAAATCACCTTACATTAGCAGATTGGCACGAGTTGCACCTTGGAATTACCCGTCAAAGAAGTAGTCGCTTGTGGCTGCCTTCAATGAGGCTCACGTAAGAGTAAATCTTCTATTCATATGAAGGAAATCAAATCAAATATGGCTTCTTCAATCAATTGTCTTATTGTTATGATGTCGAAGTTTCTCAAAATCCATAAAGAATTTTCCTATGCCAGAAGTTAGCTTATTTACGAAAAATTATTGCATTATTTTTTTAATAAGAACCAGTAGATTTAAGTTTAGGCTGACTGTCCTTAATTTTTTTGAAAATCTGAGGCTGGATTGCTCTTAATTTGTTCTTAAATGACTAGGGTGTAAGCAGTGAAATTGCTAGCTCTTTCGCTCTAAGGGAGATGTTCAGGCCTCATTTGCCAACTAAGTGCGTCAGACAACCTTCATTTGCCGCCATGTTTTAATATTCACCGAAAAAGCACCAACACATGGCTAGAAAGCCTCGTTTTTGGGGATTAAATGTTGTTCAAAATTGCATTTTATGGTAGCTCAGTCTCAGTTTGTTCTTAATTTTTGACCAATTTTGAGGCTCCTGTTCTTATAAAATTGTCCTTATAAAAAAGGATGTAATCTAAAATTTACGAAAATTTTAATAGAAGCAGGGAATCATTCTTCAAATCTTTTCTCCTGAGACTACCCTACTTGACCCCAGGGTCGCTCCGTATCTCTGGCTAATCTACTATGTTGACCACGAGGTCGTGACAGATAAGGGTACAGAATTACTCGCAAATGCTGCACATACCCCTCTTTTTGGTGTACTCTAAAACAGGACACAAATCGTCCAAAGTCAATTGGATATCCGCTCATAACTACCTTTTTTCACATTCGTCACTTTCTATTGATTCCCTGTATTCTACGTTTCAAACGTGGTTTACACTCTTTTTTTTAAAGAACAAACTTTATAAGAACGCAGAGGCTCGATTTGTCCAAAAAATAAGAACAACGCTAGAAAATGCTCAGCTTCAGATGAGAAAATTAAAAATTTCCTTAACGGAAATTTTCACAAGCACTCGACTACTATCCCGACATTCTCTTGGCAAAAAAAACTTTGATGAGTTTGTCCAAAAACACTAGCAGTCATGGCTTTATCTTTAAACTTTACCCAGTAAAACACCTTAGAAACTGTATACATTTGTAACTTCTCATCCTGATTACCAGACTCACTATATATATAAAATAAGATAGAGACTCTCTATTTTATCTTTGTATAGTGAATCTGGTACCCAGGGTAGTAACTTCTCAAATATTTGCAAAAATCATTCTCAAAATAAGAGCAATTTTAAGAACATTTGAGCCTAAAATTATCAAAAAGTTAAGAACATCGAGGCTCGGCAAAAATTATCTGGTTCTTATAAAAAAGATTGTACTGAAAGAGAAGAAGCATATAATTTTAGTAGTTAAAAATAATAAAAGATTCCAAAGCGCAGTGGTTGCCTTGCCCTTGCAAATTCAGCGATTCTACTAACCTTGCTTTTGCCTTGTCCCTTTTCTCGGTGCTTTGCTCCAGAGACGCCGGAACGACGAAGGGGCAAGGGGGCAGACTTGAGTAAAAGCGCATTTGAAAGATAATTCCCAGCTTCTACTAATTCTTTCGTACGTACCATTTTATTTCGATATTCTGTAGGTATCTTAAAAATTGGCAAGCATAAAAATCCCAAACAAATTTTGAGAAATTTCGTCATGAATTGGGCACTGCAGTCAGAACTTCATAAGAATCTCTTTGATAATTACAAAAGGCCGGTTTAAGAGCACTCTTATGAAAAGGACACTATAGCCCCCCTTGCCCCTCCTATCAAAAGGCAACAGGGGCGGTTGACCCCCCCCCCAAGCGTCCCTGCTCTGCTCTCTTGCCTTCCTTGAAAGCGCGCTTCCCTGGACAGGCCCAAATATGTAACTACATTTTTCATCTTCTAACGAAAATTGATCAAGGAGAAAGGATTGGTAACTTTGCAACTGCTTTGATATGAAACCTTCTATCCTCGGCTGCCACAACTTCTTGTATATCTGTCTCAATGCAGGCTAAGTGATAAAACTTAATTTACCTTCAAGAACATAGACGTCCATCCTTTAGATGACAAAACTTCATTACAATCTCTACTCCCCACTGTCATCTGTTTTGCAATGAAAAGCTCACAGTTGTAGTCGAATTTCTCTTCCCTCGTTTCGCTGCGGAAATTTATAGTATGACAAGCTGGTTCTCGAAGACATTTCTGGACACACTGCAACTCACTTTTCGCAAAGTATACAAATCTCTTACTTGTCTTGCAAACGCAAACTGCATCAGCAAGGTATTCTTGAATGAAACCTTTTCGGGCACTGCAACTGGCAATCAAAATTGGGACGAGATACCAAAACATCACCAGTGCATTAGATTCTTTAACCTTTGGGTGTTTTGTTTTTACATCAGCCAGCATACATATTTCTAGATAATCAACATTTCAAGATAAAATGCATTGCTTTGGTGCTCAGTTTGTTAAAATCAGTATCGTTCTTTTCCAATTACATTTCCAAACGTTGTATATTGGTTACCTAAACTCTACACATTATTATTGTATGATAACAGTTTAAAGCGTTTTCATCAAAGCGATTCACGTCATTAGGCGCTTTAAAGGACAATTAAATGCCTATCTTTGCTGCCCAAGGCAATCCTGACTTCATGGATAATAAAAATGCTATATCAAACAGTTGGTGCTTTTGATTAAAAGTGTCACAAAATAATATTGGCATTACTTCACAGTACATAATGGGCTGATTAACTGTCAATTGCAGCTGAAAATGACAAGCTGCCAAACAAGAGAATTTGATATAAATTCTGCAAAGGGAAGCAGATAGACATAACAAAGAAACAGTCATATAATTTTGCATGTTAAGATTAAATTGATAAATAATAAGCAATTCCCAGCACAGCAAAGCTTAATAAATATCATTACATTAAATATTACTCAGGAGTTTAAAAAGAAAGCAAATAGATACTTAAGAAAACTGCAAGATTATAGAAAAGGCAACCATTATAGACAGAATTGTGGTCACAAAATATGTTATAATTCCAGAGCTTACTTAAAATAATTAATTAGCCCAATCTTTGCTTTTCCAAAAAATTTGTATCTTGTTTCAACATTTTTTGGAACCTGAAACATGACAAATTTTTGCTTCTGTCAGATGTAGTTTCTTCTGCTATTAAAGGTGGTTGCCTTTTGGTAAAATGTAAAAATAAACACAACCTTCTATCCCTTTAAAAACAAATGAATGTAGCTAATGTGTAACAAATAGCTGAAGTCTAGGGTGATAACTCAACTGTTGCAGGATGAATTGATATTTACCACAATGGAATGGGCATGTGTAGACTAAAAAGCAGATATTTGCTGTTTTTTTACATCATTCTTCCATAATATACGGTGGCTTTATATGCAGAAAATGTAAACAGTGGAGTAGCACCCACTGCCAAAGGAAAAATCTGACAGTCTAAGTTAAAAAAATTGTATGACTATGTGATCAAGGCAGATGATAAAGGATTGAATTGAACATCAAAACTGATGGGTCATTAATCACCTCCTATCTTGATGAAGAAGATCATAAATTGACCAACAGTAATAAGATTAATCAATAAGATTTTAAAATAAAATATTTTTTGTTTTTTGCAGAAACATATTTTAGCTAAAAGAACTTCAATTGCGTTGTATGTTTTTAAATAAATCTAAAAGTACCCAAAATTTTGTTAGCTTATGTAGAATGGTTCAGTGCTCTAGGGTTTCCCTTTCAAACATGTAAACTCCAAGGCCGTCACCAACTCGCTTTAAGTTGGTTACATGGTCTCCAACTTGCTTCAATAATTCAACTTCTGGATTCAAGAAGTGATCCTCCATGAAGTCACACAGTTGCTCATCATTGTGTTTTTCAGCAAGATGAGTCAGATCAAGTAGGCTGTCATTGACCTGAAAAAAGCCAATGTACTTACAATGTTTGTTTCAATTCTGCTATGTAATGTACATCATTTACAAAGAAAGTTTATAAGAATTGATTCATATCAACAATTTAATTTCAGATGACAGAAGGATAGTCCAGAAGTCTCACAAATTTGACCAACTATTATTGGGACATTGTTATGTGGGGGCATTTAAAAGAGAGGTCATTTTTCATTCTTCACGTTTAGTAATGTACCAATATTGATACAAATAGCAGCAATTATTCTGGTTTGTACTTTCCTAACAGATTGAAGAAAACATAGAAATGTATAAAAGTTCATTAATGTCACCATTAACATTATCTCCCTCAATAGCAGAAAAGATATCATCCTTTTCATCCATAGATACTAGGGTTAAGAATTTTCTTACAATGATAACATCTGTGTTTCATTCCTCTGGGTATTTGATGCCATAATTTTGCATCGTTTTGCATAATTTCTACTCGACTATACCATATGCCAAATTGAGAAGCAGTTTTTTATTTATACTGAAAGTTTTTCTAGAGAGCTTGTTGCAATTTCTCCTGTTTAGGCTAACTAAGCATTGGAGTATAGAAATAACATGTGCTTAGTGAGGCCTCTAGAACTCATTGATGTCCATTGACTTTGGCTTTAAGGGGAACCCCCCAATAGCATGCTTGGCTTTACTGGCCTGCAGATGGAAGCTATTCCAAAATTCAGCAGATGCGAGGAATTCTTTAAAGAAATGGAGAAAGGTAGACATTGGAGATCTGGTCTTGACATACTAACCAGCACACCAGGCCAGGCAAATGCTACTTACCCACTAAAAGAAGGGAAATATTACATTGAGAGTGTTGGGATTTGGGAACCTGTAATATACACTCAAGAGGACAAAAGTATGGAAACGATAGTCAATAATGGCGGCTCACAATGGCCAAGGGTCTATATTCAATGTGAGTGCTAGTGTTGAAAGCATATAGCTAGCTTACACCGGATATAACCGGAGGGGGCTTTACGATTTTCCATTGTTTTACTATTGTTTATTGGCAGATATCCGGCCACAGAATAGATATCTATTCTGTGTTCCGGCGTTAGCTTTACATGCCACATGACTGTAAAAGCTAGTGTGACTTTAAGTGAAGTGACATTACGGGTAGTGGATTGTAACGACTTAGTAACAGTTTTTTAAGTTTATGCCACAATAGCATGTGGGTGTCATTAAAACAGGACTCCACCAGCCGATTCTCACCTTTCTCTCGTGTTCAAGAACAGCTTGCATAATGCTGAGTGGTTCACCAAAGTTATTTGCAGGAGTTCCGATATCGACCAGCTTGACTCTACCACCACGTTCATTCATGTACTTCAGTAGCTTCTGTGCATTCTCTCTTTTGTTGTTAGAAAATTTACAAAAATATTTGTGGAAATTTTCTAGGGCAACATCATCCCGGTCAAAGTGATAGGCCAAAGCCATGTAAAAGTAGGACGAGGCCAGCTCGCTGTTTATTTGCTTGCTTATAGCACTTTCACATTCTGCGTGGAAATTTTGTTTGATAGTCGACATGTTGAAAACTTTCTTCCAGGTGGTCAATCAATAAAATAACCAATGCCGATTTCCCTGCCAAAAAGCTACCCTACCGCTCACACAATTGAAGAACAAAGAGAGCCTCTTTCTTCACTTACAGGTAAGTACCTCATGTAAACCGAATAAAAAAGATGGCCCTTGGCTTCAGTTTACAGACTGGCGTGGCGTGCCTTAGAGCCTTAGGCAGCCTTTCCACTAGCCTGGGTTAAAACATATCCGGGTTAAAAGTTATCCGTTTTTAAAGTGAGTCAATGGAAACGGCACTTTTCTTCGACCCGTTTTTTATCGTTCCCACTAAGCCGGGTTAAAATGTATCCAGGGTGAAAAGTTGCAAGAGAAATCAGTATTTGCATCAAAATCCTTCAATTTCTATCGTTGTAGGCCAATGGAAGCAACATCGATATCCAGGATTTTGTTTTTTTGATTTTTGGCGCCGTCTCAATTTTTAAACGTTGCTGTTGTTGCAAGTGGATCAAAAGTTATTCGGGTTCGGCGTTTCCATTAACTCGCATGTGAGTCAAAAGATACCCGGGTAAAAACTGACCCATTTTGACCCGTTTTCAAACTTATCCGTTTTTCAAGTGGGTTAGTGGGAACGCGACGCAGAAACGGATAACTTTTAACCCGGATATGTTTTAACCCAGGCTAGTGGAAAGGCTGCCTTACTCTAGTCTCTAGTTAAGGGACAGGCAACCAAGGGCGGGGCCAAGGGGTGGACTGGGGTGGACATGTCCACCCCACTTTTTTTATAGATCGAATTTCTAATTTTTTCAAAACTGGAGGAGTGTTAATTTTCTTCTCTGAAATCGGGACTTTTTTCATTTTGATGGTCAGTTAAAGTTCTTTTCAAATCTTAGCCGACAGAGTATGGTGTGTTTGGATCATCAGTTCCGTAAATAGTGAGAAACTAAAACGAAGATTATCTATAAATACAGCTTTATCGTGCTAAACAGTTGGTTCTTACAGTGTGGTCTTTGCCTTCCTTCCTTGTTAAAGGTTTTTTGGCAATACTTTACTTCAAAATTTGTACCCAAACTTTCTTAAGCTGGAAGGATAGTATAGTTGCAGCCCCACCTGTTACAGCTGAATCACCTTTTAGCCTCAATGTCAGACGAAAGGTTGGAAAACCATTGCTAGCTAAAATTACCACTCTGAAATTAACTTCTATGTTATTAGCTTTTATGTGTGTAAACCTTTGCCTACGAAATTTAACTCTTCTACTGAGGGTTTCAAAATATGTCAAATTTGGTTATCAATAAGGACCGCGATTTCTCGTACGGTGTTGCACCGGTTTCTCACCCATATCCCTTTATCAGCTCCACCCCTACATTTTCCACCCTACTATTTTGGGGCTGGCACCGCCCCTGCTGGCAACCTTTGGCAGAGACGGCGCCACAAAATTGGAACTGGGGTGTGGGCTAACAACCATGTTTAGTGACAGAGGCGGACCCAGCATTGTTGGGTCCGACGCGCAAGAAAATTTTTGGAATTAAACCTTCTTTAAAGAATGGCTAATAATGCATCTGCTAGACTAAAATTCAACAAATTACTATACTGCTCAGAATAGACAATTCGAGGATTCTTAGAAAAACATTGATTAACATTGAAAAACGTTTAAGGAATAAACTTGGGTAGGAGGAGTCATGCTTGAACTCTAGTGACAGACGTTGGAGAAAGACAGAAAGAAAGAAAGAAAGAAAGAAAGAAAGAAAGGGTGGCCTCTGGTTTAGAGCACACATCGATTGGTGTAGAGTGCATATCGATGTGAATAACAAGAAGTTGTTGTATTGATTGAGAGAATATAACTTCCTGAACAGAAATGTGCATCTTCTTTGTCTCGAGTTTTTTCAGTAGGCTATGTTTTTACACATGATAAATGCAGACATTGCCCCGATACAGAAAGTTATCTACTGAATTGATGCAATATTATACCTAAAAAAGTTAGAAAGTAGATCAAATAAAATCAAGCAGTATATGAACAGTTTGTTCTTCTTTTATTTCATACCGTTTTTCAAAAATAGTAGAAAAGACGGTCAAAAGTTTTTATCTCCTCAAAATAATGGAGGGGGAGGGGCGTCCCTGCTAATGGGGGGAAAATTACGTTTCGTACCCAGGGAAAGTTTGTCGGGCATGTTGAGCCAGGAAAGGCCGAGCAAAATTTGAAGCAGGTTTCAGTTTAGTAACATTACAACATATCATCTCAGAACTGTAGCCCTTTTGTTCACAAGGTAATCTACCTGGAATAGATGTTTGCTTCCAGTCTCCCATAATTCAAACCTGAACTTGAAGAGAATATAAATATTATAGCCTATTGTTTATTTGAATTTTATTTTTGATGAGCTTCATCTTAGAGAAATACTGCTTGTAAATGTAAATGCTTCCGGAAGTTGTAATCCTTTGCCACTGAGAATAAACTTCAATGCTCTCTTAAAAACATATATTTTGCATATTTCAGAACATTATATTACAAAATATAAACAGAAGCTGAAAGGCCACAAATATTTCAAAATGCACACGCATACCAAAAGCTATTGAGATTCAAATAAAGGTTTGCTGAACAAACACAGAAAAAAATTCAATGTGAATGAATTAAGACACTTACTCGAGCTTAATTTTAACTGTAAAATGCGAGGACAGGCTAATACGATGATAAATTTTTGTTTTCAAAAATATTTTTATAGGTTGCTTGAAAATTTACATTTTTCATGATTTTTCTAACTCTAATTTTGCTAAATTGCAAAAAGTAGCTTTTTTCCGCAGACGAGATTTTGCATACAGGAAAAGTCATCGAAAAACTGTTGGCTGCTCAAAGAATGCAGGTTTTGCTGTAGGCAAAAAATATTTCCACACAAGAGCTTCGTCGTTGCAAACATCTTTGGTCTACCAAGTATTGGTAGATTTTTCGCAGCTCTTGTGTGGAAACAGCAAAACCTGCATTCTTTAAGCAGCCAACAGTTTTTCGATGACTTTTCCTGTTATTCTACTAAAAGAAAATCTTAAGTAGTTTCTTGGTTGTTAGTTCTTACCTTTTGAACACTCCTTGTTGGCGTTTTAAGTTTGATACTCGACAGTTTTCAAAGCATAGAAACTATCTTGTGAAATGTTTGTGGAAATATTTGTCGTTCGTATTTAATGAAAAGGATTAAAAAGTCCGAGACGAAACCTTTTTTTGATATGATATATCAATTATATTTGAATATGAATTATATTCAACCATAAAAAGGATGTAGAATCTGTTGTGTAAAATAATAGTTGGTAAAGACTAAAAAACAGAGAAACAGAAACTTAGCAAAGTAGTCATAAGAATTGACATTCAGTTTCAGTTGATACATTGGGAAAATAGATAAGATCGTATTTGCATAACTTTACAACCGAAATATATCAATAAAACTGTAGATTACAGGAAAGCATTAAGTATTTTTTTCCTGAGCAATGTCGATCTTGAAATCTTTTGCAGCAGATCTTGCCACATCAAAAGCTTGCAGATGCATCAGCAGTGATATGCATTTTTTTATCATTAACCTGCACAAAGAAGAGAAGTAGATCGTTTCGGCTTTGAAGTATTGGTGAATTTGGGAATGAAAAGAAAAAAATCATAAATTTGCCTTTGATGTCAATAAAAATATTGCAGAGCTGCTTCTTTACAAAAACTAAAAACATATACTTACCTATTTTATGCCAAAGAATTCCCTTAATATTTGTTGAGCCTCAACATTCTTAAAAACGTTTAATTCTAAGACTAAAATCATTTTCTTAAATCATTCAAAAGAAAAACTTTTTACTCGTTTTTTTCATCATTAATATATTGCAGGGAAAGGGCCTACCTAATACAGCACAATCTTCATTGACCTTTTTCAAATATTTTGCGTGAAAGTGCTGCTTGACTTTTTTCATTAAAAAATGTATATAGAAAAAAAGTTGAAACGTCGATATATTTGAGCATGGCTATCATTCTTAATTAAATTTTAAACTTCTTATTTCGAACCTCAAGATTATTATATTGAAGATCATAGAACAATATTGATTCATCTATCTTAGCAATTTTCCGAAAATTTGTTCGAAATGAAAATCCCGAGCAAGGTTTTCTTGCAACAATACTTAACGTTTATCTTTAAAGCGACCAAAAGACACACATCATGGTTTTGAGTAGCAAACAACAACTAAAAGACTGCCTAGAGATTGTGAGATGATGGTCACTGAAGCCTTCTCTTACTTTGATTGTGGAATTTAGAAATCACAAAGGGTCTGCATCTGAAAGCCTACCTTTCGAATCATAACTTGCAAGTTGTTAAATGTACTTTGGAGTCAGATAAGCTGTCAGACCGATCTATGGTGGTAGTCAGTCAAAGAACATGATATATTCAAGCAAGGAATAAGGGAAAGTTTGAAAATGAGCAGTCAGTCTGTCAAGCACCTTAAAGAAATTCGCCACCAGTTTTCTTATCAATGCATATTTAATTTTCCTCTAACGTAAGATGACTTCTTTAATAGATTCCTGGTTTAAAAACATCGAAATGGATGTGTAGGCAACGTTTTTTCAATCCAAACAACAACAAAATAAAGACACGCCAGTGCTTCTTCACATACTTGGCCTTTCTTTTTTCTTGGTCAGAATATCCCAATGAAGACTTGAAGATCTGACCAGCTAAACTATTGATATATCTTGCAAGTGATTGTAAACAGGATGGAACATTATCAGAGCCGTCAAATAACGCTTTTGGTAGGATCGCGATTATCTAGAACAAAGGGATAGATGTCATCTTCTGTATTAGGAGAGTCAATGGAGCTATTCAACAAACAAAAAATAGAAAAAAGTTTAAAAAATGTCTCATTAAAGTAGGATTTGACTGAAATATACATCAAACAATTTTATGATGTTAAAATATATAGACACATTATTGGCGGTATGAAAAGTAACAACTAGATAAACATGTTTACTGAAATTAAACGTTTTTATTGCATGTGAACAAAATTCTTTTGGATTTATTCTTCGAACATACATTACCAGCGAACGTGCCAACTTACATCTTTACATTTCTCCAATCTTTCTGATGTATTTGTCATTTGTTGTAAAGCGACAATGAGATACCGATTAAGGCAGCTATCAACCCCAAGTTCTTGCAGGGTTTTCAAAGACAGAAGTTCTTTCCACTGCATGATATTCCCATAAAGCTAGGATTGATGAGGGGTTGTTAGAGCGTTCAATAAATAAGAATACGATTTTGTTTCATATTGAATTACTATGAATAAGGCTTTGACTTGTAACATAAGGTCGAATTTTAGTTGATAACAAAAAGATTAAAGGCAGTTAGTGTTTATTCTGTCGATATTTTTTAATCCAATTCTTAAGATCGAAATACCATAACATAAACATGGACATTTACTGATTTCAAACTAACCTTGAAGCCAGACCAGAATTGTCTTTCAAGAAACGCTGAAGCTCCAGATGATTTGTTTTCTAGCAGTCTATGAAAGTACAATATTCAGCTTTGAAAATATTTACAAGATATGTTACAAGCATTTGTAATAATGATAAGGTAAAGTATGTGTACAGAAGGGTGAAGACAGATTCAAATTAAAGGTGTTATACAAAGTTATCAAAGATGTCATGAAACTAATTTATAAAATATTTTTCAAGGGCTTGAAGGGTGGGGGATGTAAGCGCCAATCTTTTTTGTAGATTTTTTTATTTTCCCGGTTTTAAAAATCAAATTGAGAAAAATGGCTCTATTGGTCCCACTGCGCCCGTCTTTGCACTTAGAGGAAGCCCCGGAAACATGGAGGAAATATCACAAAAAATATTCTTAAATCATTCTTCTGACGATTTGCATTGCCAGCTCCAGTTAACATGAAGATAGCCAGGCCACCCCTCTATCAGGCTCCACGTATTGCAGCAACAATTTGAAATAAGCCCAGTCTATCTACAAGGCCAACGATGGATCAAACTTATCACCTACGTAGCTTACTGACTAGCACTCAGCAACCCAGCTTATTGACTAAGAGTTATTACGTTTTAATAGAAACATCATATAAAACCATTTAATTTGACTTTACAAGCTGTTAGTATTAGTTTCTTTTCACGTATGCAGTGAGAAACAAACACACACAAACATTATCAAAACCTCATCTAAAAAATCCAAGTACTTTTCCGTCAAATCCCCTTGAGACCCAAGTCTTCATATGGAACCTCAAAATTTAAATAAGCCCCCCCCCTTCAAACTTAGAAGTTTATGAGAGCTTCTACTCTAACTTGGTAGGCACCTTATTGACACAGGTAAAAGGTAGAGGGCCAGTATATAATTAAATATTGAAGCAGGTTTAGTACTGGTTGGTGCAAAAATCCCTTTTGTCACTTTACAAAGATGCAAAGAAGCTAAAATGGGTTTACATGACCAGAGTTATCGAATTATCATGTGTTTTCGATTCACTCGAAATAAAATTATGCGCCTAATTTATCAGATAAAAATACACGTATTGTTTGATAATACACAAGCACTGATCCGAGACAATGGGCAAAAAATCAATCTACTTTTCAATAGATTAATCGAACAAGTAAAAAAGTTTTGATTTTTGAAAAACTGAATTCAACAATCTGACAATGGCACCAGTGACTAAACTTTGTTGAAGACTATGTAAACAGGCTTGTGGCATCAAGATTGGCCAAAACTGAACAAATCAACATTAATTGTATAAGAAGATGTAACCTACCCTTTTGAAAAAAGAGGTATATATATTTCGCTGTCGATTGTATTCCGTATTTTCTTTACAATTTCAGTGAATAGATTCTGAAACATAACGAAGAAGAGTTATTAAATAATAGCTCTAAAACAAAAAGCAGGGAATCTGACCAGATTTGGGAAATATCTTTAGGCTTGGTGACACTTAAAAAGAGAGGCCGGCCTACATTGCCAACAATGCTTATAAAATGTAAATAAAGAGCAGTGCAAAGATATGATGTTTCTATTTAAGTGCAAAGATCATTTGAAAAATTTTATGCAAAAAAATCTCACCTCTGTGTTCTTGCTTTGTTTTTGTAAAGTTGGATAGTCATCAACAAGTCGCTGAACGTGTAAAATCAGTAGCTTTGTCTGGGTTTTAGACAGTGGGTCCCAAACAAATTTGACCAAATCTGTACGGAAGATAGGAATAGATAATTTACCTTTATGGAAATCTAGGTTTTTATTTTTTGGACAAAATTATCTGTTAGAGATAAATTTGAAAACTTCCGCAGCTGCTTTGAACCGCTCACGAACAGCTGATTTTACAAAACGCAAAGCGAAAGAAGGGTAAAACAGCGAATTTCATCGGTAAGACATTATGCTATGTTACATAGCATGACAACTGGGACTCAAAGAGCCGGTTTACATAATGACGTATTTAATCGTAAACAGTACAATATCATGCGGTATTGGCCTTTCCTTTACAAGAAGACATTGATGAATATGGTATGGCATCTACACTGACCAATACGGTTTTGAATGAAAACGACATCATACTGTAAGACAAGGATTTATAAAGATGCCGTTATATTTGATAACGTATTGGTCAGTGTCTTCATTTCATACCACTTACAATAGTTTCTCATCAGAAAGTAAATATATATGTAAGTAAATATGAAATTATACCGTATTCATTTTAACCATGAACTGTATAAACAGAGTCTTATCTATCAACACATCAATAGGACTTGTTACAAAGTCTATTTGAAAATAGCAATAATAAACTGCAAAAAAATTCTATATTAGTGCAAGAACAAGAAGCCATATTTTTGTGGCATATACCAACCGATAAGACGGGGGAGAAGAACCTTTTCATTAACTAAAGGAATAAGATTTGAGTCTTCTTTGTCTATTGTTTTATCTCCAGCCACGTGACCGTACATCGCCAGTACCCTAAACCAATCAGTTTCTTCGAAATCCTTGCAATCTATCTGAGGAAACAATAGAGAAAAAACATCAGATGCTGCCCGGGAATAGTCTTAACAATAAACAGTTTCATACAACAAGATCATTTGCCAAAGATTGAGAAGTTCTTTGCATATAGACAGTGTTGATCAACATAAACACAATAAAAATTACATTCTAATAATCTTCAATAGAACGAATGTGAGTATTCCCCTCAAGACAAAATAAAATTTTTCAATGGTGCTCTTAAGCGTAAGAGCAGACTTCAAAATGCAAAATTGACGGCTTTTTAACACTTTGGCAGTGTAGTCAATCAGAAACTGACACACACACACACACACATTTGAGAGAAATAGAAATTAAAAATCTCGTCAGCTAAATTCTTTCTTCGATTGTTAAGTGACAGAAAATACTGAATCTTCGAGAATCCCTTGAAGAAAATATTGGTTCACAACTATATCGCACTAGAAGCACTGAAATGTAAACATTGGTGTGGTGAAACTTTGCTTTTCGTAAAAGCATAAAATCGACGAATGCTAGATTATAACCATTTTATACTTACATTCAAAGTGACGGTAATACCGGGACATTTGCCTCAACAAAAACTTCCTTAAGAGTGGATTTACATCAAACATCAAACATAAGTATCGCTAAATGGCTTTGGCTTTTTAGAATAAAACTCGAAGGTACGTATTTCGATTACTGGTCATCTTTGGTTTAAGAATCAGGAAAATTTTTTAAAACAAAAAATATTATTGTCACCGCGACAATGGCTTCAAAAAATTTCACAGCTCATTTCGTTTCCCAAGACGAAGTAACGCATACATGTCAGCCTCATATTAGCAGCCACTGAAAAAGGCAAACAAACAGCACATCAAGCGTAGGGATGTACCGGATATCCGGTAGGCCGGATAATCCGGCGCCGGATCGCTGATTTTTTGAAAATCCGGTTCCGGCCGGATTTGTTTCCGAAATCCGGCCAGTTGCCGGATTTTCCAGAACTTTAATCAAAACTAAGAAAATTTGGAAAACCAAGTCAGACTCCCTTCATACAGTGATGAAAAATGGATTTTCCAGAACTAAACAATACCAACGATAAAACAAGCGCCTTGAAAACAGATTTGAAATGAAAGTGCTCGTCATCACGAAACAGGAAGACTGGATGATATAATTCACAAATTTGGTCCAGGGTTGCCAGATCGGCTTTTTAGGCCAAATTTTTCATTTTTGGTTTTTAGATTTAGATTGCCTGGAAAAATTGTTTTTTGCTTACTACTTAAATTTGACCTTGTTGGCCTTTTCAGCAGACGTCCAAAATTAATCAGTAATGTGTATGAAAGTAATTACTACATTCATAGAATAATTAGTAGTTAACTACAGAGTGTTAACCAAATTTCAAATTTTATCACTAACCTAAATATTATCTTGATATTAGCAAAGGGTTTTGAAAAAAAGTAAGATTCTTGTCAAAGTTAAGAAATTATCTAACAGGCACAAGCGTAGCATATAACCAGTGCCTGCTCGATGGATTCTTGAGAGAGTTTTTGATTTGGCTTTTTTATGAGCATTTTGGCTTAAATTGCTCACCAGTCTAGCCTTCGTTTGTAAATTCAATCTGGCAACCCTGAATAGGTCTCTTTGATCTTCTCGCTATACATTTTTTCGCAAAGCGGCTCAAAACTTTTTATTACTGAAAATTCTATAAATGGTCAGATTATCCGGTAGAATCCGGCCGGATATTCCACGAAGAAATCCGGTAAATCCGGTTCCGGCCGGATTCTGAAAATCCTGATCCGGTACACCCCTAATCAAGCGACCAAAATCTGTCGCAAATTAGTAGATGCATTGATGAATGGAAACAGAGGTTGTCAGTTGACTCTGTTCTAACAATCTGCTTTATAAACCAGTTGAGGACAGGTGGAGGGGGGGGGGGGGGCAGTCGCCCCCAATATTTTGGAGAACAATGGTATTTTGTTATAAAACAACGAGACAATGTAACGTCGTCTTACCAAAACAATAGGTTTTCCCTTCCCCAATATTTGACAAAGTGATATTTATGTAATCATGTAAACAAACCTGGAGTGGATTCCATTCTAACATTTCCAGACGCCAAAACGGGGAAAAGAGTTTTGGAAGACAAAGATGAATGTAGGCTTCTTTGTAACTGTCACTAAAGCCAAATTTCCATTCTTCGAAATGGGATTTGATTTCGTCCAATGAAGAAAATTCAGGTATCACGTCTTCGAAAATTACCTCTCGTTGTTTGAGTAACCGTTCTGAAATAAGGATAAGACCGTTTCAAATACGGAAAAAGCAACTGAAACTGTTAGTGGCGCTTGACATTTTCCTGATGGTATTTTGGAACAGGCTATATATTTATGACAAGCCTCAACATTGTCAGATATCTTGATATCCTTTTCTATAACAGAAATCCATTTCTACCATCATGACTAGGCCATGCAAAAACGCGGAACAACAACTGTTCGCCCTGAAGGCGAATATCTTAAACCATACAGGCTTGCAAATCCAGGACCAAAAGGGCAATGAATCCATACCTTTATCAGTTTTAAACTTATTCACCTCCGAATCAAGCTCCTCATCATCGCTAGACATTCCTTCATGATGGGTTGATGCGCTACTTCGTTGCTTTCTCCTTCGGTTTCTTCTGCCTTCCCTCTCTGCAGCCCTTCGTTGTCTGGCAGTCTCTTCATATTTCCCACGATCCCTTCCAAATTCATCAGTGCTATTGCTTGAAGTTACTGTTGGTAAAAGCAGGGGAACATCAATAGCCAAAGCTGATGACTCTGACAAAGATGCTTAACTTATGTGAATTTCTGCAAACAGGATTTGACCTATAACATCTTGAAATGAGATATAGCAAACCTTTGACTTGAGCTTTTCCACTTATTTGGCTATCCTCGTCCTTTATGTCATCTAGTCTTCGTTGATGAAATTTGTGTGCACGCTGCTTCCACAATTGGAGCATTGAGCTTTCAAGGTCATTGATCACAGGAACCTAGTAGAATAGCAACAACATGTTTTATTATTCATATCGTCAAACAGAGTGGGTAAAGTAACAATAATGAATAAGAAAAACAATCAATAAAGACTTAAAAATTATGATCTGATTAAAACACGAAAACAAGCTTTCAGTCTCAAGCAATTTATGAATGTTTATAGGTTCACTATCTACAGGGTCTAATTCTGTCATACTTATACCAAAAGGCAGCATCCAGAAGCTGGAATTTCTAGCTTTGGCTTAAGTGTTTTTGACTCATTTGATATCAAACTAATTTTTTTAGCATTTCATATCAAACAAAAAACTTCATAACAAAGAGACAGCTGTTTTGGCAAATAAAGCCTTTTTCACAAAATCATTGAAGTTGTACTTCAGATGAGATCAGAAAAAGCCCTCAACCATCTTGCATGCATTGGTTCCAAACACAACGAGCAATCTTAATTTCTGTTTCATTGCCCTAATTGCAACTTTCACAGCAATTTTTGAAGAATATTACTGTTTGAACTTCTTCTAAAAACAGCTTCTTATTGTCTAAACTTGTCAAAAGTTTGGACTTAAAGAATCATGACAGCAATTATATGAATTTTAAAAAAGAAACCACAAATTTAAGAAATTAGATATCACAATTTAGGTCATGTCTCGGTTGCCTTATTCTACAGCCATTGGAGTAAAAAATTTCATTCTTCTGAGAACATCTGGCAGAAAATGTTTGAAATAGTCATTTTATCAAACTATTACAAAGAATGTTTGCACCCACCTGACAATGACTTTTACAGACAAGTATCCTGATATAAATAGAGTCTGGATTATCATTTATTCCATTTGGAAATTCACTTTATGATGAATCGTATTCTCTATGTGTTTTAAACTTAGACAAGCTACTCTTCATTTTAATTTGAACTTTCTATTAAATATCATTTACCTTTTCATTAAGGCAGTCAATCAAGTCTTGAACATAGCCACTAATCTCTTGATAAAACTTGAATCTATCAGATACATCTGCAAGTTTTGATTCCAGTGAAATAGTGCTTTTCTTATAGTTTGCAACATCATTTCTGTATTTTTCAGCCTCAAGAACGTGTGCACGATGAACTTGTTGGATGGAATCAAGGCGCTCCTTGATTCTATTAGAGACCATTTCTACAGTAACATTTTGCATCCCTTGTGGCATTACTGAAGGCATACTCTGGACAGGAAAGCCATATGTTATTGTGGAACCAGCTAAAACAATGAATTAAATATATTCAGCTTTTAAGGTCCAAGATGGTAATTTGTAAAAAGCCTTTAACTTACCAATTTATCACTTTCCACTAGCTTTTTTGCATACTAATTCAATTACTGATTTAATCTATAATTACTCATTCTCAAATTTTACTAGCTGCATTCAAAAAAATAAATCACAGATGAAAAAAAAGCTAAAATATATACATGTTTTACTGGGAATGATATGTGATCAAACCCTTACAGCATGCCTTTTCTTAACTAAAGATGCAATTTGTTGTGCAATTGTTCTTAAAATTTATTAACTTCCTATCTTTTTATTACTTTATGTGTCTAAGGTACCTCCAACAGATACCAATTTTTGTGAAGGGAATAAAATAAAGGAATCAGTGTAAGGAAATATGTGCTGAGATACACATGCTGGAAATTATTGAGATAAAAATACTGGAAACTATTGTCCGAGTTTTTTTTCAATTATCTTTGTTCCAAGTCAGCCTTGTAAATATATCTGTGTCATTTGCATGAAATTTGAGAAAAGACTAAAAAGTAAATTTAACAATAAGGACAGTAAGAAACAAAAAGGTTCCAAAAACTGTAAAGAAATCTTCTTTACCTTGTCCATAATAAAGGTACGCACCAGAAAATGGAATTATTGGTTGGACATTTAGATCCATTGTTTTCATGTCATTTTCAAGAGTTGGTGCAGCAGGCCCGAATGCCTGCTCATTTAGAGAAGCAGGTATACTGGCACCCTTTTTTATCTGTTCCTGTTCCCATATATTCAGCTCTTCAGCAGTATCCTTTTCAGTGCCAATATCATCATGTGCCTCTTCAAGTGCCTTTGCAACCTAAAATAATTCATATACTACTAAATGTATGTTTCCAAAACATTAAAACTATAAAAATATTTTATAACAAAATAGAATGGCTTGAGAAACTCTGTATGTCTTTCAGTCTTTAAGGATGTAAATGTAGCAATTTTCCAGTATGCAAGGAAGCCCTTTGTGATATTCTAATTTTGATAAATTCTTAAATTTTTACTTCAAGTTCTCTATGAATGATCAAGTGAATAGGTATATGCAGACCTCTTTCCTTCTTTCTAAAGCTGGGAATGACTTCTTCTGAGTTCCCTTGAATTCTATCCTTTCTTCATCACTATCTTCATCTTCTTCTCTAACTAATCTTGACTTTGAGCTTGAAAACCTTCCTTGGTACTTAACAGTACTACTTGTTTCAATAGGAACAAAATCTGCACCAGTTCCAAGCTGCCGTGCCCTTTCTCTCTGCTTTTTCATTGCAAATATAGTAGCTGCATCAGGGATCACTCCAGTGGACAAACCTATGTAAGGAAAGATTTGCGTATAAATTGGAACTATGTTTTAAAATGAAGGTTTGGGGGTGGATAATTGGTAATTTGTTAGGATTTCTCTCAATTCTATGACCTAAATTAAGTCATTATAGTTTTCATCATAAGGAAATCACCATGGGGGTGGTAAACCACATGCATTATTTTTTTCATGCGTGCAATTCTTAAATATCAGGCTATTTTGGACCCCGTTTACACAGTCCCGTTCAAAAACGAAACTGATGGTACAAAATTTGTTCTATTTCGTAGCAGGGTCAAAACTATTCGGGATGGCAGAGCAAAATTAGCTTTGTTTTAGAGTGCGTGCAGGAGAACGAAAGGGTGAACAGCATCTATTTTGTCCTGGTGCAAAAGTGGACAATTAGGCACCTGTGAGCGAAGCGAGCAGAAAATTATGCGACCACGCCCTTTAAATTAGCTTAAACTCATTCATTTGCTTAAATGTTTTATTGTTCATGGGCATAATTTTGTTACTTTTAATCAATTTTATTTCAAAATAGAATTCATTACTTTATAAGGCCCCCTACAATTGGAGGCCCTTGGGTAATTTGCACAGAGCCTGACTGCTTAATGAGCTTTTCTGCTGTGTTCATTCGAGAACATTCGACATTACAGGACAACTATAGGGAAATATTGATTGATACAGTGGCGTAGATAAAGGGGGTCAGGGGGCAGGGCAAACCCCCCCCCTGTACAGCTAAATTTTTTTTTTGTCGGAAAACTTCTGATCTGATCAGAAATTAATATGGTTCTCTATTTTAATCCAAATGTTACATTTTGAGATAAAAGATTTTAAACCTGAATATGGTGATATCTTCCGTTGTTCTGAATCAGATTGGCAATCTCTTTCATTAAGGTATAGAACTTAAAAATGCTTTTTTGCAGAGGGAAAGACAAAGAGAACCTCCAAGTTGTATAGTCTATGACACGTAACTTACGTGAAGTTATGTACAAAATTTTGAAAAAATAGAAGCTCTTATATATTTTTTTTTCCAGAAAATCTAAATTTCTTTGCCCTTTGATGAATTTTCCTATCTACGCCACTGGATTGATAATAACCTTGATTGTTGGAAGATCTTCTTTTTGCATGTCTATTTGTTGCCTGCCTGCCGCATCATTAACAAAATAACCCATCTTTCTTTGATCAATTTTATCAATATTTACCCTGATCATGGCGAAAATGGGAAGGTAAAAGTTTTGGACACTAGCTGACGATGGCCACGTTTTCGGGAGAATTTGAACAAAGCAAAATGATTAGCCACGATAGGGAGCAAAATTGGCATTCTTTAAAGAATTAGCCGATGTTGCTCAGGTTATGAAAAACAAAACGTCTAATATTTTGTTGAAGGAAACAATTTTATTCAGGTCAAAAATACCAGTCAAATATGCAACTCATGCGTGCAACCAATCGCTGGCATTATTGGTGCCATGCATGTGCTGATGCGTGCATGTGCTATCGCACGCATTAAACGACAAAGACTGTCACAAACTGTCTTTACTGTGAATAAAACTGTGAATAACACTTTGGTATGAAAAGGTTAATCATAATCTCAAAGTTTGAAACTGTCACTTGCAGAAAATGTTTTATTTATATAATTAGGTAGGTTTTTAATTCTATTTTATAAAGGCTAGAAATGAGTCAAATTTTGCCAAGATCTTAGACAGGCAAGATTCAAATGTAAAACTACCCTTCAGTCCAGTTGCAACTGGAAAAACAATTTTGTGCCAAAGCTAACTGTCTATTAAACATTTTAATAAATACACGCTAAACCCATGCTTTACTTTTTGAGCAATAAAATGATCGTTCATATTTGAGGCTGACAATAGTCAGTTTGAATGTTAGGTGAAAACAAATTAATTTAATTATACCTGAATGTATGTTTTGAAAACCAGAATTTTGATCATCATCGTCATCCTCATCACTATCGCTGTTAGTGTCTCTATTGTATGACCCTGGACTATCAACAGCATCTTCATCTATGGAGCCAATTTTAAACTTCGGAACAGAAAGCTCTTTCTCTTCTTCGATAACTCCAACTGTTTCTTTTTTCTTCTTCTTTTGTTCTTTTAGCTTCTGACTAAGCTTGCGACTTTCTCTAGACTTCTTCAAAACGAACTCTTCACCTTCTTCTAGCTCGTCTTCAAAACTTAGCAGTCCTTTACTTGACGATTTAACAATTTTCTGCTTTTCTTTTGGTTTCTCCGAGATCATCGAGGTAGAAACTCCTTTGATTCCATTATTTGACTCGTTGAATTTTGCTTCATTGGCCACTTGGTCTTCTTCGTGGTCATCTGAGGTTGCTTTCTTGCGAAAGTTCTTTTTTGGTTTCTTGAAGGCTATCATCTTTTCAAATAAACTTTGCTTATATCTAAGGTCAACTCAGACGGAGGAATACCGTTCACACATTGAGACGAATCAAATAAGTTGAGTTGAATCACTGTTGTTGTTGTTACCCCCAAGCTGTTGTTGTTGTCAGTCGTTGATGTTGTAAACACAGACAGTAATGTCGTATGATCCAAGCCAGTGGTATAGCTACAGCAAAAATAAACCGAACGAGATACCCTCTGAGAGAAAAGCTACACTAATTGGTGGGTTATGCAAAGATGTGAATGTCCTGCAAGAAAAAGTAGAAACTGAGTTACCTAGTACTTGTAGTGGAACACAACAAAAACATGATGACACAGTAACTGTGGGAATCGACCCCAGCTCAGCAGTTGATCATGTGTCACCGAAAGAGGCTCCAGCTACAGCTAAAAATACCAACGTCCATTCAGCACATCAGAAGCTAAATGGTCTAGTTTTAAGACTGCAAAAGATGATGAAAGAACTACCAAGGTCAGATGATCAATTAAAGCTTGTAAATACTAGCATGAGCATGATGCTGGTGTCATATAGCTGTTATAAAAAAGGCAGTGTCATTAATTATAAATTTGCATAGACTTGCTTAATCAAGCCTCATTGGTTAACTGAAATTAAACCATTTCAATGAAATAATTTAAATTAAAATTAGATTAGATAAAATGAAACAATCTAAAATGGACTGTACTAAATTGGCTCTGTCAGATAAAACCAAATTTAGAACTTTTACTGGTCAGATCAACATAAACATGATAATAGTGATTTCAGGCTTGAAAGGCTAATATTCATTTTTGAATTTGCAAATCACTAAGTGAGTGATGAAAAGAAAAACAATGTTATAAATTTGATACTAAAATCTAATTTGATTCTTGACTAAGGAAGTAATGGGGTGGCAGGAAACCTTTTGCACACCCTCAGTTTTTCTAATAAAATATGCAAAAATACTTCATAGTTGTGCCAAAATATTTATTTTTGACCAGTATATTTACTAGCAGCAAATGTAACTGGAACAATATTTCCTTAATTTTGATGTAAAGTAATTCATAGTTACCCTGTTCTACAATTTCTATCAGAAAAGGGAACCCTGTTCTGCGGCACATCCCATATGGAAGTGCTCCCCCTAAGTGTATAACAGGCCATCAAAAGAATAATTTGTGTTACTTGTACACTTGTATATGTATCTTTATGGCATCACTTCTCATTCTTGCAGCTCTTACAAGAAGAAATTCAGCAATGAAATTATAACACAAATTGGAGAGTCTCTCCTTGATGACACAGTGTTTGAAATTGTAAAAGGTCTTGAGGATATCCAACTGCTATCTGAGAGGAATTTATTGAATAGAAGAATGAAGATATTGTCAGAGCAGAAAGGTAAACCTTTTTCTCATCTGTTGCTTGGCATGTATGCATAGGCGTAGACTTGCATTTTTTTCAGGGGGGGCTGAAAATATTAATGACAATTCCTAATGGCAGCTGCTGGAGTCACAGGATAGAAAATGGATTTGCTAAGGGCTTAAAGGTGATTTTTGTGTGCATTTTCATTATCGAGGAAGAAGAAACACACATGAGATGATAAAAGGGTATTTTTAAATCATAATCAGTTTCTTTAGGTTGAGATCATCAGTTCTATCTAGGCACCCAAAATGTTTATGCGTGGAACCAATAATATAACAAACTAATCTAAAAATTGGTGAAGCACTTCCTTATCTTCCAGGGGGCACTCAGCCCCCCTCGGTTTTCCTCAGGAGGGGCTGAAGCCCCAGAGCCCCCCCTAAGTTTACGCCTATGCATGTATGCACACATAATGCTAAATTATTTTAAATAAACAACAGGGAGCTGCTACTTCTAAGTTTCATGTGCTCTCTCTAAATAGTAAAGGGCAACAGTCATAACAAGCAGTCAAAGGGAATATTTATCCAGGAGCTGCTTGTCAGCCAATTGTAACTCCAAACTGCAAATTATCTTGCTGGTGGGTTAATTAGGCAGTTATGCATATTTTTTAATACTTATACTGTAAATAATTGTGACATCAAGTTAAATAGTTTCTCTGCCTAATGTATTGCACTTTATACATATGAAATGTATAAATCACTAACAAAAAGTATCTTCTAATGCCCAAAAGATAAATTGCCAACAAAATATTTTTTCACTTTGCCTTTATATCTTCTTTTAACATATAGTTTCAAAGACCCATTGAACAAAAAATATTGACATTTTTTTCCTGACGTGATATGGAAGGATTGGGATAATTGCTTTGGACTAAAAAATTTATGGTCATTATTATGCTTGCTTTCAGTGAAACCTTTTTCAATAAGCCCATGTTTTTCATATTATAACTTGCTCTAGCTGTTGAAGATTTAAGAAAAATGTAAAAGAACGGTTAAGGCAAAATTATCAGAGTTCTCTTCTTTTATTATTGTTGTAAATTTTGGATGTAAATGTAAATCTTTTATTGTAAATGTGACTACATCAACAGAGGCCCTAGGATTATTATCTATTGTAGTGTAGCTACAGCAAATTTGATGACTCAACATTTAAAAATGCTGTAAAAGAAAAGTAAGGCAAAAATAACTTTTGCTTTGAAAATTTTGAAGTTTTCATTGCTGAAGTTCTGAATATTCCAGACAATCGTGTACCAATAAAGAAAATATATTTGAGTCAATGACTGCCCACTTATGACCAAAGCCCTTGAGAGGACAATCATGAAGAGTTCCCAACTAAGAATGTATTACTACTGCTAAAGAATGCAATGCCGAAAGTCTGAAATAACTTTAGAAAGCAAAGAAATGAATATGTTAGATTATTACAAAAAGCTAAAAAGGATTGCTACAAGAATCTTTACCTCAAGTATTTGATGGGTACTAAGAAGTTTTGGAAGTCAGTGAAATCTCTTCTCAATGAAAACCCCCTCAACATTATATCTTTAATGAAAATGATGATATTGCTCCAGAAGACCTAGTAGTTGCATGATCTTGAGAGATTTTTTCAGTAATATCATAAAGTCCCTGAATATTGCAGATATCAATGAAAGCGAATTGCCTGTCGATAGGCATCTCATCCGAGTGAATTTATGATAAAAAGAAAGTATATCAGGTGAACAGTTTGGTTATAGACCAGGAAAGGGAACAAGAAATGCAATCTTGTGCTTAAGAACGATTTAGAAAGTGTATAGAAAAGCAAAGCAACTTATACATCTGTTTTATAGATTATGTGAAGGCGTTTGACTGTGTAAAACACGAACAGCTGATAAAAATATTAGAATGACTCGAAATTCATGGAAAAGACCTCTTGCTTATAAGGAATTTATGTTGGGACCAAAAAGCTGCAATTAGATTAAATGGAGAAGTGGGTGAATGGATTGAAATTCAGAAGGGAGTCCGACAAGGTTGTATTTTATCTCCTGATTTATTTACGTTTTATAGTGAAGAGGCTCTAAACAAAATCAAGACATGTTATGGTTTAAAACTGGGGACAAAAAATTAAATAATTTGAGATACGCAGATGATACAACTTTGATGGCAGACTCAGAAGAGAAACTTCAAGAACTGGCAAACATCGTATCAGTAGAAGTGAAAAGTTTGGCCTGTCGATAATTTGTCAAAAGAATTTCTCCACGATTTGTACCAAAACGAAACAAATACCAACATGTTGCTTGAAAGTGAATAAAAACATCATTGAACAGAAGGACAGTTTTAAATACCTTGGAAGTGGACAGAAGATCAGACAAAGACATTCAGTACAGAATAGGACTAGTAAAAGAAACATTCACAGATGCGAAGAATTTATTTTGTTCAAAAAGAATCGGACTGCAAGTTAAAAAACGATTATTGAAATGCTACAACCGGACAGTATTAACATATGGGTGTGAGTCCTGGACTATAAGCACATCAATGTAAAAGAAATTAGAAGCCGTGGAAATGTGGCTGTATAGAAGAATGATAAAGTTCTCATGGGAGAGGAAAATGAAGAATGAAGAAGTTCTACGGAAGGTAAACACAGAAAGAAATTTGTTGGACACTATAAGAGAAAGGCAATGGAGATTTGTTGGACATATTCTGAGAGGGAGGTGGAGCTGTGAAACATATTATAGAAACAGAGAATGAAAAACGCTTGACTGGATATAGGAAAAGCTGAAAGTTAAGACAAATGCGGAACTGGGAGATATTGCAAAGGACAGAGACAAATGGAAAAAGGTGGAACGAAGTGTGAAAGACAATTCATGAACGCCTACGGCATGAAATGCTATGGTACTCGAAGAAGAAGATGAACGAAAATATTTTTCAGATGAATTAAAAGACGGCGATGTTAGTGTGCTTTTCAAAATTAATAACTCGTTTAAGAAAGAGTGCTATAGACCAATAATCTTTATACATTCTGCCACAAAAAGTCTCGGAGAGCCTTTTGTTAAAATAATTGCAAACATTTGTGAACAAAGTTCAATCGCCAAATATATTATTTTCCTAATTATAGTCATTTTTCATGAATATACCGTGAAAATTTATCAATGTAGGACGACATAATTTGGTTAAGTTGTTTTCTCTCATATTATGGACATAATATTTTCAAAGTTTTGTTTTTTGCATTCTGCTCAGAGTTTGTTATTCATTATTTTTAAGCAACATCAGTCTTTCTCTCAGGGCCTCTTCTACAATATATGGAGTAAATTTATTGGCCTTTGAAAGCTCTACTCCGTGGCTCAGAAATGATCTTGCAAGCTCTAGTTCGCCTTCTCTATAAGCAATGTCTGATTCAATTGACTGAATTTTAATCAAGGTCGCTGGTTCATTTTTCCCATCAATTGCTTGCTTTACAACCTCAAGACACTTTTTAGCTTGCGTCATCGCCTTCAAACAGACATTAAATTTCCTAATTTGGTCACTGTATGTTCTTAGATATATAGACGCCTTTTGAAACATGACGTAATTTATGCCTCGTCTCACATAGAATCCACAGTCTTCTTGTATTCTGGCATGCTGTAGGTATAGGTCAAAATAGAATAATGCCCGATTCTCTAAGGCTAAATCAGGAACCTGGCATTGACTGGCTAGCATCATGTACGTAACTCCAAACAGATAGCACAAGAAAGTCTTTTCTTCTCCAGATGCTACGTAACCCATGTAGTGCCTTGCTTTTTCTAATTCATTCAACGCACCCTTGTAATCCTTTTCTCTCAAAGCTATATTCGCCTTAAAGGCAAATATTCTGCCAAGTAGCAATGTAGAATTTTTGGCCTTGACTGCAAAGTTCTGCAACAGACTGAGACAGTGATTCGCTTTGGAGGTTTCGTTTTTATTGATAAGAGCGAGTGCTTTCTCAAGGCATAATGAAATACATGCATCGGATTCTTTGGTACATACTGTTGAAGAATAGCTCTCTAAAACCGCTCCATGCTGCTTGAAGTCACCACTGTTTCGAAGACTTTCGCATAGTCTTATCATTGTTCTATGCTTTGCCTTTCCAATTTGCCCAGTGACGTACAGCACATTTGGAACTCTTGTAGGGGCCCAAGCATTCATAACTATTGACCTGATTTGCTCATGTGTATGAATTGACGTATTTTTTATAGCTACATTAGCACTGCTAGTGTTGATGGTATCCACTGGCATAATGAGTTGGGCGTTGTCACCAATAATGGTAAAGTCACTTACAATGTTTATGTGTTGATATGCAGCTTCAGGTGCTGTACTCTGGTCATCGAAACTGAAATGAAGATGTTTGTTATTTTGCTTTCCACAGGCACAGATACCGAGTAATGAATCATTATTGTATCCAGAAGCTTGTGTACAAAGTTTTTTGCTGCTGCCTGCTTGGTCAATCTCAATTCGTGTTGTTGTCAGAAAAGGGCAACCACTGTTTTTTAAACTTGTCACAGACTGCTCTGCTCCACCTATACTAATACACATTTTTATTTCACACTTTTCCATCATTGCTTTCATTTTCCACAAAAACAATTCAATCGCCTCGCCTGTTAAACCATTTGCGCGCATTAATCGTGCCAGCGCGTCTGCTCCCGCTCTTCTATATTTCATAAGGAGACCATCAGTTCCGTTCATAAGACCACATTCACCAACAATTTTTGGAACAGATTCATTTAGTGTGGAAACTGCAACAGTGAGTTTACTGAAGCTATGGTAATTTTGTCTGCTACCTCTAGTAAGAGGACCTGTATTCTGCAAACTGGATAAATCGATTGTTTCTGAACCGGAACTGTATAACCCATCAAACGAGTTTTCTAAACAACGTAGAAAAACGACTTCTGTGTTTTCCCCAACAACCACAGTTTGTCCATGTATCGTTTCATTTAAGATAGTGTTTTCAGGGTTTCCATTGCTCGCTATCTTTGGAATTCGTATTGGTACAATGCACTTTCCGTAATCGCTAAAAACAACAAATTGTCCCGGTTGTGACAAAACCAATTTACTACCAAAAACTTGCCAGCTTAGATAGCAGTCAAACATACGGTTTTTCTCTTCCTCGTTACGCTGTTCTCCGTTCTGCGATTTCGAGCGCATAGCAACTCGTCTTTCCTCTGATCTGGGCATATTTCTATAAAGAAGAGCAAATATATTATCAGTTCAACATATATTTTAATTTTATTTTATTTTCTTATAGACCATATCGGAGTTCGCAACGCAGTAATGGAGTTCTATTGTTCTAAAGCTAGGTCCAGTCACTCAGGTGTGGGAAACCCGGCAAACCAGCGAAAAATTCATGGTTGATAGGGGCTACTTTTTCTATTTCTGGCTGTGAAACCTCTTTAGAATAAAGAAAAACGTTTAGAATGAAAATCTGAATTTTGTTGATTAACAATTATATTCTTTGATCTACAGAGGAATTTACAAGTCTCGATAATATAGGCTGCCATTGTATTTATTGCTATTTTCGCCCCATTTGTATCATGGCGTCGCGCATTAATCCACCAAAGTCCTAGGGCATTTAAGGTCCCTATTAGCATTATTCTTGTAGTCAGAATCATTCAAGGATCAAGGAGCAGTCAAGGATCATTCTTGGCCTAAATCAAAATGTGCAATTTGCTAGAGTGATGAAGTAGAATGGAATTCAGGCGTTTCGAGATTGGAATTCAAATGTGCCCTTTTCGATGCCACCATGATGCCACGCACCCAGCGTCAGCAGAGGCCCTGCTACACGGTTTTTTATCAGACAACCAATAGGAATTAACAGGCGTGTGTCGTGAACCTGATTGGCTAATGCAATATAATTATATGTTTTATTTAGTTCAAAAACGGCGTCAAGGATGAACTTTCACGGTAGTACAAATTCATGAAACCGAAATGAAACGTCTTGAAAAATTGGAATTCCACTCTAAACGTTTTTGTTGTGATATCCAAATGCTAACATGATTGTATCAAATGCTCTTTTAATTTTCTACTCGGGAGAATAACATCCACAGAGGAATGTTTTCACTTTGATATGGAAAAGCTCCGTCAGAAATAACATTGCCACATCCCTCATCAAATCAGGCATTGAGGCTACATTCCCTCATCACAGGGAGCAACGTTGGGCCGTTGGTGAATCGGCACAAGTTGCTATACCTAACCCAAATAAAAATCCTAAACCTTAAGTATAGCTTGATTTACTCAAGTGCAGTTTCAAGTTCTGGGCAGGCAATAGACAAGAACAGATCACTTTTCCCCACCAATAGGCCGATGCACCAGTCCTATCTTAGATTCCTAAGGTATGAGAGGGAATGACAAAATATTATAGGATAAAAAGCCGGACCTATCCTAAACTAAAAAACAACAGGACCTTTTAAAGGATACTGTGATGTAGGTAAGCCCTAATTCCTAAGAGAACAAACAATTTGAAAAGATTCGAAAGAGAAAACACACTTGTAATCTTGTCAGCTGAGGCTATTTTCTCCATATAAACAGAGCCTAACAAAAGTTAGATCTGTATTGCTATTGGTATAGTTAATCCCCAGTCAAATCAGTATCTTTCCCGATTGAAAACATTGTCTTTTGAGTCGCAGGTACAAACGCAAGTACAAAACTAGCAAAACAAACGCTTGTAATGTCGCCACTGCCGTGAGACTAGGTTTTTGAATCTTGCTGTTAGAAAACAAGGCTCTTTTTGTCATTCTAGATTTGACAGGAAAGCCGCAGCGATTAGCACCATCGATATAATGTTTTGCTGCTTGATCCGCTAGAACGTTTACCTTTTTCCGTGCAGAATCTAACTTTTGCAGCAACCTGAGACACTCACGACAAATGTACCGCGATTCCGGCCTAAATTCGACAACAACATCAAGCTCCTGCAACGCGTTTGCAACATTGAACTTACTCTTAGGGCCAACCACCAAATTAAAATCACGACAATTATCCGTTTTGGATAGTGTTTTAAAGCAAAGAATGCAAGACATCATTGATTACTGTTTGAATGCTGTTTGATAGGATACATCATTGGATACTGTTTGAATGCCTCGTGAAATTGAAGAATAAATTTAACTGCGCGCGATCCATGCGGTTAATTTTTTTGGAAACGAGGTCATGATTTTGCTGACTCAGGGAACAAGCCTTTTGACTTTAATTCGCAGACTCTACTCTTCGGGGTAGAAGTGTCTGAGGCTGCGCGCAGGCTAAACAAACGTGAATGGATTAGGCCTTAAACCAGACAGGAGTAGGTAACAAACTAGTAGAAAACCCATTGACGTACGCCGAAAGTATTAACGATAAAACTATGATTTATTAGTGCAGATTTCAAACTTCAACGGGATTTCAAATTGAATTTGAAAATGGCATAAATTATTTTATTACTAGCCATGTTGTACAGAACGTATTTCTGAACTTAGCCGCAATGTTCCTTTCGTAAACTCTTTCCTAATGTAACCAGTAATCAAAATTCTGTTTCCCTTTACCGGCGTTTCCCTCCTTGCAAAATTTCAAGATTTGAAGTCAACAAATTACTGCTTTTTATGAACGCGGTTCTAGTTCTTGTCTCAAAAGTTCAAAATACCATTTAAATTGTAATAGAAGAGCGTAGTACTCACATATCCCCTTCACAGTTGGTTTTATTCACAGCTGTCGTGCTCTTTCTCAAAAGCTGTCGTTCTCAAAATGAATTAAATAATGCGATTAAGCTAGGTTTCATTTATAAAGAAATGCAACAAGGGAAAGTCCCTGCGCTGATGATGTCATTTCTATTCAGTGCTGATGTTGTGTCACAGAATCTGTGTGTTGTGTGCTGTAGGTGAACGATATTCACGTGATTAGCAGCCAAACACCTGCCGAAGAATGAATAGATATCACGTTTCTTGATGTTTACAAGATAGGGTTGTTATAGTATTTCTCGGAAGGAAGATGAAACGAAAGGAAACTTGCTGCTGATCTCAAGGCACGTAGGGGTGGGGGCACTTGGTATTATTTACAAACAGGGACGTAGGAGTGGGGCTATGGGGGCGCAGACCCCTTGTTCAAACTTTCGAAAAAAATGGGGGGCCCCTCGTTGCTTGCGCTTTGATACAGCCAAGAATCAAGTAACGCAAAGAAAGCTGTGAAGAATTGTTACTGTACACAAAAATGTACACAAATTTTGACATATATAGATAGAAAATTCTTGAAAAACTTCATACTGTGTACGTTTAGTTGCAGATTTGTATAGAGAGTTGGTTTTTATTGTTGCATTCGGAAACTGGGTTAATTGCCTGAATCAAAAACCTGTTGCTATTATTTTATACTGTCTTGCCTACTTTTAATATTTTATGCACTACACTCTTTTATAAGAACAATACAATTTTTGCTAACGCTCAATGTTATTATTTTTTTAATGATTTTAGGCTCGGGTGTTGTTAATGCTATACTTATTTCAAAATTTATTTTTCTATATCTGCAAACTATGAATGCTTTCCAATTCCGCTGAATGAAAGTTCTGCATGGCTTTTTTAGTGGCACTGTTCATAAGCTGTTAAAATCTTCCCTGTTTTGTCAAATGAGTCAATTCAAAATCCAACCCATGGTTTATTATTATTAAAAAAAATATCTTCCTTATCGATGCTGTAAACAATTTAGATGCATTTCTGGCCATACTTAAAATGTCATATCTCAAAATTCTTCTGGCCGCCAACCATGATGGCAGCTTTCACTGAACCCCTAAGCGATTTAAACATTTTGCTCCCTTATTTGCAATAGAATTTCCCCCCGCCCTTTCCATGGTGTTGGTTTTCTAATCTTAGGTGTAGCTCAAACCGTCAATGTACTGCCTGCTCAACTAATTAATGGGAAAAAACATAAACTATCGTCAAGTTCCAATTGCACTGGTTACACAACAAGAAAAACTTGGAAATTTCATAGAGCCCCCCTTGTTAATATTTTACGAATACATTCCTGTTTACACATTATTTTCATATGGTAGAAAATAGCAAAATACAGTGATAGTGCTCGCCTTTGCAAAAAGGACAAGGATATTTGAAAACATTTGAGATATAAGGTCTTTTTTTTAAGATAGATAAGCATCTGCCCATTTTGCATTCCTGGTAGTATTCTTTGGGATGAACTTGTCAAAATAAACTCAAAGGCTGTTTCGTTGAAAATCATTTGATTCATCGACACCCGCATAACCTCAAAAGAGTTGTTTCAGTCCGGTCCGAATATTTAACGGTGGATCTTAGGAGTCCTAGTGATAAACCCTTTTCGTATCGAGTAGTAGCGAGAGGCAAATGCTCATGAAAGTATTTATAAATCTTACTTTTAGTAACGTTGCTGGCATTTCTGTATACACATTACGACCTTAAGTTTACCTTGAAAGTGGAGGGGAAAGGGGGGTGGTGATTATAATTTTCGAGAATTTGATAAGTGGGACTTGGCCAAGGTAAACAGCGGAGGACAGCATTGTTGAGAAGCCATTTCAGTGCAAAAATACGTTTTAGCAAGCCATGGCCTCCCCACGTTTTGTCAAGCTACAGAGCTTTTTGCAAATCTTTTTCTCTGAATCTCCTATTATCATTATCCCCACTCCCCTCCCTCCCCTACTCCTCTTTCCAATTTGCATACAGTAGAAGCGTCTAACCCACATTGGCAATATTAATATGGCAATGCATAAGCAATGTCACCAAATAGTATATGTTTTATCCAATCCACGTTTAATGAAACCGCAGACGTTTTTAAGACGTTTCCAAAAAGTATTTGCTGAACGATTTCCGTCTGTTCAACCTAAGAATCTCCCTTTGTTCTTCGATTTTATCAGTCAACTTTGTATAAATATGTACATGTATATTTGTTAATACATTGTTTGCTGAAATGTTAGATAGAATTAAAATAAATTTACACCAACAACAACACTGTAGAAACCATACAGCCAAAACCTCAAGCAGCTTGAAATTTCCATAGAATGTCTCAAGCCTCATACATTGATAGGCCACAATCCGCCAATAAATCGCAAATTTTGTGAGAAATAGTCAGGGAATGGTAATCAGAATAGGCCCCCTTTGACATGTGATTCCACTGATACCTAACAAATATTTGTTTTTTTTGCAGGATTACGGCTTGAGATGAACAAAAGGCATCAGGCTGCATTACAAGAATGCCAGTCAAGACCTCATCAAGTGAAATTATTTGAAAGGGAGCATGCTGAAGAGAAGAAGGTATCAAGCTAGGTGTATTTCTGTCTAGTTGCTTACGTCCAGCCTAAATTCTTACAAGAAGCAGCTTAGAAGTATCTAAACTGCAGCTGATGACTATTAAAGATCTTACTTTCACTGCTGCTTTCAGGCTTTGAATTCCATGCTATTTAGAGAAAGCATAACATTGCTGTGATACTGTAGGTGTACATCTTTAAATGCGTTTTAGAATTTTGCCAAATTATTGTTTATATATTCAGTAATAGCTTTTTATTAACCTATTTAAATGAGGAGGGACAGGAGCAAATCTACATGGCTTTAGTAAAATACTGCAATAGAGGATTAAGATTGCCAATCACTTCAAATAAATCAGATCCATGCTAACAGTGAAATCTAGGCCAATTTGTAAAAGGAATATCAATTTGATTGATGGTGCCGTATTAGAGTGGGCTAGAAAACCACGAAACCCTATCTAGGTAAGAAAAACTTTTCATCACTATTTAGAGGCATGTTTGACGCATTTCGATGGCCATTTAAATTTTCTATTGGATGGACTACTCAATAGACCTATATTTACGTATCCAATCGCCCAATTCTCAATGTCTGTAACTTAGCTAAGTAGGTGACTTCATTGTTTGCTGGTGCCAATTTAGAGGGGAGGGGGTTAAATTCTATTCTTTTAAACTTCGCCACCCTTTTTTTCTTTGGTATGCACAAGAAAAATAAGCCTCAAAAAAAACCTGTGGAATTTTTTTCTTGCAAGCATGTGCTCAAGCATACATAAAAAAATAAATGCCTTGGCAACTGTCTAGACAATTCTTTATTATGCAATAAATTTTCCATAAATGAGCAATTTCCTATCAGTCTTTTGAATCGAGGAAAAATTCAAATGATTTTATATACACAACAGAGATTCTTTAGCAAAAATGCAAGTTTATTAGGTGTGGTTTTGTGTGTCTTTATGGCCGTGGCCTCTAAAAGTTTTCTAAAGCACAGCCTCCTTTCCCAACGTTTAGTTGTGGCACCCCTGTTCCCTTGCTATCACAAGCCCTTCTACATGGGTATCAAAAAGCATGGTATTAAGTAGAAGGCCAGACCACAAAAATTGGCTGTCACGTAAAAGAAGCTTTAGTGCCACACCAAAACCCTATCTATCTTTGTTTCTCGGAGGAATGTTTTCACAGGCTTGGGGTATTGTCCGGAAGAAGGAAGAGACTTTTGTGGACTTTGCAGAAGGACTTCACCTCTGATAGTCTGTACGTGGACTATTGGCACGAGGCTCTCTCTTCAAATGTTCGTCTCTGACTGGGATTTTTCTGATGATAATTTGCAGGATTTGGAAATGAAGCTAGAAAGGGAACTAAATCAACTCGATCAAAAGATGGTGCTTGAAATTGACCAACAAGCCATCGACCAGCAGGCGACGTTACAGGTGCGTTAAACGTAATATTCCGTCAGCTTTCTGAGATACTTGTCTCTTAAATTTGCAAATTTGATTCTAGAAGCATGCAAAAAATGCTAGCATTCGATGTGGGAACCTGAACTTTAAATTCGCTTACCGATCTACTACCCTTTTCTTGTTATCTCCAGTCCAGTTTGTTACAAAATTAATTAAAGTAGCTGTTCTTTTTTGTCACGTACTTTTTGTATAAAACAAGTAAATGTTAACTTAACTTAAATGTTAGACTAGTAATTTTACGAACATCACTCACGAAGATTTGAAATAGTGATGATACCTTTGTGAGTGCCGTTCGTAAAATGTTCACAAAAGGAAATATACTCTACAAAATACCAGGTATCAAAGAAATTTTTCCTCTGCATACCCAGCTCGATAAATAAATTTCTAGCTTGTTGATTTTCTAAAGGAAATGGTAACTTCAAGAACTATTCTGTTCACAATAACAAAGTTGATCTGTTTCTCGCAATTTTTGAATGATCGAATGAATTCCGTCATCTTCAAAGAAACTATGAAAATTACAACATGATGTCCTTGACAACAAACACGACACATAAATAACTGCTTCACGAATATATCGCTAACACCAATCTAAGTTGTCAAATTCCAATCAGAATTCTTCAAAAAAGCACTTTTGTATAGAATTTCACTCAGCAGTTGAAGTCACCTTATTAACCAAACAAGGTTCCAACGCAAGCTAAACCTGAATTATCATGTCGTTTGCAGAGAGCTGGAGTACCGTTGTTTTTTATAACGAATAAACAAGAAGAAATACAGCTACAGATGTATCTTTTGGATTTCATAACGAGGCTCATACCCGATAGCTGTGAGTAAAAATTGATTCCTTTTAAAAACGTAAATGCTCGGTTATTGAATGAGGGTATACATCAAACGGAAAATAATTGAAGAGTAATGAAGTATTCGTCTGTATCTTCGCCCAAAATACCAACGTTTTTAAGTAATTAATGTAGGGGATCTTATCATTCTATGCCAGCACTCATTCAAAAGGTGGTGCTAAATCGGGAATTTATGGTAGTTTTATGCCATGTTTGTCAATTACTTGTTAAACTTGCTGGCTTGTATAGCTTGTTGAATTAAGTTTTATCTCTGCTCGATTTTGGACATTTGTGAAGAGCAATCTTTGGTTTTTTATCACGGCCAAGAATAAAATAACAACAGTTTTTGACGATGCACAATGCTCCAAGCTCTTACTGTTATGTCTGTACAGCTTCTGGTGAAAATCATAGCGGATATTTCTAATTCTACATTTGGCCTGCGGTTCTTATCTTCAAGGGCAAATAATTCTTATTTACATACAACAGTATCGTTAAAACAATTTGATTTAATAATAGTGATCATCTGTCACCTGAAGGGCCTGCACTTGGGTGGCTGTCGTGCTTATTTCAGTTTTCTAAGGCCTGATTTAGAGTCGGCCCAACTCCAATATTTGGATGTTTTTCAAATATTCTACCTCCTGCGATTTTTAATTGTATTGTGTAAACTCGATTCACAATCGAAAAAATGCTTTTTCGTATTCAAGCTAGGTTATGAAGACATTTTTCTTACTTTAATTGATCTATGACTATTTTCAGGAGAGAAATGGAGCCACCAATCTCTACCACGTCTTCAAGCTGTTAATATCAAGCTATGCTATCATCTTTTTATCTGGAATAGCATCAATCTTGAAGAACCTGCTGAGGTTACTCTTGGTAACTTCAGGTTACTCTTGGTAACTTCAGGTTACTCTTGGTAACTTCAGGTTACTCTTGGTAACTTCAGGTTACTCTTGGTAACTTTAGGTTACTCATGGTAACTTCAGGTTACTCATGGTAACTTCAGGTTACTCTTGAAGCCTGTTGATGACTACCTTTACTTGGATAGAAAACATCATTAACTTGAAACTAATGTATAACGCTAGCGTTTAAGAAATCGAACCTCGCAGTATTGCTAGTATTTCTTGAAATGTTTTTTGCAAGTATTTCTTGAAATGGTTTTTGCAAGTATTTCTTGAAATGGTTTTTGCAAAGGATCTCTGCATTCTACTGCAAAGAATTTCTAGGGTTGGATCATTATAATAAGTATCGATAAACACAAAAAAGGACGGTCATAAACTTTGAGCGGACCTGATAGCAATAAACTTCATCGTTGATCATCTCCGCTTGGCTATTTTAGAACTCGCTGTTTGATAAATACTCGCTGTTTTGATAAGAGTGCCCTCCCAGCCCTCCCCTAAGGATATCAGAGCATCTGTACTGTAGTGATGATTTTTCATTTTACTTGATGCCAAACCTATGTCTAGGTTTTCATTTTCTAGCTAGAGTTATTAAATTTAGCAATCTTGTGTTAAGTTCATGATATTTTTTCTTTTCGTACTCTTTGTAAATTAATTTATGTTTGACATGCCGATGCAAAATGCTAAACTGACCAGTACTACTGTTCGAAAGACTCTTATAAGTAATTTTATTTGGTTCTAAATAGATGTTGTTATTTTCGGTTGAATGAAATGAATTAGAAAATAACAGCAGTTTGCAGCGCAATAAAGAAGACTCATAATACCATAATTGTACATCATTGTCAATTTTTTCAGTTTTCAATAATATATAGAGTGAATGACAAAGACACACGCCAGTACAATAATTGAATAGTTAGGTCCTGGCGAATAATTAAAAAAATACCAAATTATGGATGAAATCATCCCTATCTGGAAAATATAAACGCTGAGAGACAAGAGAAAAGGAGACAGGAAAGGGTTAACTTAAATTTGTATCAACTGTAAAATGTACGGACAATCAACTCAGTTATGGTCACGGAACCAAAATAGTCACAAGTCGCTATACATTCCCCAAAGTTTTTATTTGTCCAGGCTGGTACGTCATTAATACGAAAATGTATATCTATACGGCCCTTGAGCTCGAAATCATACCCGTTTTTCATTGTCCTTTGGTAACAAAAATTTCGCTTACCCCACCTTTTAAATATATAAATATATTTACCTTCAATATCATTAGTTAAGTAACTACACATAACATTTCTTCCTTTCATATGGCGGCATCATAAAGCACGTATGCTCCTATTACGTGATTTCCTGTTTAACCCTTCCCCTGTGCAAGCTGGCAAGAACTTAATCAATATAAATCGCATATGATAATTGCGACTTATTACCTTAAGGTTGAGAGGTGATCACTTATCTTTTGAATATTTTGATCCATTGGAGATTAATTTTAGGTCTAGTTTGGTATCTAACATGAACTTACTACAAAATATTGTTTTGACAAATTATGGAGGCTTTCCCTTGAACCCCCTTCCTTTCCTCCATACGACTGTACGCTTTGTTGGACCTTAACATTCCCATTTCCGAGCGTGTGAACTTTCTTGACGTCGAATATCATTGCAAAATATTAGCAAGTAACGAATAAACAAATATACTTATATTATTTACAAATTAATAAACAAGGAAGGGCAAACGATGTGTTTAATTGGTATGTTTATACGGTGAATGGGGCAATGGAGTCCTCGTCACTGGATGATTCATTATCTGTAAAACTCGAGCGCGGTGACAAACGGCAGCCTCTAGCTATGTACGATTGAAGCTTTTCGATCGAGGCCAAAATGAAACCGAGGTAGGGCGGTGAGGGTTTCAACGGTCTTGAAAGAAATTCTGGATGGAACTGGACGGCAACAAAGTAAGGATGATCTGTAAGCAAAAAAAAATTAATTGTTGAATTGTTGACAGCATCATTCAAGATCAATTTAGTATAAATGTATCTTGACCAAGCTTGAATTCTATTTAAAAATGACATATTCGCCGGAGTCCAATAAATTTAATTTCTACAGTTTTAATACGAATTTAACAACTTTTTTAACCAACAAATTAATTCGTTTTTCTAATTATATCAAAATATAAGTTTATCTTGGGTTAATTGGAAACGGTGCAAGAGCAAAAGAAAGGAATTATTTCAAAGAGAGAAAATTAGCAGTGCTTTGGGGACTGTTTTAAATATTTAGATAATTATAATATATTATCGTTCCCAACATGATATAACAAATTACTTTGACATTTTACAACTTACTTTTAATTTACTTCAAACATCTTTTGATTTAGTGGCAAATTGTCTTGTCAGCTATATAATACCCTTCAACACTGATTTATGCTCACAACATGAATAACATTAAGTTAACATAAACAAGATTGCTGAAGTTTCGAAATGGGAAAAATATTATCTAGGGCACTAGAAGACAGGTTTCTGTCGACGTTTAAGACGGACATTATGAAAGTAGGCGCTAAAATACAGCAAGCGACCAAATATTTTTAATGATAAACACTCCTAGAAGAAAATCAGAAGGAAAAAAATGCATGAAATGGTATAAAGTTTATAGAAAATGAAATTAACACTATTGTGAAAACTTTTAAGATTTAAAGGTATCGGATTCGCCGCCCGAGAGAAAAGCTGTTGATGAAACGATAAAAAGACAAGATTATGATCGTATGGGGATGTGCACGGGGGAGGGGGGACGCTTCTGAAAAGAAAGTGATGAAATTAAAAATGCCAGATGAAGAAAAGAGAAGAGGACCAAATAATGTAAGAATGATGTTAGAGAACGGGATTAGCCGAGAGATCATAGATGATGATGATAATAATAATAATAATGATGCGAAGAGCTTGAGTTTTAAATACCTTTGAGCTCAATAATCTCCATTCTTTGACCGTCCACGTCGGTGCCCACAAAGTTCATGCCTCTCTCCTCAAACTGGGCCACAAATGATGGGTTCACCTAGGGCAAATTCAATATTCGATGTTTTAAAAATCAGCCTTTTGTGTAAATTGATCTCCACCAAAGTTGGCCAATCATTTTTGTGGGAATTCTATTCCAATCAACTACACGAAAAAGCTCGATATTGTTTTTAATTCGAAAAAAAGGGAATAGATGATAAAGAATTCGGAATGGCCTTTCTTGTGCATTGCATGTATTCATGTGATAAAATATGCACTGGAACACAGAGAGAGGTAACGAAAACAGATCGGCTCACAGAATTTGCGATCCATTTGCTATGTATGACATTATGTGATTTGATTATTACAATACAAATAGAAGAGGTGAACACACTTCTAAGTAATGCTGTCTTCCGGAAGGGGGGAATGGGACTATATGTCCAGAATACTTGGTGTCTAGCTTTTAATTTTAAACAAATAATTCTGATTACATACATGTTCAAAAACCTTGGTTTGCTGTTTGTGGTGGTGTGAGGTATGGCTCACATTTAAAAAAGGTAAAACGCACAAATCCGAAAACGTTGTTGTGATGAAAATACCTCATATCTATGTCTGTGGCGCTCTTCAATAAAGTCTTTATTTCTGTATAGATGTTCTGAAAGTAAGACAAAAAACTCTATTTATAACAGAATCATGTATCATGATAAATAAAAAAATTGTTTTGAACAACAGTTACAAAGTAACTTCGATAAAAAGTTTCCCAAAACGTTGACAAATCTGTTGATTTCCTTACTCAAGTTATTCTGCTCAATCTTCCCGGAAGGAAGAATGACAAGGAAGGAAAACACGACACCCTTAATGAAGCTCGTTTCTTTGGACTAACGTTGCATAAAAGCAGTTAATTAGCAATAACTACAATCAGTACAAAGAATACGGAAGAAAACTTGCTCACTTATGGGCGACTCTATGTTCTTGAAAACTGTCTTTCTTTTGCCTAGTCTCATTGTCCCACCCATTTGACCAGGATTGTGCTCTGGCATGTCAACTACCTGAAAATCACAACAGAAAAATCAACGAAAGGACGATGGCAGGATGTTATGTAAAGGTAAGAACTATGTATTAAAGTCAGGACGCAATGAAAGATGTTCTGTACAAAGATGATAAGGCGATCTTCTAATGGTTCTTCTTTCTTTCACACTTCAGCGTTTTCCACGTTCAAGCAATTGATTGAAGCTTGACTAAATTAATTATATAACTAAGATAGTACTTGCTTTGACAAAACCATTTTTGGACAACAAGTATAAAACATGGAATTGCCTTAAAGAACTAAATATTTACAGGCATACGTCGAATACGTCGAATATATTTACAGGCATATGTTGTTGTCATTATTTCTGTTTTTAGGGAATACATGGAGAATTTATACACAAAGGTTTTCACTAACAAAAACAAAACTTTTATAGCAAACTTACCACAGGATGTGGTGTATTTGGGTCTAATTCAGTAGAATTGGCGTCTGCAAATGAGAGAATTGTTGCATAAATTATGCGATTCTATTTTGTATAATCTGGATTGAATTGATATCTACTCAATTTTGCAAAATATCGAACAACGTAAGAAAATAATGTTCACAAAACTGGTAAATTGTTACTAAGCAGGTTTCAAAGCACAGACTGCCTAACTGTACTTCTAATTGCAAATCCAAAAATATTTCCAGTGATATGCAACTTGTTCATCGACAAAGACAATATTCAAGCAAAATAATTTATAAATAACAAAAAATATACAACTTCTGCCTCACTCATTGAATAAACAAGCGGGGGCAAAACCGGAAAGGAGTCAGTGGGTGCATACTTGCGGCTTTTGGTTTGTTACAAATAAAAGAAAAATGCCTAGATTCTCAGTGTATCATCTATTGCTCAGTGTTTCAAGTTTTCGAAGGAAAAATGCCTAGATTCTCAGTGTATCATCTATTGCTCAGTGTTTCAAGTTTTCGAAGGTATAGGCGTACTGGTGACCAAATTCGGTACACAATTGCACTGGAAGCAGTTTGGCCATGTTTTGTGATAGTCAGTCATATTTAATTAACACCCTTTTGGTAAACAACAAATATTGGGATCTGCATCCCACCATATTAAAAATTTTATTTAGCTTCACTCTGTTGATAAACAGAAAATGCTATCATAGTTACTTCAATACCTTTCCAGCCAAGAACATTTCTTGCAAACTCTATTACTGCAATTTGCAAACCAAGGCATATTCCTAAATATAAAACATATACTTAAACATGATAAAACAAGTACCAGCATACAGTTTAACAGCAGATACATTATCTTATTATATATAATATTAAACAACATAGCCTGAAGTGATAATGTAAGAATGCCTGGTGGTTGCCAGAAATATAGTGCAAATAGCAATGATTAATATTTTTCTGTGTGATTTATCATATTGAATATTTAAATGATATTATTGCTACTGTGAGGTTCAGTGGGCATCTGAAGCTATTGATCTTAACTTCAAAGTCTCTTAACTTTAAAAGCTCTTGCACAAAACGGCATGCTTAGCGGTAGTTGTTTTGAGAAATTGATTGTGTTTTGCATTTCATGCAGTACGATATTAGGCCTGTCTTTTGAATTATAGTCACAAAGCATGCCGGTTGCCCAAGAGCCTTTAAATGGAAGAAAAACAAAAGAATATCCTTGTTAAATTACATGGTTTATGCAGACTTCTTGTTTTACAAGAAGGTAAAGGCAGTTATGTCCTGCCAGTCAACCATTTAGAGTTAGAAATCAGCTTTGCAGCGTGGTTATGATTGTGAAAACATAGAGGATTAGCTTATTGGATATGTAACAATAGACCTATTGTGTAGTCCAGCCCATGGAAAATTTAAATGTCCAGCCAAATGTGTTGGGATATATGGCCTTTAAATAGTAATGAAAAGCTTTTCTTTTACCTAGATAGGGTTTCATGGTTTTTCTAGCCCACTCTGCAGCTCTGACTTTTCCTTCTGTGCCCCTTGATCCGAAACCACCAGGAACAAGGATGCCACTAGAAAAAATCATAAGTAATGAATAAACTCTCAACAGAATTTTTAATTATACACTTTTTGAGGATTTGTAAACCTCTTTGCAGTGATACATAATTATATCTTCGTCTATCAAAGACCCTATATTCTTACAGGGAAATGTCCGACCAAATTTGGCCCTACTTGGAGTTAGGCCTCTCTGGGAAAAGTGACTAAAAAGGCCCCTGCTGGTTTGGTTGTGTAGACTATTTAACTCTTGCAGACTTTGCTGTTTATCTATTCATATTTGAGTGTGTTTAATCACACACCTATTTTTTATTTATTCATTTGTTTTTTAACCAAAGCGCTGGAAACTGAATCTAAAATATTTTCAGTATCAAATCTAGTAAAGATTCCTGGCAATATTCATAAGCTTTCCTTTGTCGTTGTGCCACCACAGATATTTATTGTTAAAGTTGTGAGAAAACTGAAGAAATGACTTATGAAATGAAGAAATGGAGAAATGAAAACTGAAGAATGGGGGTTTTTTAAGGCTCCATATTCTATGTAATTAAACGTTCGTAGAAATAAGACAAAAAACCAATAGAACTCCACCACACGCCTTAAACCTTAAACTGGCAATATTCATAAGCTTTCCTTTAGCTTTATGCCACCAGAGACATTTATTTTTGAAGTTATGTAAAAACTGAAGAAATGACCTAAGGGGAATTTTTTAAGGCTTGATATACTATGTAATGGAACCTTTGTAGAAATAAGACAAAGCATCAATAGCACTCCATTATACACCTAAAATAGTCTAGGTGTGTGAAATGCCACACTTGTGCTAATTTATTCCCAGGAAGGCCTGGATAGCTAAAGTACTCTTATTTTTTAAAGAAATGAAAGATTATAATGAGTATTCCAGTTTGTTAATAGTATAAAAAATTCAAATATATATTCGTTAAGATTTTCTTTATCTGAAAATAGTACAGAAGAGCAGAAACATATCATTTTAAAGGCACTTTTCTTCTGATACTCATCATAGTAGAAGGGCCTTAAAAAATGTCCAAAGGTAAGCAGAAAATTTACAACAAGATGTGGATCAAGAGTAACGTGAGAGATCAGAAAGCGAGTTTCAGTGGTTCTTTGTTTTTGACAAAAAACTATTTTTTCTTCTGTAAAGCCTGCTAGTATCTAAATATTTTATCTCTATATATAATCACTGTTCTAGAGAAAGGACAGAACAGGTTGAATAGAATCGATACAAAATTGAGCATACTCACTCGCAGCTACAAAGTGTTTGCCAGGCTTCATGGTATTTTACAGGATCTTCGTTTCGTATATCTTCCTCTAAATATTCAGCGTCTACATACTAAATAAAAAAACTCAATTACATACCTGATTAGAAGAGAAAAAGTATTCAAAAATGAAGCCCAAATCTACTTTGCCTAATTCATGAGCCTTGAAAAGACTGGGTGTTTTTCCTTTGATGTAGGTTTTGATGGTAGTCTTTCAAATGCTCTAGATGTTAAACCCTTTTTGCCAAATTATCACTAAGCAAAATTTAACACTATATTTTCATGCACATTTCTAGCTTTTTATCAAACAAAAATTCTATCTTTTTGCTTTGTCACTTAGAATGTTGTGCAATCTTCATTTAACAAAGCGTGATACAACATTTGGGGAACATCCTGGGGAAAAGAACTTCCTCACTGTCAGCATAATCCAAATGATCTTACTATTTATTATATATATATAAGACTTAAATGTTGTTTATTATTGGGCCTGGCTATTTGAGGAGAACCATAGCTCTTGCTCCCCTCCAGGGAGCTACCGATTGCTCTCCTTAATTGCTTAAAAGGGAAATAACTTCATTGAAATCAAATTTTTCTTTGTCTTTATTCTTATTTTGCTACAAATTCTGCTCCCCTGCTGAATGTCTTGTAGTCAAGCCTTTTATTATCTGTGGTAATTATGAAGCACTGTTTAAATAAAAGAAGTTGAAAACCTTGATCTTCAGCTTTCTTTTGCATGCCAATGATGCATGCTTTAATGCCTTGATTACTGATATGTAGGCATCTTCCAGCTTTATGTATTTTCCAACTAGTGCAATAGTTACTTCTTCAAATGGACTTCCATCCCTGAACAGATATATGACATTTATCATTTAGGTAAGTTTAACAAAAAGTCAAAATACTTTGAAATACCAAACAAAAGTTTACAGTTAGGGTAAATAATTAGGTAACTAAACAATCACACACCCTACGCGACCTAACAGGCAAACCACTTGCTAAGTTGTGGTCTTGTTGACAATAATTCCTAAGCCTGTTTTGTTAAAACGTCAAGTGTGAGAGTGATTGATGTAACTATTGGCTATTCAAATTCAAATTTGTGTTATTCAGCAATTGGTTTAAAATTTATTATGGTAATTAATTATCTGTCTATAAAAAAATAAGATCTATATATATATAATTAGAATAACAGCGTCATTATTAGGATAGCTGCTTAGGATGCTGAGCAAATCAAGACAATTTTCAAGCCCAGCACCCTATTTAGTCTTAAAAATATTGAAATTGACACAATTTGAGTAGGAAAATTACATAGAATAGGGTTATATGAAATAATAAAAGACTACATAATAATAATACTTAACATTATTAATCAAGATACGATAACCAGAACTATATATATATATATAATGTAAATAAGCAATAGAGAATTTGAAATTTTATAAAATCAATTGACAAAATAAAGTATACCTGTCAGCCAGTTCTTTCCACTTTGCAAGAAAATTTCTTTTTGTTGGAGATGCAGACCTAGAGCTAGCATTGAAGTCAATGTTCAGCTTATTTGCAAAATAATCCACTAATCCTTGCTTCTGAAGCAGCAAAGGAACTTTGTAAACTGATTCTACATCAGGTACACTGATAACCTGTTAAAACAAATCAATGATTGATGATTGATTAAGAATCTTTATGATTGATTTTTAAGGTGTGATTAGTATGGCAATGGCAAAATGTTTACAACAAAAGATAACTGAAACATTTGATTTCACATAAATATTCTTACCTGCTTGATATCAACCATACAGAACATGGAAATTTTTTGCTTTAAAGAATCATCAATCTCAGATTTCCCTCTACACATGATCTTGAAAAGAAATTGGTAAATGATTATAAGATGGAAAAATGGAAAGATGCTTTTGCCAGTGTAATGCATCAAAACTACTCTTGCGAAAAAAGTATGCCAAAGCAACATTCAAATGAACATACAGTGTCATAATGCAAAGAGACAAAGGCATCATGAACAAGTAGGAGAAGGGTTAAATTGAGATATAGGATCTAATGATTACAAGTAAAAATTGGAATAAATTTTAAAAAGCTAACAAGTTACATGTCAAATAAATAACTACAAAGTAAGTTATATCTTATAAAATTCACAATATAAATAATGGATATGCACCTACTTTAACTGTAACCTGACTTGATGGATCATTTCCTCTAAGTGATTGCTTTTGTGTCCACTTAGAAAGTTACATATTCAAAACCTTTAAAGGCGTTCAAATTGCCACAACAAAAACAATATATAATGCTGCAAATAAAATTATGAAAGCATAAATCAGTAAAAAGTTAATACCAAATCAGGTGCTAGGCCTAAGCCACGGAGTTCTCTCACACTCATTTGTGTTGGCTTTGACTTAAGTTCACCAGAACCAGTCTAGAAGGAAACATAATTTTAATGCTGTTATAAAGCTAGAAACAAACTCTGATCTCAGCAATGGATAAAACCCATTTTGTCTGCTGCCCTTGGCTTGATCCAAAGAAAATTTCAGTCAAACCAAAATGGAAACTCAGATGCTAAAGATAGATCAGCAAAGTGCACACACAAAATACCTTGGTTACATATAACTATAAACTGTTGCTGAAAACAATAGTACAGCAATTTACCTGGAGCATTGAAGCATATCAGGAAGCTAAATGAATGAAAACAGTGTCACTCATTGAAAAGCTTTTTAAAAAAACTTGTTTTTATCTATATACAAAATTAGTCTTTCAATTTTTTAAAAAAAAGTCCCTTAAGCTAAGCTTGATTGAGCTATTCCAGGTGCCTCAGTACAACTGAAGGTGAATTTTAAAAATTTATGGGCCCTTTACCTGAGGAATCAAGCTGACATGCACAATGCAAATGTTTTCATGGCCAATCTTGAATTGGAACTGGCGAAATGCCTCTACATAAGGCATCCCTTCAATGTCACCAGTGACACCTCCAAGCTAAAAGGAGACCAAATTCATTACAAGGATCAAATTGATACCCAAAAGCTGATTTTCAAATTATTACATGCTTTTATTAAAAAGTGGACATAATCAATCAGCACTACATTGAAAAATATCTGCCAGTAAGATCAGCTGTGAAGGATCAGCTGTCAGTAAGATGCAAGCACTAATAGGTAGAATCACTTCAATGACTGTATTATTCACAAAAACTTAAAATAAAGTTTTTTGAAAGTTTGTTTGATTTGTCCCTGAAGAGAATTTGCTAGGGAGTGTTATAGTCATGTTAGGATTTGTGTTATTGTGGTTGAAACAAGAAAGCTTTGTGTGGAGATAAAAAGAACTTCAGTCTGCATACCTCAATTATGCAAACATCTGCTATACATCCTGACTTATCAACAGGCTGTGATGCAACTCTCTCTACCCATTCCTGAATGCCATCAGTGATGTGGGGGACAACTTCAGAAGAATAAAAATCAACATTGATTAACATATATCTATCTGATGTCCATATCACAAAAACAAGACCATTTCAAAACTAAATCAGTCCTTTTCGTGAGCAAAATTACGCGTGTGTGGCAAATCGCACATGTAAACAAATTTGCGCGTGCGATCGCACTTGTAAGAAAATTTGAAGTACAAACCTGATAAAATTGGTAAAAGGAGCAAGAAGGGAAAAGCCACTCGAATACGTGCAAGAGCAAAACTCAATTAATCAATGCATAACAGATTTTGTTGCCCTTAGCAGCCATCTTTTAAAAGTTGTCGTCACTCTCCAAAGTCACAAGAGCAAGTAAAAATTGTTTCCAACAGCTACACTTAACATACTAATGGCGACTTAGCTGAAAGACGAGACGCTAAGTTGAATGGAGCACTCAGTCAAAAGCCAAACATCACTTCCGAAAATTGGAAAAATCATATTGTGGTCAAAAGTGCGAATCAAGTACCAAGGGAAAGGATAAACAATCACGAGACCATGGGAAATTGATGTTAAAGGGCCTCTCCAGCAAAAAAAAATTTTTTTAATGACTTAAAAGTTAGCATCTGGTGCGTGTATTATGACAAAGTCATTGTTTTTGCAAAATTCCAATTAGTTTAGAAGTTGTAAGGCTTTAAAGTTGCACCTTTCCGAGAAAAAAACGACAAAAGCCGAATCAGTTTGGTGACATTCTGACTTCACAATGTGCGGCTCTCGTTCGCCATGAATTTCGTATATCTTCCACCGAAGCGTGAAGGACTCATGGTCACGCGTTGATAACTGCATCCAGTTCCAGTTCCTGTTCCAGCTCTTCCCTCGCGTATAATTAATCGAAATTGTCACTTCAGTTGTTCTCCAGAAACGATGAACAACTAAAGGCTTCAGAGTTGGTGTCTGAAATGCTCAAACTAAAAGCTGGTGGAACAGAACTGAGTACCATCACTTGCAGTGTTCAATTTGCGAATCGCCGTCGTTCGATTCGGTTTGAGGCGAGACTATCCGAAATACACTGTGACGTCAAAATTGTGTCACAGTGTCACCAAACCAAAAATTTTTGTCGGTTAATTCAATTAAATTATCGAAATGCAAGAGCTTATATCTCACAAACTGTAAAAAAATATCGAAAAACAAATAACGAATTCGTGATCAGCAGGCTCAACTTCTTTATAAAAATTGCCAATAAAATGTAAGTGCAAAAAGAGGCCCTTTAACAGAAAACTGCAAAAACACCTGTTTGCGCATGTGGTCAAAAGCACGCACAATTTAACTTGCGTGTGTGCAGGAGTGTGCGGGTGCGATCGCACGCGCTAAACGAAAAGGACTGCTAAATACATACAATCCCAACACACTCCCCTCCTTGACTCACTCTGAGTCAAGCATGAACCTTGTTTTCCATTCTGCGTCCTTGGCTGCTGCTCGCCTAGCCCTAGAAGGTGGTAAATATTCACCCCCGTCCTCCTCTCTCTTTTCGCGATCTGTTTCTTGTCTACGACTACCTACGTCTGCACATCTAACTTCAAATTGTAAAATCTCAACCGTACAAAGTAAACCCTTCAATTTCTGATTTTGTATTTGAAACCAAAAATCTTGATTTATCTTTGTATGAATGCAATTTTCTCTGAAACTATGCAAGATACTGAAACAAAACCAATAAATAGCAACCAATAAATAGACCAAGTACACTTTCAAAACTCTGACAAAACATCCAACAATCTCAACCGCAGAGTATGGTAGTTTCCAACAAGATCTTGGTTGTGCAAGATTAAAATCTCAAACTGTGTGGAAGTGAGGTACTTTGACTGTACAGCTACACTAGAGCCCAAGGATAACAATTAAGGTAAGAAGATGATAAGATAAGAAAAAATGAACAAAGATAAGAAAATGTGCATGACTGATAGTCATTTTTGCTTCAAAACCAACGCAAGATTGTTGCTATTGAGAAAACTTAATTCCTTATTTAAGCAGTAGGACACACCTATACCATGTCTAGATCTCAAAATGACATGCCCTTTACCAGGTATGCAGGGACATTTTAGAACAAAATTATCGAGTGGGCACTTACCATACTCTGCAGTCTGGCCAACAATGCTAATGAAAATAAACGCTTACCTTGTACTGTTTTGCCAAGGTAGTCTCCTTTTCTTTCTTTTTCGATAACATTCTGGTATATTTTACCAGTAGTTATATTATTGTCTCTGTGAAGATCAACATCTAAAAATCTTTCATAGTTTCCCAGATCAAGATCAACTTCACCACCATCATCAAGCACAAAGACTTCACCTTTAAATAAGAAACAAAAAAGATAGTCTGTGTGATCTATCTTAGTAGTTGAGTGCAGTTATCTAGACGATCAAAAGCAACAGATGCATAAAATTTAAATTCATTGTATTTTGACAACAGTTACTTTCAAGTATAGGATTGCATTAAGAAGATACAAGCGAAAAATTTATAACTTGCTTTGAAAATTTTACATTTTATCATATTTGTAATTAGATAGAGATGTTGACCAGAGCTCTATATTGTTCAGTTTCACTTTCTTTATTTTAAAATTCCACTACATAGAATAAAAAATGCAAATTAGTTAACAATACATTTTAAGTAACAAATAACAAAGGGCAGCTTCAACAATACAGAACACCACGAGCTCCTGCAGATTGAAACAAAATCATAGGGCGACCAGCCACAACAATTGTACAGAATTCTAGCGCCAACCAAAGACAACTGATACCACTGTCCCACAAAATAAGCCCCCACTTTACAACATTATTTTGCTTAGAACTTACTTGCAACATCATAAAAAAGCGTTGGCAATTCCACTACAACTCAGTCTATAAAGTACCATGTGCAATTCACTGTGGCACAATAACGTTGAAGAGTTTCTACAACATATAGTTTCTGGTTTGAAATAAATAATATAAAAGATAATTAAATTAGGCCCAAAAAATGAGGCAGCAGAAAATTGAAGAAAACCTATATGGACTTACTGTAAAATTTGGCGCCAAATTTCTTTAACATACACAAATTAAATGTCTATCAGCCCAATATGAGATAAAAATGTCCATTTCTGCAGTGGTCTTTGACGTTCTAGGAGGTTCTACAATTGTTTTGTTTGAAATCTATAAAAACTTATGGTGGAGACTTATCTAGACCTATTCATTTCGAGAATACAATGAGATCTTAAAGTCTGCTTATGAGCAACAAGTAAATTTCTCAATTGATTTACACCTAATCAACGGAAAGGGTGGCGGCTCGGACAAATTACAGCAAAACTAACATTTAATTTAATTTAAATCAATTGCCTGTTTTCAACATGTGAAGTATACGTTATAATTCTATACCAAACCAACTTAACAAATTGACCGTAGAATGCATTTAAAATGTCGACGTTATGGCATAAGAGCTTCTCACCGTGTTCATATGGCGAAAAGGTCCCTGCGTCGATGTTCAAGTATGGGTCGATTTTGATCGAAGTTATTCTTAACCCGCATGCTTTCAACATTGCACCAATGCTGCTCGAAATAATTCCTTTTCCTATGCCACTAATGACACCTCCAGTCACCAAAATGTACTTCATGTTGTTAATTTGTAGAGAAGTCGCTGTTTTACGCCTTTTAAATCCTTCTTTCAGATTACGGAGCACTTGTCTGCCTGATTAAAGTTCGACCTCGTGATACCACGTTGTTCTACTTAGGCCCGGCCGGCGATTGGCGCCAAAAGGTTGGTCAAAGTTACCTTCCCTTTTCCTTTCACTGATTGGATAGTTGCATGTATATTTGAGTCATATGACCGGAAATGCACAGGCCTGTTTACACGTGACGAATTTTTTCGTGCGAAGCGAATTTTTCGCCGCGAATGCGCGAAAAATACGCGCAGAAGCAGAGAATAGAAAATTCGCAGCGAATTTGCTGCGAAAAAATAGAAACCATTCCTACTTTTTCGCGGCTAAATTTTTTCGCCTTGTAAAATAAACCAATCAGAACAGCATTTGAAGACACCTGACTTCTGTTTTGGTTTCAGATGGCCTACGTCTTTCCGCATTCTTTTTCTCAAACACTCGCCTATAAAACGTCAATGAAATAGGTTGGTAATTATTCATTTTCTGTTCCTCGTACACAACCCATGTAAGTGGATTAATATCAGATTATTATTCAAACATTTGAATTTCAAATTGGCGAAAACTGGCTTGAAAGTTTCATCGTTCTACCAATATGTCAGAAATAAAAAAATTAGGCAAGATTTTCTTCAAATTTCTGAATTTTCGGCTGCTTATTGGTCTGCTCAACAGAAACAGTTTTAGGCAGATGCACTAACAGGATCTCGCACGCTCTTGCAAGCTTCGATTGCGAACTTTGAAAGTATTTGAAGAAGTTATACTGGTCACATAGACGTAAACGTAAACCTCTCTTACCGAAAGATGTAATTCACCTCTCTGAAGACGTCCTGAATAAACTTTTCTAATCCATTATCGCTTTTTGCTGTTTTGCTTGCTTTTTTGATAAATTTCAAATTTTAATATCCTTTCTGATAAGTGTACTCTTCGGACAGTTGCTATATTCTTTTGTAATATTCGCAGCGAAATTGCATGAAAATTTTTTGCCAGTGTAAATTGAACTTCAAATTCGAGAGAAAAATTCGCAGCTAAAGAATTCGTGGCGAAAAATTCGCTTCGAAATTCATCTCGTGTAAATCAGGCTGTAGAGCCTGGTTCACACGTGTGAATCAAATCAACTCTTGTATGAAGCAAGGAATGACACACAATGTGAAATAAGTCGTTCACACACGCGCAAAGAATTAATCAAATCTGATGTAAATGGATAGTTTTCCTTGATTGTCTTCAGATGAATCACACATAAATAGAGAGGTTGTCTATAATATACACTAAATTAGACGAAGAGTTTTGTTTTACTTTCACCAGGTTACTTGATGCTAGAACTTAGAATACGTGCACCCTTTTTTATAGTCCGAGACTGGATTCTAAAATCCAGCCTCGGATTATAAAAAACCCACATATGTACAATCCTACACACGGGGAAAAAGTTTTTGAGATAAACATTGTTAACAATTTCATCCAACTTCAACTTTTGTTCTTTATGTTTGACCAACTTTCAGGCTCGTGCTCTTATAAACTTGCTCTTATAAAAAGAGAGTCTCGGACGAAAGCAGCTACAAGCGAACGCAGATCACACATTCAAATGTAGTTTTGTTGGTTCCTTTCTCTAAAAAAACTTGTCGAGCATATAGTAAAGAACAACGTGTTTTCTTACAGCTGCTGCAAACTTTTCGTCTGCCATGTTATATTTTTGCATGCAAATGATATTTTTACCACGGGTTCAAATTTATCTAGAGCGTTTAAATTGTCAGAATATTCATTTTTTAGTCGGCAAATTTAATTGAGGCTGACATGATAAGACGCGATTTTACGCCAGAAAAGTGAAGAACCTGTGATCGATAAGGGTCATTTTATCCTTTGTCTGTGTCATAAAGTATGTTTTCATACCTGTTCGTATGGAGCGTCGTTTGTGTCCATAAACTATAAGAAATTACGCCATATGAAATTTGAAACGCCATATGAAATCTTAAACACCATACAAATGAAACATCACTCGGAATATAAAGTCTTATAACAATGTCACGCAGAATGAATAAGCAGTGGGAATATGATATGTTATAGAGAATTTGAAAAGCCACACGATCTGATTTAAATGCCGTAGAATAACATAATGTCATTAGAATTTAGTTAAAGACCATGTAAAATGGGGGTGAATTATGTCGATAAAAGTGCAATGTCTACAAAGAGTGCAATGTCTTAAAAGCATTTCTGAATAACATAAACATATAAAGTGTTTGATGGGGTCAGCATTTTTGCAATCACGTGAACTTGAAAAATTCAGTGTTTAAATGATCCGAACTTGATCAATATCGACATATCACATAATCAGATTATGATTACATTTAAATTGGCAAACAATCAAATGTCTCAATATCTTTATCCAGCCAAAATCAATCTGAAAATCAGCATTTATCAGTGTTTATACTTCTTTATAGATCATATTCCAAAAATGGCTTCACAAATATAATTCGGAACTTTAATTTACATTTAGCAAGTGTAGTAAGCTAAGTGTAGGACGATGTGGATAAGCAAACAACGGGAATTCATATCTTAACAACTATTTAACTCCTTTCAGGTGGGCATTCTCTTATACATCATTCTCCACTAAATGCAGTTTTATATTAATACATAGCCTTTTCATACATAAAGTTAAGTTTTCTTTTTCATAAGACGGGGTATAGTTAATAATGTTCGGACTTGCGTCCGTAGTTGCTATTGCCAATTTTGTCTAGAAATAATTTTAGCTTGTAGCATTGATCAGTCGCTCTATCTGGAATGAAATCCTTATCAAATTTGAATAAAATCTTACGATAAAGAAACTTTTAAGCCTATTTGAGGATTTAAAACATTTACAAAGTTAATGAATTAGGTCCTTAATAGAAGAGCTTTCATCTTTTAGCAGACACTGATCTTCGTTTCGAAAATATGTCTCTTTCATCTAACTGCTGCACCGTTTCCATCCATTGTTTCCAAATGGTTGACGTCATCAAAGTTTGGCGATGCCCTACCACCAGAAGGCCTCTTTTTGCTCTTGTTAACAACACATTCAAGCGTCTTCGGTCATCAGAGTAGCCTATGATAAACATTCCGTAGTTAGCAAAAATATATAGCTTTTAATTTGGAGTTTGAAGAGATACTGAAATACTGATAGGTTGCTTTAATCTATATGTAAGTGCAACTACAGTTTACCAAAGTTCTTTACGATTTGATTTACTTCAAAGTAATATCAAAATTAAAGGAAAATAGGCATTTTGATGTACCCAGTAGTGACGAGGTTATTATGTGCATGCGGTGATCGTAAACATAACAAAACTGAAAAACTATGTTCTAGCGACTATAAAAATAAATACAATAAAAGTCAAATATGAACAAAATATTAGCACAAACAATACCTAAATTGCCTCCTGATCTCACAGTTGAAACCAAAATTATTTCTGCTTCTCTTCCTTGGAATCCATCAATGCTGCTTATTTCAATGCCTGGCATGCTTTCCCTTAAGCTTCTAACTTGTCCATTATAAAGAGCCAAAACAGCAATATCCTTTTTAGCCAGCTTGGTATCTGAACTGTATAGCAATATGTCAATTAGTTCTTTGATTTTGCGCGCTTCTTCTGTGTTTTCGTAAGAAGTTCGAACCCTCTTCTCATTCCCTGCCACGTGAAGAAAAGCAACCGCAGCTGGAGTTAGCTGCCAGATCGGTTTTCGATCATTCTCCGTTGTTCCAGACTTCAATTCGCCGTTGTAAAAGTGTTTAGAAGGGAAATCTGCGATCGAGGGATGCATACGATACTGGGTATCCAAGAAATATGTGCTAACTATCTTGTTGTTATGAAGCCTGTGGAACAGAGTTTCTTCTAAGTCATTGGATATTTTCTGCTGCTCTTCAGTTGACAACCAACCCCAATCTTTTTCTATTTTGACCAACGGTCCTAGTTGATTAGGATCACCTATCATCACCAATTGCTCCGCTCCTCTAAAAAGACCACAAAGGACGGTGCCTTCCTTTGTTTGCGTTGCTTCGTCTACTAGAACGAATTTAAAATTCCTTCCTGAAAGAACACTATCACCTGCACCAGCACATGTCGTAAGAACAATCTGGGCTTGGTCTAGAATAGCTTTGACGTAGTTCTTTCTGTGGAAGGTTCTACCACTCTCATCTCGGAAGTCGGTCCTTCTTCCCTCCAACTCACCCTTCAACCTTAACTTTCCTTCTAATGTGAAACTATACAAATCACCGGGTACATACTTTACATTTCCTATTCGAACGATATCCAAGCCAAGCTGCGCGAGTCTTCTGGTCATATTATCAACAGCAGTATTTGTCTCAGCCAAAGCTAGAACTCCCATCTCGCAACACCGTGTTTTTGCCGCCTCTTGCAAGATGGCGCAAGCTACTTTTGTTTTTCCAGTTCCAGGTGGTCCGTGAATTAGTGTAAGGTGACTTTTCAAAGCAGCATTCACAGAAGATATCTGGGCAGTATTAAGTCCAATTGCCTCGATTTTGTTAACATGTTTTGCTTTTTGTGCTACATCTTGAAAATGAATGCCACATGAAAGGCTTGCATCTCCCATTATTAAACGAAAGAGTGGTTTTCTCACAGAAGACGAAAGCAATGAACTGCAAGCTCTTATGACTCTTGTGTATAAAGTAATGTTTGCATTAGTCAAAAGATTTATCATCCAACCAGAAGATGCTGGCCCTGCATCCTGCATAAGCACAGCTGGAGTGAAATCGTCAGAAATTTCCAATTTAACAGAAAATGGAGCAGGCATAGAGCTTATAACCCGAGCTATTGAAGTTGTGGCGTTTGTGTTATTCGCTTTTTTCCAATCTTTTCCTCGAATCAAAATCACGTAGTCCCCACTTGCTGGAAGATGAGCAAAACTCTTCAGCTGACTTGCACGGTACATCGACACCTGCAAATGGCTTTCTTGAGTAGCATCCTTTATTGAATCTAACTTAAGATTATCGATAATTGACATTTCAAATGTTTCCTTACATAGTGTGACGTCATTTGTAAACTCAACAAACGTATTCCATGCTACATTAATAAGATAGCTCTCTTGCTGTGAAACCTGGGGCTTTGACAAAACCATTGAAATTAGCAGTTTAACCCATTCAACAACGATCTGTGGTGGTATATACCAAACTACTGCCCAGTCTTCCATTATTTCCAGCAGCCCATCAGTAGACAATTCAGGCACTTGATCGAATGGCCCTTGTAGAAGAATATTTTCGGCCAATTTATGATGGCCAAGTCTACAAACACAAACTGCAATGTGGATTCGGGCTTTCCATGAGGTGTTTGCTGATAGAATTTTCTGCAAAAATGTATTTAAAGAAGACTGCGTTTCAGATGAAAAATTTCCAGTCCATGGAATGCAGTGGGCAACTGTTTCGTCTAGCAGCCTTGCCCTTAGCGTTGATGCAGAAACCTGTTGACTTTCAATCGCTTCTATTTTTTCAAGAAGAAGCCTGCAAACGTCCCTGTCATCTGGTTCTTCATCAAACTGACATTCGAGCTCTTGCTCTTCGACATACTCGATTTCGTTACCTACAAGAACATCAGGATATGCAGGATGACCACTGCTTGATGCAAATACCTCAATATAGGCTACAGGGGCTTTTCGAAGTAATGGATGAGGCCTAATTGATGCTGCCGGTCTCAGTATATTACCGCCAAAGCTTGATAAATCAACACTGATGCAATCTTGAATATCAGTTTCTGTGAGTAAATCGATGATCTGGACACCTTGCTTGTTTCTCGACTGCACTTTGCTGCACTTCAACCATAAAAAGCTCTGTGCTAAATTCTCATTTCTGTAAATCTGTAGTCGATCGTCTTCCAAGTCATAGAAAAGCTCGAATGTTGGCTGGAACTTTTTTCTGTATCCAAACCTCTTTGATGTGAAAAAGGCACTAAATGCTCCTATTCCAATAACATGTTTTGTACCTGGCAAAAGTCGTTCCGTTATTTTCAGACAAATAGTCACTTCATCGGGCATTTGAAAGCAGATAAGAACTGCATCATAATTTGGAAATTTCCTTATCAATCCATCGAGGGAAAAGCTGCTGTGTTCAGTTTCGTAAATCAGTCCCCATGAAGACCGTGCTGTCGAGATATCGACGTTCCCGAGATCCCCTCTGTTTAAAATGGTAGATTTTGTTAACGGATCTTCAACAAAAGAGGGAAGAACTCCAACATCAATCGCAAGCATCTTTTCAGTTGATGTCAACAATGTGAAATTAATTTTTGTGACAAATTTCCTATTTATAAACTCTGCTGCTTCTATTTCACTCGGGAACGTGTTCAATGCAAAGCGCCACAGGAAATCAAACTTTTCGTATTCAGTCAAGCTTGTTTCTTGGTCTTCTAGAATTGAGAGGACATATTCTTCCGATATGGCATCCGAAGAGAGTGCATTTCGTAAATCCTCTGGCTTGTCCTGCTTAGATTTTACAGCCCTAGCTTCAACTGCCATTTTCTGCCATACAAACTTAGGCCCATTCTCATCCAATTGTGGTGGTTTTAGCAAACTATCAGGAATCCTTAAAGTTTCGCCAGTCTTTGTTGCGTCTATGGCTCTCCCAAACAGCTGTCCTAAATACGCACATTCGTTTGATTGGGGCCCCTTTGTGTCAGCCCATTGCTCAAACAAGTTAGCCAGCAACCCTGTTACCTTCATCGCCTGATTCTGTGTCGAAAAGTAGCGAATCATTTTTGCCTGTGTAACCAAGCCTTCATGCTTGCTCTCAGCAGCAGGGTACTCATGGCTTTGAACTGTTTTCGGAGGTATCAGCCGACAGTCCCACGTGACAAAAAACTTGTCTCCATCAAGGTCCCCTCCTGCCTGCTCATCAGCATGTGGTCTTTTGTCTTGTGTTGGAAAAACAATACAGTCAACCAGATGGGATAATTCGGGAATATCAACAGCTTCCAGAACACGAATATCACCAAGCAAATAGCAGGGCATTCTTCCTGTTGCAATCTTCCCGGTTATTGTCTTTGCCACATTGTTAACTGTTATACGTAAAAAGCACTGGCCATACTTCAATTGATTTACTTGGTCACACACCCCATATAGCATCCTTGACTTCTTCACCATTATTCGAAGCTTCTCTTTAACTTTTCCATCGTTCTTTACCTTCTCATCTCTGATGAAATACTCTCTCTGTATTTTTGCCAGTGTATTGCGTACGTCTTTGCGATACAGCAAAATTCTTGTTATGTCTGAGCAATTCTCGTCATTGGTTAGCCTCATGATCATCTCGGCCACATCTGGTTTTCCCATCCAATGAAGCATTGCTACTGCTGCCTCGGCATTCACATGCATCCCGGAAATAAGCTCAAACAGCTCTCTCTGAAGCGTTAGGAAAATTTCATCTGGTACTCCAAGGGCAGATAATAAGAAGATCAATTGTCTGTTTAAATGCCCGTATGTGTATGGTCGGCTAAAACCACACAACGCAATCATTGGCAGTGCTGATGTAGTAAACTTTTTCATTGAAGGTCTCACTGAAAGCTGGTTTCCATCTATCTGTGTATCTAGGGCAACAACGCCTTTGTAACCCTGGAGACGAATCTGATACACTGACGGCAAATACTGTATTGGGTTAATTACTCTATCTTTTTCAGATATTTGCGAGGTAATGGCTCTCGCTAATTTTGAGCCGATGCCACCACACCCATCTGTAAAATTATATTTTCTGTTAGTAGAAAATACATCATCTAAGTTGATGATCATCTTGGATGTAATTTTGATATCAGTCATGTGTACAGAGCTAAAGAGCAAAGCAATTCGAGCCAATCTTTTTGAAACAGATGGAATTTCATCAAATTTTCCATATTTTCCTAAGGTTGACTCTGCGTTTTTTGGGTCCCCTTTCAGCAGGAAAGCTTTTCTTTCTTTGAGACCTGAGCTGCTGCAACCAAGAAAACTAAACTGCTCACCATTTATAAAAATATTCCCAAGTAACATCTTTTGGACATCTGCTGCTCGAACTTTAAAACCAAACTCAACACAAAATAAATCGTTTGTATTGATGAAGTATAGAATCCTTCCCTTCATGTCACCAAGCTTTGTGAAATAGAGACTTGCTTTGTCTTCACAAATTTTCACGGATCTAATAGAATTTGTCTCATCAGTACTGTCAAGGTAGAAAGAAATGCACGTGTCATTTGATGCTTTGGCATTTCGAGCGCTGGTATTGCCTGCTTTCTTAACATTTCTAAGCTTCTTGTCGGAAATCTCCATGTAATGCTGCAAGTTGTAGCTTTCTCTTCGTATTTGACCTTTGAGTGCTGCATTTTCAAGAACAGTCAGTCGGTTTTTAAAATCACAGTCATCTAGCTTTAGGTACCCAATCTTAAATCTTTTAAGAAGCTCAACCAAAATTTCTGTAAATCTAGAACACTGTTTATGTGACATCGAAAGTCGCACTCCATCATCAGCTGTTTCACTTTGAGACCACGGATACACAAGAACGAGTAAAGAATTTTGGTACCTTGATACTGACTTGTCTATCAGTTCCTGAAACAGATTCATACGAAAGAACGGCTAAAGAATCTTGAATTTTTGATATTGTAATTTTTATCAATTCAAGCGGCAAAGGGCAAGTAACAGATCTTAAGTGGCCTAAGCCATCTGTCAATAAAGAATTGCCAATCTACAAGCGTTTGAGTTGCATTCCGCTCACTGATTGGTTAATTGTTGATGGACAGATGTCTAAATTCCCTTATTAGTATCATTCGATTGGCTTTAAAAAGAATGCATATTGCGTTTGCGAAAACACTGACAGTGGTTAGATACTTTTCAAATTATGTTGACGAAAGTAGTGAGTGTTCCTTTATCGAAATAATAAGTTGACGTCTGTGTTCAAACGTGTATCCACATAAAGAAACAATTTAAGTTCAGTTGAATAAAGTTTCCTTTACTTTGAATTTCACAACACGAAGTTTCGGGCTACAAACACATACCTTCATGCCCTAACTATAAGGCATATGATGAAAACTCAAGGAAGTTTAGCTCTTATCAAATAAAAAATATTTCTACTATCAAAAACGTATTTGAATTGGCACCACTGAAGCATGTAGTTTTCAGCCTCCTCCAACATTTTTACAATTTTTTTTTGAAAAAAAATATTTATATCATGCAAATATGGCGCAAATGGTTATCATCATATGTCACAAAAATTAATAGAAGAAATATAAATATTTCTTTAACGAGTTTCTCGATGAATCACTCTCTGCTTTATAGAATGTCCATGTTAGGAGCTATTACGAAATTCAATTTCTGTGACGGACGGACAAACGATACTTTCATAAGTTCTCAAAATAAACGGATGATTCCTGAATTTTCTTCTTTTGTGTCATGAAAAAACCCACAAGGAGGTGTAGGTGAGTTGAAGCGATCATTTCTGGAATAAGCACATCGCCTCAGAAGGATACATGAATAAATGAGAACTACATGCTAAAACTGTGAAACATTTTTATTTTCCATCAATTTACCAATCACACTCTGGGATAAGATAAGTTTTTCCTTAAAGGCATTGAGTCATAGTAAAAACTGGTTCTCTGTCTGTTTCCATGTGATAAGTTTGTTTTCATGTGATCAGACATTCTTTGTCTAAAGCGAAAGGCATTTGAAAAGCCTTTGTGGCATTTGAAAGGTACAAATGGGGGAAGAAGTTTTGAAATCTTTTGTAGACAGAGAGAAAGAGAGAGAAAGAAAGAACCTTCAGAAACGGCGGAACAAGGAGCACTTACAACATCGTGTGTGCAGGTCGCTTGACAGCCAATCAGATTAGCGAAGCTAATATAAAGACTCAACAATTTTTGCAACGTTAAAGGGTACATGATGTGATAATAAACTTTCAAACTACAAATATTCACCCAGCAGGCACACGATGTTGTTGCAGCGTTGCATTGAGGTTGCAACATGTTGCTATAGATGCTTAACAGTACTAACTAGTACAATATAAATTCAAGCTCTAAAAAATAATTTCCCTGAATATTTTATTCATGCATACCTTGAATTTTCCTATTATTTCATCCAGCTTTGCATTTTGAAATGTTTCTTCAGTTTTCCACAAAGCATACGCTAGACAATCCAGCACAGTGCGATCACAGAGAACTTTACTTTGAGTGACAGCCTCTTCCTCAGCTTTGCTCTGTTCTACTAGAATATCTTCCTGAAGTTGCAGAAATTCTGTAACATCATAATTATCAATAGCTTTTCTGGTTATTTTCTTCTTTTCAATTAACTTTCTTGCTACCTCAGAAATATGAACGAAATCATTAAATTTCTGCTTTTTCTTTAAGGAGTCAGCTAATGTTGTCTTGCCTGAGCCACCAGATCCACAGAAGAATATTTTGACCATTCTCTCTGTCTGCTGCCAAAGCGTTTAGCATTGCAATGCTCGTTCGCTTTTCACATTCTGAAAAGGGCATTTGAAAATACCATCATTTTGATTTAAGGTCTTAACTAAGCTCCGTTATACTAACAATAGGTGTTGAAAGGAGCAAAGCAAAGCTGTTTGAAACAAGGTATTGTCAAAAACAAATGGATTATGAGAATGAAATGCTGCTCAAACTGAGGAATTTAACTTATTCTTGTTGTGCTATTGCAAAACGTATTTTTGCCTGGGGCTCCTTGTCTATAATTTCAAACGTACTATTTGTATTCTGGTTAAGGTAGGATACCCCCGTGACAGAGAACAATTGACATCACGCGGGCAATTCACCGATCTTTACTCTATAATCCCGGACAAAAATAGTGGAGACTTTTCAAAGAAAAGTTGATATTTTCTCTTTCTTTTGAAAAATAGCTTTTCCCCCTCCCCAAATTCAATGTTGAATGCATGATTTTGAAGGAAAAGTGATAAAGCTACAAATCTAACATTGATTTGGGGGAAAAGGGGGGATTCGAACTCAACAATTTTGACCGGGATTGTAGAATCTTGAACCCTACATGGCTTGGAAACAATCGCCAAGCAATCAAACTTTAAAAACAGAGCAACCAGAAATAACAATTAACAATTTTTAAAGAAATATGATGTCAAAGTATTTGAAAAAAAATGTTTTAGAAGATAGCAGTATAGGTTGCTAGACAGCAGTGACGTCGGATTGTAAACCTTGGATATTATTATAGGGTAATGTTTTACCCCGTATATAGGTTCGAAAACATATATAAATGCTAGTTCAACTTCAAGAATTTTATGATGCACACTCCATGCTTACAAGGGTTACAACAAGGTTAAACTGCCGCTCAATTTTATTTTTAAACAAACTTGTATAAAAGACGCGTAAAGGATTAATCTGTAATTAACGAAACAAAGCATTTTCCTACTCATTAAGCCCTGTTTACACTACACCATGCACTACACAAACTAACCTGGGTTCGCCCTAGGTTAAAAGTTAAAACTAACCCAGGTTAGATTTTTGTAGTGTAAACGCAAACTAACCCAGGTTCGCCCCAGGTTAGTCAACCCATCTCAAAAGGTGGGTTCGCCCTAGGTCAAACCTGGGTTAGTTTAGATAAAGTGTAGTGTAAACGCAAACCAGGGGTGAACCTGGGTTAGTTTCTTCAGGACGCATGCGTAGTGACGGAAATGGCGCCGTATGCAAAACAAAGCAAAGCGCGAAACCATATTTCTCTCATTGTACGAAGCCCGCACTGGGAATAATTGTTTTTAAAGTCGATTTATTGTATTCTGTAAAGTTCACAAACAATATACACGTTGACCGCCGCAATTTTGTTTATCATCGCCTTCAATTTGTGTATGTTACGCATGCGTCGATATCAAACTAACCCAGGTTCGCCCTTGATTCCGTTTACACTACAGTTTCCAGTGTACACGCATCAGGGTTCGACCCGGGTTACTTTTAACCTAGGGCGAACCCAGGTCAGGTTAGTTTGTGTAGTGTAAACAGGGCTTAAGTGATTAATAACAAAGGAAAGAAGACGTTATGTTGTAGCAACACGATTGTTGGCAACGACGAATTCCATGTACTGCAGGAGCACGAAAGGGCGGGGGTCGGCTGCCCCCTTGCCTTCGCAAAATGACGCAGTTTTCTGCATTTTGCTATTATTTGCATTTGTTCTGTGCATTTGGCGCCCCCAAAGCTTAACCAGATTGTTGTACGCTCGAAACTTTCAACTAGTTCCTAAATCTATGGATACCTTCATTCTGTATTATTGAAATTGCCCAAAGACTACAAAGGCCTACCTTATCCTATGCTGGAAACACGATTTCCGCTGTGAATTGAGAAGTGCACAAGAGAAATAGTTCAAATATCCTTTCAAGAAATTTGAAACAGAAGTAGATGTAGGAAAACATGAGCAAACTTCTTTGGTCTATTTACTTTTCTGTTGATTTTTCATATATCAACCAATCTTTTGACCATGATAAACATTATAGGTAAAAATTCGATACTGCATTGCGGTCCCGTTCATATCATATCCAAGTTATTTCATATTATAACCTATTTCAAACAATCTGCTATTCACCATTCTACCTGCTTAAATTCTCTTTATCAACAATCAAGTATCAACTCTTTTCACGCTTATCATGGCGAAATGAGGTATTTAATTTGGATGACTTGAAGACTGCACTTGCATCCAAGGAAAATAGGCCCTGCATAGTTTGCGAATTGACCTGGCTATTCGACACTGAACGTATCTAATTTCAAAATACTTTCAATTTCAAATTCCTAATTTCAATTTCAAACATCAATCAATTAAACCAGAAATATCAATATTTTTTGACAAACCTTTACTGGCCAAACGAGTCAAATCCCTCTGTTAAATGCGAGCTGCTGTTTTTGAAGGTAGTTGAAGCAATGCAAATTTCCAAGAAAACACTTTTTTCGAATCGATCAGGAAACACGCGTGACCCCCGGAAAGAAACAGACCTGGGATTATTGCTCGGATTATTGAACGTGCAGTATTATGGCATACTATCATCGTCAGAATTTGCAGGAAAGAAAACAAGTGGCTAATTTTGGGAGGTCGCGGAAGGATGAAAATTCCAACTTTAACTGAGAAATTTTTCGTTCAATCTTTAAATCTACTGTACCTGCCGAATTTATGTTGAGAAAGAGCACTACTTCCATATTCCTAGTTTCTTTATAATTACCAAAATGTTACTTATGATAATAAGCCTAAAACATAAATAAAAGCCCTGAAGACGATAAAGAAAATCTTTAAGGGCCTGTATAGATGAGTATATTTATCCCCCCTCTCAGCCCATAATCTGGCAGGTGGGATGAAATCATCGAATGTTTACTTGCAGATTCTATCCCACCTTCCAGCTGTATATGGAGAAAATCATCCCCCCATCCAGCCTATGTGTTGAAGGGACGAAATTTGGTCACGTTTTAATGATCATTTCATCCAATCTTCCAGCTTCATCCCACCTTCCAGCGTCTATATGGAAAAAATTCATCCCACCTCAGTGAGATCCCACCTCTCATGCAGTGAGATCTCACTTAACCGGGCTGGCTTATTTTCCATTTAAACGCAAGACGAAAAACACAAGGGTTCTATAGAAGAGGGGATCTCACCTCTCACCTCACAGGCTGGAGGGTGGGATAATTTTTTTCATAAAAACAGGTCCTAAACTCGAATTAACGTATCACGAACATTAAAACTTGTCGTTAAAATTATGTCGTAAAAGTATAAGATGTGTTAAATGATAAAAAATAATATTCTTTCAAGTCAATTAACAGTGATTCTTCTTTTTCTGCTTTGAACTTTTCAAAGCTATCTGCTGCAGATCAATTTTATCTAAAATATCTTTTTCACGATATAGAATCATAGAGGAATTCAATCTTTGTTCTTGATCGAAGGAAACTAATAGCAATTTTCAAAGGGACAAATGTCCCTTTGTTTTTTACCATTGAAAAGAGTGGTTTGAGAGCAAGTGAATATGTCTGATTCGTAAGATGAAACTTTGATCAAATACTTTTTCTGGCTTTTCAGCAGCTTTATCATAGCAATTTATGATTAGGAGTTAAGGATGTTTACAAATAACAGGATGGAGCTTAGCGTACACTGGTTTCTTAAAAGAAGCGTTGAGAACTTTTAGAACTTTTAGAACTGAAAGTACTGAAATATAAAACTCTTAACCAGTGGCGGACTGGCAACCATTTGACCCACCGGGAAAAGCAGCAAAAAGGGCGCCAATAGGTGCTAAAGTCTTAAAACTTTAGGGCTTGTAAAACGGGCTCGGAAAAACTTTGCTTTAGCCGAGAATCAGTTTGTTGCAAGCATTGTCACAGGAAAGGAAACGGGGGATCGGGGGATGGCCCCCGGAAATTTTTTTGAAATCACCCTATTTAGAATGTCGGAACCTGCCTCATGTTGAAAATAAAAGTTTTTTATTCGCAATTGGAATTGGCATGAAGAAGATTCTCAGTCAAATTGACTTTATTTGAAACGTCTACACGGCTGAAAAAATTTGTAGGTACCAAATGATGTATTGCCCTCAATTTTAGGTATCAAATGATGATTTTTCGGCTAGCGAGACACTATCTTCCAAGATTTTACAAAGAAAACAACTTCTCTGGCCTAGGAGACGAGATTCTTTTCGTTTAAAATCGATCTCGAAATCTTTAGAAATTTGACGAAATACATTGACTCCATTCTCATAAATTTTCGAAAGTTTTGCAGCATATCTTTAAACAAGTAAAGGGGTGCCTCAGCACCCGCTAGCCTAATGACTGTGTTGCTCCTGTCTTTACGCTAGAGTTACAAATCATTTACAAAAGATATGATGCCAGTGCACCAGCGTGCGGAATTATGATCAGGTATTGAACATATGCTTAAATCTGTAGACTTGTCCGAAAAGTATCTGATATCTTGGACAGTATCTGGTATCTGAAACATATCTTGGATAAATGGATTTTAAGAGACCCTGCTGCCGTCCGCTTTGCGCAAATTGATGATTTTGCAGATTGAAGGCTCCTTTTGTATAAGAGACTGTGCTTTGACATGGTAAAAAGGATAAAGAATTTCTTAAGAGAAGGCACAGTCTCTATTCCGGAACAAAAGTTTGAAGGAAGATTGGAATACTTTAATAGATAGTTGTAAATTTGAAACCAGTTTTTTTTCAAAACAGCCGGTTTAATTTTCCATTAAGTTTTCAAGGAAGGTTCGTACATAAGGGCATGAATTCTCATCAAATTCCGTACAAAGTTATTTAAAAAGTTGTCAAGATTACTGGCTCCAATAAGTCATAATTTCTTTTGGGCACAAAATTTCTGGTTGTAACGTACAAAAAGCATGATGCCTATGAGTTTTTAGTTGAATTGCAAAATAAAATAGCTTGCCACCATTAGGACTTTCAGAAAGTATTGTCCTTTATCGTACCTAGAACAGTTTTCACTATTTAGGGATAGTTTATGGCTCAACCAATCTTTGATTACGTAATATGTGAACGTTCCCATACCCAATAGCCAACAGATCGATAATTTTATCCAGTTATAACCATTTTGATTGGAAAGATTACAGGGTAGTGCTCAATTTATCTTTCCAAGGTGCGAGCCCTCAGTTATTGGATATCAGGCACCAGGAATAGTTTGCTTTAGCCATAAGTCAAAAAACTAATATGGTTAGTCATAAGTCGTGGGTTTCACAAAATTATTAGTCACCTCAATAGATATCAAATTAATTCAAGTATTGCACACTTGCTTGAAAAGTTAAAAGCTTACGAGGGTTGCAAGTGAGAGTAGGCTTCTGGCTGCTACATATGAACAATTTATTGGCGCTATTAAATTTGAAAATAGCTTTGAAAAAGCAAACTTTTTTAACATACTAAAAACCTTTTCGTCTGAACCTCTTCGGAGTATAAAACGTCAGGATAAGGGTCAGAAAGAGCAAGATGGAGAGTAAATACCAATTTCTGGATCGAATTCTTCATCTCGTTCTTTTGGACCCTTATTCTGACATTATATGCTCTCAGAAGTTTCATACGAAAAAGATTTGATTATGTTTAAAATTTTTGCTTTTTTCAAAGCCATTTCAAAATAAAATATGTTCTTTTCAAGGTTTTCAAAAAATCTTACAGAATTTGCTGATCAAAATTTCGTCTTCAATGAGTTTTACAATAACAAAGATCGGGAAACTTAACAATTAATCTTAATTTTGCTCAACTTGAAAGCAAAGCTAAACTTTTAATGGAAACGTACTTTAGACAGGAGGTCAATTGATGATTGTAATCAATTTTAGTTTTATTCGAAGATAAGTTGCCTTTTGAATGTTTTCAAGTTTATGAAAAAATAACTTGGGGCCAAGGGCGCACCGGGAAATTTCCCGGTGTCCCGGTGGGCCAGTCCGCTTCTGCTCTTAACGAATCCCACTTTAATCTTTTCTGATCAATACTGACCAGTATCTTTGAAAACTGAAGGCTCAAAACTGATTGTAAAGTTTTATGTTTCTTAACTGGAAATTCACCTTAAACAAACGGTGGAATGGTGCAATTTAAGATCGAGTGGAGAGTGCAATTTAAGATCATGTTATATTGCAAACATCAAGATTTCCAAGATATAACAATTCACAGGTTTGGTCTTGAAACACCTAAAATACAAAAAATCTAAGTAAACTGTCAGGTTCTCTAACTTTTGTTGGATATTTCAAACTTCAGGGGGGAGGCGCTTTGCCCCACGCCTCCTGCTGTTTACGTGCCTGTTAATTTTTAGCTGAGCATCCAGAATAAAGCATTTTTTCAAAAATTTGCTGTAAATGTTTGATATGGTGCAAAAGAACAACGCAAAGTGTTAGTTTTCGGGTTGTTTTGCTTCAGAACATTTCTTATTTCAGGTTTGGTTAAATCATTAAATTTAACAACGACCAGGAGGACTTTTTGCTTGAAAGCTCAAAATACTTATCAAACATTTATTTCGTCGCGTGTTTCCATAGCTTTCATCGTCCTCTGGGTTTTTGTAAAGATAATACTTCGCTACCTTTACCGCTAATCAAATGGAGCACCATAAAAGCAATTGTGCATCGTGGTCGTGTATCCCATAAATATTCATGATACTGGCCGTCCTTTAAGCTGTATTTCTTTCTTTTTGTCATTGTAACAACATACATGCAAAATGAAGACCACCATTATCGTGGAGGTTTTTCTGCTTCAAGTGGTAAATGTCTGCCTGTCAATGATTCTGCGTTTAAGCTGTAAGACCTATGGCGACTTCAAAATCGTGCTGAACAATTTCAGTGACCCAGCCGAAGTTATCAAGACAATCAGCGTTAAGCAAAAGAGGGAATGTGTGCTTGAATGCATATCATCTGGAAGCTGTAAAGCAGTCAACTTTGAAGGCGCTACTGGAAAGTGTGAGCTAGTTGGGCGTGGCTTGACATCTTCTCTAGTTGTCAGATCAGGCTGGACCTATTTAACAACTGACGAAAAGGAAGCTAATGTATGCATCCCCATATGCTTTTCCATCTTTCATTTTCTTCACTGTTTATTCATAGAGGTGCAGACTTCAAAATGTAGTCGTTGAATAAATCTAGTTTTCTTGCACTTTTTGCAGATTGGGCCTACATGTAAATTGCTATCTCCATGTCAGAACGGTGGATTATGTATGGACACGTGCTCTGCGCCTGGGTTTCAGTGTCATTGCAGTAGACTGCACCAAGGGACATTTTGCGAGAAACCGAAAGGTAATATTATTTGTTTCTGTTCTATTTGGAAATTAGCGATTTATGAAAATTGAAGTGTAATCCTGGTTGCAATGTTGAGGCTAGTTTTAATTTGCTGTAGGGAAAGAAAAGCTCACTTCGCAATTCTTTTTAAAAGATATTCCTGTGACAATATGGCTGGGACCATGTGAGGCACCCCTCCTATTTTCAAGCCATTTGCAAGCTTTTCCACTGTCGTTTCGGCAATCCAAAGACTGTATATACCGAATTATTTTTATCACCTACTGGCACAAACAAGGGTAGTAAACATGTTAAATAGTATGAATAGTACATCGAATTGCTCCAAAAACCCATTTTGCATAATGATTTAATTTGAAATAGACACAGCATTTCCCCTTTACAGCTATCTTAAAAGCGTTACCCAGGTTTGCCAGAGCATTTACAAAAACGTTTCTGAGTATGCCATTCTCAATGGTAAGCACGAGAAAATGAATATTGTTTAACACTGTTTACCAAATGTTTCCTAGCCTAACGCATTCAAGTAAGGAACCTCCCCTACTTATCAACTGTTTTGGTCTTGAAGCTCGAGCAAAAATATGTAAATGAAAGTTTTAACACGTTTTGTTATTAGAACTGTCTTTTTTGTACATCAATGATCTTTCTTGCTTGAATTTTATTTTTTTATCCCATAAAGAATTTCATTTCGGTATAATTCTAGACTTTCCCAAACCCATCCTCCGCTTTATCCGACTTTCCGTCCGTCTATTGGACAACAAATAGTACCGACAAATTTTTCATTGCTTCCTTGAACCTTTCTGGCTCCATTCATTATTTACTGGTTTATATTTGTATTCTTTTACAGAGTTCGCCAGTTGCACAGCAGCATACGAGGCTGGCTTTACCAGCACCGGGGTTTACTGGCTGACAAACATTGGCTACCACTTCTGCAGAATGACGTCATTAGGAGAATGCAGTGGTGGGGGATGGACACTCATATTGAAGACGTTAAAAGAGTTGGTGAGTATGTACGTGTACGCTATTTGATTGGCTGCCGGTTATTATATTCTGACCAGTCAGATCCCCCATAAATGTTCACGTGTCATAACATAAAGCCTTTTGCGTTCACCAAGGAAAGAGTTCTTCAGGTTTATGGTCTGCTTTCCTTGGTTGTAAACATTCAACCATCTAGAAAGAAATGTAAACCTGGCTAACCAAGTACTAAGGGTGGAAATTTAGGGGCAGAGGCGGTCCAGAATGAGTTCCTTGGTGCACAGAACTCAATCAGTTTTTCAGCATATAGCTAAAAATAGTGTTGCCTGAAACAAGAAACATTTAAACTAAGAAAGTGAAGCCTACAAATTCTAAGTTTTTTCCCAGTCTCTTCAAAATCTTAAAATTGCCAGCTTGATGTAATTCGTTCTCCCTTTTTCTACCTTCTTCTCTGTCGTGATTCGGAAACGATTTTCCAGACGCTGTGGAGGACAACAGCAGTCAATCCTAGAACTCGGAAATAAAAGTTTTGCGCCTCGGAAGTGAATGAATTAATGAAATTTTTGTTTGGAACACGGATGGAACTCAGTCAAAACAGCATGAGAAACTCGGAAATGATACCATATTTGTAAGATAGCTGCACAATAGCCAGTAGTTGATTGGCTACCTATTGTTTCTCTTCTGTTGTCGAATTGCAAAACTGAATTCGAATGTCTTATTTTCGCGACCCTCGCAGCATTCTAGCAGATTATTAAGTGTTTGAGATAAAACCAGAAGATATCGTTGATTTTCCAGGAGTATTAACTACCTTTGCTTTAAATTGCAGTCTTTGATCGCACGGAAGACCTATGCTTAGACGTAATACCATATTTTGATGAATAGGCGGGTGTCTACGGAGGCAAAACAACAAATTGCTAGAAAACAAATGTGGCATTCAAAACAAACAAAAGGGTATTGAGAAAGGGAGGGGGTTGCAAAAATTTTCACAGAGGCACTGTTTTTTGTCGGAAAGAAATCTAGAATCTAGATTTAGTGAGTGGATAGTACCTAACCCTCCCCTCCCCCCCTCAATGGTACCAAAGTGCATAAATATGACTAATAACATTGTCTTATGCAAAATTATTAATGCCTTAGCCTGGAACTCAGTCAGGTTTTTTGCTGGACCCGCCTCTGAGGGGATGTCCATAAATTGGTTTGCTTGTGTCACTTTTGATTGGCTCTTAATCAAGTCTCTATGCAGAGTTTGGGGCCTACGATGCTGGAGATGACTGTGGATGATAGATGAAAGGGTATCTTGTAGAAATGATGTTTGTCGCTTTATCGTGTAACCAAGGATACTGGAGTGCAGTGGCGTCGCATGACCTTCCTAACTAGGTCATCAATAGAAAAATTTACCGACGAAGACATAGATGGAGAGGAATTTAGGTGCTTCGTATTACACCTACTGGTAGTGATAGATGATTTTACTGAAAAATAAGGATTTTGTAGACAAGCTAAGGTAAGGATTTTGTAGACAAACAGAAGATTCACCGACGAATTCATGAAGTATTAGGGGGGGGGTGTTACACCCCCTACACCCCCGCTAGCTACGCCCCTGCGATTCCTTTAATTACCCTCAATCTGCGAAAAACAAGTGTATCTAGACAAAACTGAAAAGATTCAACATAAATTTTAATGGCTAATCTAATTAACAGGTGGCACGATCTTTAAGGAGTATTGATTTGTATAATTCATGGTCTTTATGATTAGTTTCCATGGAAGTGAGACCCCATATTTTGCAATTGATTAGTTTATTCAATGATCTTGATGGCAGTACCATAAACGATAGAAAGAAGTGAGCGATTTGCGGTAAGTCCTTGGTCACCCACCAACAAGGATTTTTTTCAAATCTAAGGACATTCAATAATCTTATATTCTAATTGTATCATTCACAGCCGACAGTAAACAAAGTTCTCTTCGAGTACAGTCACATTTGCCTACTAATTTGAATAATTGGTGCTTACTTTTTTTAATATTTTTATTAAAAAGGTATCTAGGCCAAGATGGCCTCTAACCTAATTACAACATAAGAATAACAATGAAAGTTAATAGAATTACCTCTACAACAACTTGTCAAACGTTAATATCAACTCAATTTTAAATAGTACAATTTTTTAATTACGGTAAACTGTACGGCTGACAGTAAACTACCCTGGGTGCCAGAGCTTCAGAGAGTCAAAGGATGAAGAACGGGGGAAAGGAAATGCGAAGGAGACTGGAAGAGGAAAGGGGATTCCATTCTCCTTCGCAATTCCTTCCCCCGTTCTTCATCCTTTGACCCTCTGAGGCTCTGGCACTCAGGGTAACAGTAAACTAGCTAAATGGCGGAGATAGTTCCTTTTGAATGAGCATAAGAGCTAAGAATGATTGAGTAAGATAGTGGTTCTTTACTCCATGTCCCAATTTTTTTATGGATATTCTATAACAAGGGTGAAAAATACCCTTTCATTCTTGCATTTTCAGTATGCAATAAGCGTGTTGTTGCACTGTGAAAATAATCCGAAGAATGAAACTTTGAAGAATGACGATTTTTGCAAGCGGGGATTTCGATTTTTGCAAGCGGGGAAAACGTATTATCTCAAAAACGAGGATTTCCATGTTTTGCTGTATTTTCGGTGAATATTCAAACTTGTCGGCAAATGAAGGTTGTTTCATTCACTTTGTTACCACTATAGAGAGAAAAGGCTAGCAATCGCACTGCTTACACAAGCAATCGCACTAATTTAAGAACAAATTAAGAACAATCTAGCTTCAGATTTTGAAGAAAAAATCTAAGAACAGTCAGCCTGAACTTAAAGTTACCGGTTCTTATAAAAAATATTATGATGGACGCCCTTCTCAAAAGTTCAAGGAGGGAAAATTTGTGACTCAAAAATGTTTTTTAGATACATAAAATCAGTCATCAAACATTTTTTAAAAGCTTCTCTTACAGGGAGACCGCGTACCATTGCGCTACTAGTTCGTTTGTCTCAAATATTGCTTTTATAATTTTGTCTGTCTTACTTCCTGACATGGTAATACCAAGTTTTTTCTTAAAAATTGCTTTGGCTAATGCAGACAACATTCAATTATGATGCCAACTACTGGACGACTTACAACAAATACAACCATGCATACACGGTAGCTGAGGGACTGCTTCTTGGCGAAGAGGCGAAATACGAAGCTTACAACAAATTGGCATTCACCAAAGTATGCCTCGTCTTTAGAATAGCTGGGAGATATACATTCTTGCAAATTGACAAGACTGCCAGTTCAATGCTAGATGTTATGAATTCTGGGTACCAAGGTGATTATAAATATTTTTTTATCAATTTTTGCATGTGTAAATGAGTTAACGCATTTTAATTTCACTTTAAATGGCCTATTTTATTTCGATCCACAACTGGGTATATATATTTCCTAGCGTATTGTCTTCGGTTAGTGGTCTGATGTTTTATACTCTGAAAAGTGTCAGACAAAACCATCTTCGTTTCTTTAGATGATCAAATTTCATGATCAGTCTGTTACTGCAGTACACTGTGTTACTGTAGAGTTCAGTCTGTTAATAAAACTCATATTATATGGCTCTAAATCCTTTGCAATAAGATTAAATTCTTGGCAGAATTCAAGGGGATATGATTAAAAAACATGTGTCCCTGAAGCTGGCAATTTGTTGATTTTGGTACGGACCGTGACACTGCAAATATCGTTTTGATAAACTTGTCCAAATCAATAAGAAATTGTTGAGTTTCAATGTGAGAATTCGAAGTAATAGCTTCTTAATGTACTGACTGTGGAAATGAACGGAATTGCTCATTCATTCACTTACAAATTTTCTTTAGTTTACAAGTCATTGTCCCTTCAGTGCAACAGATCAATCCAATTAAGCCAATCAGATTACTGGATTTTGCTCGAGATAGCCAATCAGATTGCAAAATCCAGTTTTATCATTGGTTTGAATCCCTTGGCGTAAAGTAATTGGATAGAAATGAAGCTAGCTGGGTCTTTGCAACTTGATACCACCCTGAAATTGGATTGGAAACAGATTTGCTCGATGCTTGCACACAAGAATGTGAACATTTTTCAATACAACATTTATAACTTGGCAAAATTTATGGATTTGATTGGCAAATATGTGTTTGGTTAGACATTTTTTTGAATGTGCGCTCAATTTTTTCAAAGCGGCAAAAGCCAATTTTACCGATCTTCTTGCAGAAACGGTACGTCCATATTACATGGTTTAAGATCCCCTTTGGTTGACCGATGTATTTGTAGCTGTTTTTTCGCCCTTTGATAATAACTGTAGATGACTCTGGATAGAGTCGAAACGTCTAAGTAATCTAATGGATATGTCTTTTAATGGATTTGTCTAACATCTGATTTGTCAACCTCAAATACTGGATATGTCTAATTAACTGATTTTTAACAAGTTCATCAACAAGCTGCGGTTTCCAAAGTCTCAAACTGCTAGTAGTAGCAAGTTAACAGCTATAGTCGCCAATCGATGGAATACAGGCGATTGAACATTTCAGACTTTAAGCTTACGATAGCGTCATTGTAGTCGAAGCGTCGAGCCTAGCTACACTCTTCTTTTGCAAGAGCAATTTCATAAGAACACGAGCCTCAAAATTGTTTAAACGTTAAGACGAAATTAAGAACATGCTGAGGCTGAGCAATACAATTTTGAGCAAGGCTTTATCTAAAAAAACAAGTATTTTTAGCAATGTTTGGGTGCCTTTTCGGTGAGTTTTCAAACTTGTCGGCAAATGAAGGTTGTCTCACTCACTTTGTTGGCAATGAGACCCGGATTCCTCCATAAAGCGAAAAAGCTAGCAATAAGCAATAGCACTGCTTACACCCTCTTAATTTAAGAACAAATTAAGAATAATCCAGTCTCAGATTTTTTCTTCGAAAAAATTAAGAACAGTCAGACTGAACTTAAGTTTTGCGAATGCAGTGCTTGGCGGCATCACTACACTAAACTTGGAACAATTATTTGCCAAAGGAAATTGATTTTTGACGGCAATTATTTCTCGCCAATTCATAATTCGTTTCACTGATGATAATTTATAGTACTCCCAATTAGAGAAACTTTAAGAATTTTTAGTATTTTGCATACTTAGCCATATTTGCCACGTAAGTCTATTAAAATTCTCATAGATGGAAAGAAAATTAAAATCATTGTTACAATAAGCTCAAAACAAACTGTGGTCCATTTTTGCGAATTAACCTATTGTTTTTTGCAAAAAGATGCTTATAGATTCACCTAAAAACGCGAAATCCGCAAAATTAGTTTCCACAAACTCAATTTCCTTTTACTTTCACGCCATTAATTACTCTTACTTTGTTATCATTAAGTAAATATAAAACGATCAATTTCATTGCTAATAAACTTTCTATTGAGAATAAGTTGATCAAAAAGTATAGCTGGTCACTTTTTTCCGAACGCCCCCTCCCCCCCTCCCCAAAGTCTGTCCGTCTGAGATCTTTGGTGCGTTTTACACACAACTTTTTCTTCTTTTAATAGCAACAACTGTTGGACGCACAAAATGGCTAAGTTTAGTTGAAAATAATCAAATGCAAACTCAATGCAACAAAGAAGGCTTCAGTGTCGACAATTTGGTTCGGATTGGCATCATCGCCAACAACGAGGATGATTGCTTTACACCAGATTCGTACATTGGAATTGGCATCCATGGCAGAGCGAGTACATATTGTAATTACGCCTTTAAACCAGCAGGCAACGCTATTTGTATCGGTACAACAGACCTATTCAATAAGTTAGCCAATGCGTACTTATTTGTGAAATAATGTATTATAAAAGTCCTACTGATCTTTAAATAGTTTTGCATCACTTGTTCCCAGGGTACATCACTGGATTAGACAGTGTAAAATGGACAATCAACTTCAACTTGTTTTTTAAATCGAATCGTCTATAAAAAACCAATCACTATGATGACCGAAAATTAATAAAACTGAAAATCAATATTCAAAATGTAGGATTGCTGTGATTTTTTTCGTCGATTACGTACCCATTTGCTGTTTTATTCACATAGATAGATAGAAAGAACATGTCCTTGTGTGACCTATTAGATGTTCAATTCAATGGTATCTTGCGTCACACTTGTGTGTAAAACACGTGATATGTTTGATCAGAGGTCTCATCCATATCAACAAAAGAGAAGCTTCTAGTTTTGATTCATTTGCCTCTATAATACCTTCCTAACTCGACGATAATGAACAACAAAATACAAATCTACGCTTGTGTTTATATCAAACAACAGTCCAAGTTCCAGCTTATTCTAGAACAGACGCTTTTCTCTTAGAAAACGATAAAAACTTCTATTTTACTAAACACATGTTTCATGAGGGTTTCTTGTTCGTACTCCTCTGAAGCGTGTCTCTTGACGGAGTTTTGACCTTTGAACTCAGAGGGCAAACTCCATCTTCAGTGTTCATGACATGATATTCAGTGTTCATAACAAGTTAAGTAACTGAATGCTTAATTCCTTATAAAATTCGTTGTGTATTCAAGTAATGATCTCATGTACTCAGGACATCCTCTTTTCTAATTGGCATTCTAGTAATTTAGATTGAGGTTCCTCAAAGGATTTTTAAATCTTCGTATGAAAAAATGAAAGCGATTTTTAAGTAGCACTGTATTAACTCGATAAAATGCACGGGGACTTCTTAAACTTTTAATACTTTATTTTTACGAATTATGCCAATAATTAAATAAATACCGCAATAATATTCTAATATAGGGATTCTTCTACTGAATTTTCTCTAGAGAAATTAAGCAGGTACTTTTCGATTTCCTTTTCCTGTTAGAAGAGCGCTAGGTTCTGATGTCGTACAAAAAATGAATTTTTCGACGAAGTGGCATTTTTCGAGGGGTGCCACCTGTTGTGCCCACTTAGAGAAGATGCAAAGAATACACTTCTCTTTGGATCAAACACAACAACAACTCTACTCAAACTACTGCAAGCATGCATGATCAATCACTGAAAAGTCTGTGCTCTTTTGTGGCATTTTTAGCATTTTTAGCATTTTTGGTAATTTTTGGCATTTTTGTTATTTTTTGGCATTTTTGACATTTGTTGGCTTTTTTGGCATTATTTGGCATTTTTGGTATCATTGACGTTTGCTCAAAGCAATAATCTGTTACATAGTGGAATAGTATACTACAATTTAGATATGGCCTGGCGGGTTTCCAAAAAGCTCGAAGTGTTCCATTTTATAGATTGCCTCTCTCTACAAGATACCAAAGGGTATTCTCGCTAAACCCTAAGATGCCACGCTATTTGAGAGACAAAGATAAACACATATTACTCTTTTGCTAATAGATTGATTTTCAAATTTGCTCGAATTAAGAAACAATCGTTATAAAACAAATGAAAAAGGTACGCCACAACTTACTCCAACATTGGTCTTTATTAACAGAACTAGCATGAATTTATACTCATATTTTGATTGGTTAGAGAGAGGTTTGTAAGATAAGTAACAACTCACTTCTTGCGTGGTAAGTCGATAACTGCATTTGCATAGCAAGTTTTTACTTTAGTTGTTTATTAAACGACCAACCTTGTATCGGGTAGAATATCCATTATGCATTGAGTCCAGTCGCATCATTACACTTTATTATTAAAGAACCGTTATCTGTTGCATTAAAGAACTTTCACATAACTGTATTGAACGATGCTTGCCAAAAGTTTTGGAACATTAACGTCAGTTTTTAAAGGCAATTTCAACCACCCCTCTCCCGCTTGGAACAATGTTTGTTAACTATAAACGAACAAAATGATTAGAGAGTATTTTTTGTTTTTGTGAGGAAGGGAGCAGAAGTAGTATTATTCGGAAAAGGAAATGAAAAATAGAAAAAACACAACCCAAAGTGCTAGATGTTCCAATTCATTTTGGCTGACATTGCGTCACCTTTATCGCACCATCAATTTATAAATCTGTATTAAAAATATCATCAATTTATTGTTGATTTGCAGCGCGCCTATTATTTGTTTGCATTCTGCAACTTGTTAAAAAGATTAAAAAAGGAATAGAATTGTCCACTGAAGAAATAATGAGATCCAAAAATGGTGATATTTAGATTGATTAATTTAGGTTGTCTTCATCATTCGACGAAGAGGTGTCACCTGAAAAGAGCAAAGCATGGAGAAATTTCCTTGGGCATGGATCTTTAAAGTAATTGTACTTAGCATTTTTTAATAACAAAGCTGAAGATTTGATGGGAAATAACTTTTTAAGATCCGTCTTAGATTTTTCACAAAATTGGCACCCAATCCATTCCATGCTGTCTAACACAGTTAGCTTTGTTCTGATAATCTATCAGCCAGGTGAAAAATTGCATTTTTGCAACCAAGAAAACCAGGGTTAAAATTACGTTTCTTTACTCATGTTTGCCTGTTCATGTACCCACCATTCTGAGCAAAAATATTCAGTAAACGCTACTAATTCCTGTATAATTGAGATACATGAAACTCTTGTCCCAGAAAAAATGATATTAACTGCATTTTCTCGAGAAGCGTTTTATCATTCTGAATTTAGTAGAAATGAATGCAGCCAAAATGCTGCAAATCCGTGAATCGCTTCAGGCATCTAATGTAAAAAACTTTTTGAAACAAAACATTATAGTGCTGTCAGACAACCACTAATAAAAGAACGAAAAAAAAGAAACGAGAAATTTAATCATTTGAAATATATTGTAATTAATCAATTTAAAAAGTTGCAAATACTTGACAAAAGAATTAAATAAAGACTTGCAAGAAACCAAAAGTAATATATTTATCAGTAAGCAGAATTTCTAAGAGATATGGTATTATTTCTATTGCAGAGCCTTGACAAGGTCTCAAAACTATTGTCATTTAGTTCCTCGCTTGCCGAGAAAGCAAAAATTTAAGGTCAAATACATTGTACCAAAAAGAAAAACCTGACCTCATTTTAAAACACGACGCAAAGTGCTGGATGTCTTTATTTTCAGAAATTTATTTGCGTTTTCAAAAATTTTAATGTGTTTTCACAACTTGATTTGTGTTAAGAAAAAATTGTGACGTGGTTCTAGAACTCAATCTGTGTTCGAAAAATTGCCTTACCAATCTCTAGTTGTTGTTTGCTAACTGTTTTCTAACTGTTTTTTGCTACTTCATGTTCGACAATATACTTTTATCCGTTTTATTTGTAAATTGATAAAGAGAGCTTTCAGAATATCGTATAACAACATGGTGCGTAAAGATCGCTACTCTTGGAAAATCAAAATTCGAGACGCATAATTCTTTTCCGGATCCAATTACACACAAGTTCTCTTGTCCCCGGACTAAAATTTGCGTGAAAAAAACGTAGCATGAAGGTGGTTTTGAAGCATTTTTTATCATCACTCTACGCAGATTATCTCATGTTTTTGCTCGTTTCCTTTTTGAAATGCACCAGCTAAATGCTATTGTGTTTTGATTGCTCCCTGTACCTAACAACCCGGAAGCAATGAGGTATAATACCGTCTTTTACTTCACAAGAATAAAGCCATCCGCCTTTATATCAGTTTTTGAATAGCATTCTTGGTTGCCGGTTCTTGTGTCATTCATACCGCACCAAATCACCAGGTTACCAATGCCAAGGCCTAAAAATCCGTCTGGAGTTTTGCAATCGTCTTCTTGATTTGTTGCAAGGCCAATTCGAACTGCCTTAAGACTTGGTAGCACATTAAAGCCCTCTCGGTTGCAGTATGGTAAAAGAATGCTTCCATTTATCGCACTTTGCCACTCAGAGGGGCCAAGGGTTGTTGCTGAAAAAGTAAGAATATTTATCATTTTAGAATTATTTTCGTTTCCAAAAGTGAAATTTGGAGACGGGGAAATCTCAAGGCAATTGACAAAAACAAAAGCGGCGCAACACATCTGCCAATCAATATTAGCCAATCAATAACGTGTGAATAGAATCACAATCTTTGATTGGTCAAACTTTATATATACCTAAATTTCCTAAATTCTTATATTTCCTAGCGTAGAGTTTTCAATCTATGTTCTTACGTTTCAAACGCTGAAGAGTGTCAGACAAAAAGCTTAAGTATGACTCAAAATGTTTGCTGTTTCTAAAAGCCATTTATAAGTTTTGTACCATCAAAAAAATTTTAGTAACTTTCTCCTTTTAAATAAGTAACTTTTAAATAACTTTTAAATAACTTTTAAATAATCTTGATCAGTATGACATTAAACTTGTCTGAAGCTGACAATTATTCTAATTCGACTTGAATTTCAAGTGCTCTTAAATTCAAGTAAAACCTAACAATTTTACTGTATATATCTATGATTTTAGAAAGACAAGAAAATTTACTGTTACCTTGATATCCTGAATTCATCAGTTCTAGCATCGAACTGGATTTTTTTTCAATTTGCAAATATTTTCTTGTTCCTGAAGCCTCGAAGCCAAGACAAACTTTAGTGAATGCCAGTTTGTTGTAAGCTTCAAATTTTGCTTCTTCGCCAATATTCATTCCCTCTTTAAGGGTGTACACTTGGTTATATGTGTTGGAAGTTGTCCAGTAATTTGCAGAATATGCAAATGTTTCCTTTGTATAAAAACAGTAATGCAATCAAGTAAGCGATCTCAAGCCCGAGTAATTAGAAAAAATGCACGCATGCAATAAATTTATACGATCCAGCCAAAGGTGTAAAATAGACTTTGATATCATACATTATATATTGTTATCAGGCTTTATCGTTCTAATTTGGAGAATTTTGCAGGCCAGCAAAGAGCAACAAAGGTCTCTAATCAACTTAAGGAGGCGAAAGAAAATGTGAAATCTTCCGGATTTACGATCCAGATCAGTTCATCAACATTTCATTTCTTATACATAAAGTTATCTGTTTCCAGTTCCAATCAAAGGTATTTAGGACAATTGCTATATATATTATATGGGCTCCTACAATCTATGAAAAAAATAGATTAAGGGAGCTTTGATATTTCTGGTCATGATCTATGATTTTCTTTCCTTTAAAATACCTATCCTCTCCTTTCTCCATACCAACAGACTCAAACTCAAAACTCAAACTCAAAATCTTTTTTGTTCAATCATTCAAGATTAGTTAACTTTTACCTACCAATCCACCCTTTGTTTTCATGATAAGTGTCCAGCCTGCACCAGAGCATTTACCGAGTGACGTCATGACACAATAATGGTAGCCCATTCCTGTTAGTTTGTATACACCGCTTGTCGTAAATCCATTCTCATAAGCTGCTTTACAACTCGCAAACTCTGCAAAAAGAATTTTCTAGACTTCATACATTTTCTAGACTTTTTAACCTAAAGCTTTAAAAATGGCATTGTCTCTCAAAATTTACATCATTAAATCGTACATTTTAGGAGAAATTAAACGTTTCTATGCACTGACATTTTTTATTCCTAAGCTGTTTGATAGCAATTATCGACGAAGGAAAATCAGGAAATTTGAGTTTGAAATAGTTGCCTTTTTTATCATCAACCCAAAACTTAAAATGGATAAAATGGACCAGAAAGATTCTGCCATATACCCTGGACTTGCTATTTAACGAAAGGTTGCAGAAAACTGAACAATCGTAAACAAAACATTCACTCGCAACGCAGTTAACAAAAGGACATTAACATAAATTTATCAAAATAGGTACAATTTTCTTAAAAATGTATCATTTTGCGTTCTCTTCTCAACTTAGTACGGAGCCTCACCATAAATTAATGAGATGGAATTGCCCAAATGGCGCCTGAAATGCAATAACTTTCACCAGGTTAGGCCGCTGCAGGCCTCCCAGCCCCGATGTATCCCACATCCTTGTGTAAACTGCCAGTTAATTCTTGACTACTCACTCATTTTGATTTATTTTTTTTGGTGCTGTATATCGAGCAGTTTATCAACTGTTTATATATACAAATATATAAAGTGGTTCCTGATTTCGTGCAAAAAAAGAAAGCATGCGTTTAAGATGTATAGTGGTGAATGGCATGTCACACCTAGGTGGGGCACTTTCTATGAAGTCAACCTGTTGATTCCAGAATGAAACTAGCATTCATGCAGGTGTCTTTCCAGAACCAAACAGCAAGAATTGTGCGTAAGCAGCCATTTACCATTAAACGCCTGGTCCATATTCAAATCTGCGGGACTTGGAAATAGAGGATGTATTCAAGAGTGATAGGGTGAAAGTAGTTTTGAGAATAACTTCACGGGTTATTTCCCTCTTGCTTGGGTTCTTTATCCTTGGCATGATGTGAATATGATAATACCAGTTAGTTAAAATATGATTCTCATTATGTAAGACGGAAGGACTATTGAAGTATTGCATTGCAATGGGAAATTGACTCTTAGGGGACTGGATCATTAAAATTTGTCCATAACAAGGATCAACAGCAAACAGGACAAGCCAGTTTTTGCCAAATGATGTCCACATAACATCCATTCAAAACGTGGTGTAAATTTGTGCAAAATCAGACATTTATTGAAAAGGCAGAAAGAAAATACTTTGCAAGCACTTTTCTTTGTGATTCAGAGATGTCCTTACTTGTATGTTGAATTGCCTTGTTCAAAGAACCAAATTGTCATTGTGTAAAACGTGCCTGTCATAAATCTTCTTTATAATATCTCTAAAAATTTTCCGATTGGTGTAAAACAGAAGTAGAACGTCAGCTATTTCGTTGGTGAATTATAATGAGTGAAACTTACCCTTTACTTGCTCACAATATTTCCCTGTGTACATACTGTCACAAATACATTCGAATCCCGGATCAGCGCATTTGTCAAAGCACTTGCCTTTGTTCTGACAAGGCGATAAGGTGCTGCAATTAGGCCCATGCTATGAAGTAAAAATCAGAAAGTCAATATAGCTATAAATGCCTTTTAACCGAAAAGGTAACGCTATTGGCACAAGTTCTTTGAGAAATTTGTTGATTGTAGTACTTTGGACTTTTGAGTTTTAAGCATGAGTCTTTGAATTTTAATTCGATCTTTATATTTTGAATTTATTTTCAAAACAGAGCGATTTTGATAATTCAAACAGCCATAAGCTGTGAAACGAAACATTTTGATCATTTAGTGTTACTTTTGCTCTAGATCGTGCTGCGGTCTTTCAACTTTGCAACTATTTTGCCTTGCCCCCTGTAACGAGGCTTCACAAAACAGCAATCATAAAACATCTTTTCTTTATTCTAAATTACTTATTAAATGCAAAGATTACTTGTGCTTGTGACCTAGATACGTTTTTATTGGAAACGTTTGGCTGCATTTGATTTTCAATATAAAAGAAATAGTGGTACATACGTTCTTTGATCTGCCTTTGTTTGTTAAATACGTCCATCCAGGTCTCTCCACTAAGCTGGATGTGAAACCCCGCTCAACCAACTCACACTTTCCAGTTGCTCTCTCAAAGTTCACTGCTCTACAACAATCCACAGACACACACTCAAGAACGCATTCTTTTCTTCCTTTTGATACAACATATTTTATGATATTTGATTTGTCACCAATGTTTTCCAATACCACATTGAAATCTGTATATGTTTTGCAGCCCAATCTTATAAAATTTTGAAAGCCAGTGTCAATTAAATATATTATGAATATAAACACCAATATTTTCCTCATCATCTTTGACAATAAAAATTCCTCTCTATGTACTTTCTTTCAACAAGCATAACATATTTGGTCAATTAACATTTCTCATGATCTCATCTTCTTATATAGGACGGAATTGTTATGGTACCTGTCTTATTTTGATTGTTAATTTGTCTATGAGCATTGTGTTCTAGAGCTTTTCAAAATAGCTTGGTTCTCTATCAAAATACGCAGATGACGGCAATGCGCACGTACAATCACGTACAAAAGTCTTGGAACACTAACGTCAGTTTTCAAAGGCAAATTCAGCCACCCCCTCTCCCCCTAACAACAATGTTGATTTACTTTAGAAAAAAGGAAGGGGTTGTGGAGTACGCTTTTTCGTGTGCCTTGTATGATATTTTTCTATCCTTTCAGCATTGTTTTGGGGGAAAGGGGGACGGTAGTAGTTGTATTCGGGAAAACAAATGAAAAATAGAAAAGCACAGCGCAAAGTGTTGGGTGTTCCAAGTAATTTTCGCAGTGATTGTACGTTTTTGATTGAAAGCAGAAAGAACTTGGAAGTTGATTTGTTGTCTCTTCACTTTTTCACACTGAGAAGCATATAAATCTTTGTTTGGAATCTAAGCCTCATTGATAAGATTGTAGTAAAAAGCTAGTTTTAATAGAAATCTTTAATAGAAATTGCAGATTATGAATTGGGGCATCCAAAGTTAAAGTTGCGGAAAAAGATTTAATCCAAACGATTATCCCATGCCGTTAGAACAACATCAGAATCCTTGAAAAACTTTGTCAGAGTGAGCCCTGTCCCTCAAAGATTCTGCTGCCCTATCTTTAAGCAAGATGAATTCGAGACAACAGATAGAGAACAAATGAGACCCAGGTTTGATGAAGATATTAGATGATCGCATTTTGAATCGATATTTTTCATTCAATATTTGCAAATCTTCAGAAAATCATCCTTGCCAAACAAAAAAATTATAATATGATATTTTTGCAGGCCACAAAAATTTTCTTCCCGGGCCGGATTCTGGCCCACGTAGGTTGCCCACCCCTGCTTTATTGAAAAGGCCACATGCTATAGAGACAGCTGAATGAATGCGTCATAACATCAGTATTCATAAAGACACCTTTCTAGAACCATACAGCCAGACTTGTTAAGCAGCAATTGATTTTTAACCGCCTGCTACGTGGCATGCGTCATATGTATTCACGAGTTTTTCTTGCTAGTTGAGAACACCAGCAATTGTACATACAAATTGAATTAATCAATTTCGTCATTAAAGGCAGTCTGTCCCCTATTCTACTCACCTTTATTTTCACGGGAGTGAAATTCACGCACCGTTGAGCTTGATCGATAATTAATCGATTTAAACCAATCAGAGACAACTCTTATTCCTTAGCTTTTGAATCAAATGGCTGTGTTCCCGTTGTAGTGAAGCTAACTAATGTATTTTTAGACAGCATTTCAAAAAAATACTGCTGAATCTTAGCATGATGCAAAGATCAGGAAGAATCTTATTCAGTCAAAGACACTTAGTCCCAAAGCATTTCGAAGGCCAATTAAATTTCCCATTGGTTTGACTATACAATAGACCTAACGTTACGTATTCAATCGGCAACGTATCGTATTTCCTCAAAAAAGAGCTCACCCTCGAAAAAGCGCCCCACTTAAGTAATCAAAACCTTAAAAACAGTACTCAATGTTTTCTCAATCAAAAACGTACTGCAAAGTCTATTCTTAACTTTGAACGCTGGTTAAAGCGTTCTGCAATTCGTATGCAAGGGCAGGTGAATTGATGCTATGGCGTCATTTAATGATAGAAAGATGCAGAAAAAGTCCAATTTTATATTCTAATTCAAATTACTTCCTAGATCATTGCAACAATCACGTTTGGCAACAGATGTTTTTCAGAGTTGATGCTCTAATATGATAGGAGGCTGCTTCTGCACGAGGTTTTACCTGAGTGGCGGCTCATATTTGGATGACGAGAGGGATGATAAAGCATTGGTTGCAAGAAAATCGTTTATGCAATTTTGAGAAATGACAGATTCAGTTAGTTGTACAGTAGTTTACTAGCAGTATTTCATCAAAGAATCATAAAAAAGGGATTGCTTAATGTAACTTTAATAACAAGCAAACTACAAACAGAGTCCACAAAATTTGAAAGAAATGCACTATCAACGCAATGTTTACAGTAATCATTCAATCCCTGCACGATAAAACAAATTCTTGTCAATGTAATATACATCTAGACTTGCTGTTAGATAAAATTTGTTGTAAGAGCAGTTCTTCGCTTCAGTTCGATTAATGTGACTAAATGACTAAATCTCTACATTAAACTGTTGTCGTCATTGTCGTCATTGTCATCATGTCGTCATTAATTTATAACGAGCGAAAATAGCTGTCTGTCGGTGATACGAGATGCGACAAAACTACACCCCAAAAAGAAATCTTACTAAACAAAAAGTCCATATTGTTCCACATCTCTTGATCAAAATGATCTTTCAACGATTAAAGCTTATAAAGACCCTGTTTCTCTGTAGTCATCTTGTAACTAAAAAGGCACAACCTTTAACAAGCTGTATCGGGCAAATATTGAAAAGCATTGCAAAAAAGAATTCGAAGTCTCCCTAAACTCAAATTCACTTGACGATTTTTACGTTCTTTTAAAACACATTTATAGTCGACAGTGTCAGTTAATCAAATAATAACTAGATATTAGCAATCAATTTAACTTCTAAAAACACTCGTCTACATAATGATAAATTGAAAAACTCGTCTACATATAAACACAGGTAAATAAAAGTTGTCAATATTCTTAAGATTATCAAGCATTTCCACACTTTTATTTCAGTACTTCGTCAAAAATACATTTTTTTATAGAGATAATTATCATAATGCTGCACAGCTATACAGTCTCTATAGAGAATAATGTTACAACTTTATATCTGTATCATTGTGATTATTCTAAACAATAATGACACGTGATGATAAGAGAGGCTTCCAACAGAAACGTTGTGGCCTATTCTTTTACTAAACTAGTGTGCTGTAAATTAAAAGCTAGGTTGTTTTCTTCTTGAATATTTTACCTATCGAGAATGTTCCTCATTAAAACAATGCCCTCCAATTTAACAAAAACTCCATTTTTAGGGAAATCATGAAGAGTTTAGGGGGGCGGGGATGGACTATGGGAGCTCGAGCCCAGCACAGGTTCTCATTTTTGTAGAAAAATCTGAGGCTTTTGAGATATGGTATCTGGTTTCTCTTGTCGGAAGGTGGTAGTCATGAGCCCTTCTCGCTTAATGAAAATCAGAGTTTCAGCCACTGGCTTTTTATTAGAGAAATATAGTTTTATAGCAACTGAGTAAGTATATCATGTATTACTTTCAATTTTGCTTTTCATTTAATGATAATATTTCTGATATTGAACGAAACAATTTTGCTTGTTGATCTAATAGCCAATTCGAGCAAATGCATTTTTAACGTCTATTTGCTGTAAAGGTTCACTTTTATTAAATAACTTTTATTGGTTTTCTCTGAGAATAAACTTTTTGGGGGAAAGTTTGCATGTCAGAAATACAAAACATTGTGCAAATTCTGAAGATCATGTACTCCATAACATTGTTTACCTTCCCTAACAGGTAGGGAGGTAACACACTTTTTTTCTATTGAACAAGTATAAATCCACTGGCCTTTATTTCAGTTCGGGAATAGCATTCTTGGTTGCCTGTTCCAGTTATGTGCAGACCGCACCAGCCGGCATTCGTACCTAAACCAATGCCAATAAATGAATCTGGACTAGAACAATCATTCTCGTTGTTTGTTGCGATACCAATTCGGACATTCGTCACGACATTGAAACCTTCACTGTTGCAATTTGCCAACAGAACACTGCCTTGGACCATACCAAGCCATTTAGCACGCCCAAAAGATGTCGCTTTAAAAATGAAGAATCCTAATGTTTCAATAAATGCTACAGCTTATGTGCCGATTTTAACAAACACAATTAATCGTATTATTAATATTTTGACAATTTGATCAGAAATATATTCAAAAACAAAATCAGTTGTTGCCTTCCTCAAACTTCTTCAATTTTATTTTCGTTTTTCAGCCCTTTTTAGTGCGTTGCTATGCGTCTATAAGCAGCAGCCGTTTCTTTTATACATATTTCTGCGCTTTCAGCATTGTTTTTGCTAACCCAAATTGTTTTGATAACGAGTATGGTATCGCAGGCACCGCGGATCATGGTAGGGGTCTGGGCATCAATTAGCCTGGTGCTATTCAGCGCTAATGTTAAACTAAGAAATTTTTTTGCTGAAAGAATATTTGCTTTGACATTTGATCAAGTATTATCCTTATTGGTTGAATGCTGAGTCACTTAAAGGGCCTCTCCAGCAAAATTCCAATTAGTTTAGAAATTATAAGGCTTTAAAGTTGCACCTTTCCGAGAAAAAAACGAAAAAAGCCGAATCAGTTTTGTGACATTCTGACGTCACAATGTGCGGCTCTCGTTCGCCATGAAATTCGTATATCTTCTACCGAATCGTGAATGAGTCATGGTCACGCGTTGATAACGGCATCTAAATCTAGAGCAGGAGCTTTTTAGGGTCGAAAAATATTAAATGCTTACGAACATTCTAAGTTTGCGGGTCGGAATGTGTCCATGCTGTGTCACGACTTTGTTTCGATCACCTCTGTAGGCCCTCAAAGTTTAGGCTTCCTGTTCCAGCTCTTCCCTCGCGTATAATTAATCAAAATTGACACTTCAGTTGTTCTCCAGAAACGATCAACAGCTAAAGGCTTCAGAATTGGTGTCTGAAATGCTCAAACTAAAAGCCGGTGGAACAGAACTGAGAGTACCATCACTTGCAGTGTTCAATTTGCGAATCGCCGTCGTTCGATTCGGTTTGAGGCGAGACTAACGAAATACACTGTGACGTCAAAATTGCGTCACAGTGTCACCAAACCGAAAAATTTTTGTCGGTTAATTCAATTCAATTATCGAAATGCAAGAGCTTATATCTCACAAACTGTAAAAAATATCGAAAAACAAATAACGAATTTGTGATCAGCAGGTTCAACTCCTTTAGATAAGCCAATAAAATGCAAGTGCAAAATTTGGCTGGAGAGCCCTTTAAACAGCATTATCTGATGGGTATAATTCATTGTATGATTTTGCTAAACATGTGTAAGAGCTTACACTTTGCACATAATTTGTTGTAACATGATATTTTGATATCGTTTGCTCAGACTAAAAAAGCCGGTTTACTTGACACCTCAAAAGATTACTTTTAGCTCCGGAATAAACAGGGTGGCTGAAAAATTTCCTATTACATGTTAATAAGGGGGTTCTAGAATAAGTGGTGATTTTGTTTAATCCCTAACTAAAGGCTATCTGAAATAAACGATGCGAGAGGAAAGTAAACGAGGAGGCTGGTAGTATGCAATAAGCATGTGACATGTGTTCTGTATAATATCCTTGGATTGAGGTTCAGGGAGTCGCGATTAGATCAGGGTCGCAGCGGATTTTGGGCAACACTCGCGCATACACAGCAACATGTATTTTCATACTGTTTCAAACATTGCGTACTTTGGAATAAGTGGAATATGTACCGTTTTGAGAATCTCTGGTTTTTCCAAGTCGTTTCGACTGTAAATAATTATTATCATTTGTCTAGATTCTTAATACACAATGATCTAGTATAATAAACAGGGGGCGTACTGGGTGGAAATAACAATAAACAGGGAGGTGTTTCAAAGAATCAATAAGTGGAGACTTTGGCTTTACACAGGGCTCAAGGGTAGAGCCCCATAAAGGATAAGACGGGGTCCTCATTCTGCATGCATATTTTTAACAACATATCTTAACAACTTACCTTGATGCCCAGAATTCATTACTGTTAACATTGAGCTAGCCGTCTTTTCAATTTGCAAATATTTTCTTGTTCCTGACACCTCAAGCCAAGACAAACTTTAGTGAATGCCAGTTTGTTGTAAGCTTCAAATTTTGCTTCTTCGCCAATATTTATTCCCTCGTTCAGAGCATAAACATGGTTGTATGTGTTGGCAGTTGTCCAGTAATTTGCAGCATAAGCAAAAGTGGCCTTGTGAAAGCAAAATTGAAGTCAAGTCACTTTAGAACTCTCTTGCGCAACTGGCATGCTTTGTGGTAGCTGCTTCTTTAGGCGAGGAAAAAGCGGCTGTGTTTTGCATTTTCATTAGGCCTGATTTGGAAATATAGTCGCAAAATGTGCTGGTTGCGCAAGAGCCTTTAACCCATATTCAATGATTTTGTAATTTGGAAACAGAGCTTCAAATTGATGAGGTTATATAACCTTAAGTAAGATGTTTTAATATTGCACATATGATGCGAAGAAACCTCAAGAAATAACTCCTAATGGGCATAATCAGTTTGATCGGTTACGCATCGACCATTTTAGCACAGACTGATCATTCCTAACGAGTTGTGTGTATGGAGAAAAGTTTTGAAGATAGGCTGGACTGAGAGAAAAACAAATAAATGGCTCAGAGAAAGGATTGGAGTTAAGGTTGTGTATGTTATTGTTAACCAGTTAGAAAGGATAAAGGTGGAAAAATTATATGCACTGGAAACGCAGACTAGAAAGTACTGTCATGGCATCAATAGTGGGTGAAGTAATGGGAAAATAAGAGTGGAGGAAGAAGAAAAGCCTGGGTAGACAGCATCTGTGAATGGTGCGAAGGAATGGCAATAACTCACAATAATGCAGGGGACTACAAAAATTGGTTTGATTTGAATGTCTACGGCTCCATTGGGACTTTGGCGTTAAAGAAGAAGAAGAATTCCCCGATCAAACAACTGTACCTTAGCACAAGATGTAAAACTGATGGGCCAGTTCAAAAATAATATGGGCCTTTCACAGACCAAATCGTAACCAATTTGAGGGTACTTCACCGTGTTCTTTCTTCTTATGTGGTCAAAATTTGAATTTGCGAAAAATGGTCTTTATAACGCGATGATTCTTTAAGGAACAATAAATGGGGGCCACATTAACATTAAATTGTTAGCAGAAACTTTTGTTTCGTGAATACTTTCATTTAATTTATATTGATATTTTTGTTATTTTAAGACAGCTGCGTTTGCTGGATAAAATGAAGAGTCGAAGTTGATTGCATCAAATATTAATGTATGTAAGTGCCTACCAAGCCACCCTTTGTTTTCATGATAAGTGTCCAGCCTGCACCAGAGCATTCATCGAGTGACGTCATGACACAATAATGGTAGCCCATTCCTGTCAGTTTGTATACACCGCTTGTCGTAAATCCATTCTCGTAAGCTGCTTTACAACTTGCGAACTCTGCAAAAATGATCTAAACTCTCAGCTTCTATAGACAAAATATCTCATTGTCTAGAATTACTTTTCCTGAAGCTTTTGAGATTGGCGTGGTTAAAATACGTAATTTAACGTTACTAGACAAAAAGTTCTAATTGCCTCCACCAATAAGTTAAAATTGAAAAACTCTATTTGCAAATCATGACTATTTTTTTCTGAAACAGGTGGCTCTCTGTGTTCATTACGCATCACTTTGTAACTCATTTTTACATTATTACAACAGACGTATATATTGAAAACAAAGATTGCAGAAAACACAGCAGCTCGCTCTGCCTAGTCCCGACCTTCCAAAACTTTGAAAAAGATAAAAACTCGGAGACATAACTGTAAACAAGGTGTACTAGCATTTGCAGGAACTCTAGTTTGCTTGAATTCTGTACCTAGCACTTTTTAAAATAATATATTTATGGTACGATGGTACCAAAGTATAGTTTTCGTCCGACAACTCGAGAGTAGAAAACGTCGGATACTGACCCAGATGAGTAAATAAGATATAGGTCCTGGTGTGGATTCTGAATTCTTAAGAAACAAACCATAATTTTTATAGTAAAAAAGGTCTAAGAAGAAATTACAAAAATAGGGAAGAGCACAATGAGCAAGCAGAATGGTTTTAAGAATAAAATGCCACGAATGAGGCTGATAATACTGTGACAATCGTTAAGGAAAGTTAGTATGGAGTGATATCAAGTAGTTTACTTATAGGCTGAAACAGATGCAATATTTATCTGTCAAAAGGCTTTAAAGAACAAGCCACCAACTTAACAAAGTGAAACTGGAGCAGGTGCTAGTTGATAAGGAAGTTGTTTCAGAAATGTCCTAGTAAAAAGAAAAATAGCAGTTATGAAACTAAAAAAAATTAATCTGGCATGAAAGAATTGTATCACATGGAAATGGAAAAGCCCAATAATAGTTCTACTCAATAGAAGACAATCAGAAAGAAATTTATACCTATAGGATCATATTCTTATTTTCCCACGTTCTAAAACTGAGCATGAAAGAAATAGCGAACAATTTAAGTTGAGAATTTGATGAAACCTAGCCGTCAAAACAGGTTGCATTAAGGAAAAGTTATTCTACAATGAAACAACTGCAGTTATAATACAACGATTAACAAACACTTTTGTTTAAATGATGACTATGAAAATACGTTTGACTCCATAGGTAATAATGGTACAGAGATGAAATCCTTGCACAATCAATAAGTATCACAAAAAAATATCAACAAATGTCTCAATGTTACGTTGAGAATGTTATTGCTAGATTTGACAAATGAACATAAGTACAAGTAAAAAAGACAAACCATGTGCCTCAATTTGCATCAGAAGGAGATACATATCATTGATCGTATTTCAATTGAATTAGCAAAATAAAGTATTAAATTCAACTGGAGATAATTAGCAACTTCCGTTTGCTGATAATGTCAACTTTATCTGACAAGCAAGAAGAACTGGCGAAGATAATTACTTTGTGGAACAGTCAAGTGGAAAAAGTGGAAACGTAAAGAACTACAGCAAAGAATGAAGAATGACGTCAAAATGCAGAAATGTACAGAAGACGAAGATGGCGAAAATTAAAGCAATATGGAAATTTTTTGAGGCAAATTCAATACTCTTAAGTTGGAAAAAAGAAGAATATATTGAATCATACTTCTAGCCGTGAGATATAATGCTGAAATAAGGACACTTAAGAAAAAGAAGTACAAATTGGCAGTGGCAAAGAAAAACATGGAAAGAGCAATGCTTTACACAATACTGCTTGACTAGTGGATAGAATTACAGATTAAGGTCACTCAGTGTTATATACGGTAAGTATTCCAAAAGACGAGCCGATAGAAACAACAGGCGGTTTAATCAAGTGTAAAACAACAACAAAAATTTCCTAGATACTACTTCATATAACATAACACAACACTCAGCAAAGTTTTAGACGTTGTAGAAAAAGTGCAGTAGGTAGGCCATGTCACCTGAAGGGAACAAAAAGTTGTAAAAGAAGATAATTGATGGATACATGGATGTCAGCTTCTATAAAAAGCTGATGTAGGAGACCTGATAGAGATTGAAATAACATCTATAGAGCATTGAATGTATCATATGGACTGGACTGGCAAATGAACGTGACTATTTTTGGGCTATCCTATCAGGCTACTAAACGTAAAGGATGATATGCTGAAAGAGCGTAAGCAGTTTGAGCAGAGATTTAGAATCTCCATGACTGCTTAGATGCTACTCTCAGAGTTCTGACTGGAATTACATTTATATTCTCAAGTTGCCATTATTAAGAAAATGGTTTGATTTTAAGAAATCCAATTACCTTTTATCTAAGTTTGTATGCAAAGGCTGAGAAGAAATTTAGTTCTGAACATTTGTTATTTTATTTCACTTGTTATTTCATCAAAATCTGAATAAATGGTTGCAGTACAACTCTCTTTGGCTTTATACTTTGAGACAGGCCCGCCGTTATAGGGGACGCGTGGAGCGTGACACCCCCTTGAAAAAAATTCCATCTAGGGGTGTTTAGTCGGCAAATTTTCCAAACTTGTCGTCAAATACAGGATAGTTCACCCACTTTGTCGGCAAATGGGACTTGGAAACCACCCTGAGCACATTAGCTATCGATGACATATGTTTTCAAAGAAGAGAGACTGAATCGACAAATTTGTTTCTTTTGTAACTGGTTTGGTTAGCACAATTTTTATTATGAGCAGAAATAATTAATGATTTTGAGCATTTACCTCAAAATGAATGTGTGCCCAGGTGATTTTGACAGAATAACTGACAATTATTTAATGAGCGATTGCACGTAGGTATATATAATGTATTGCAGAGTTTCTATGGCAGCCATGAAGCACCAGCAATTCTACCATCAACAAGATTGTATTCCTCAGAGTGAATTAAAAAGATATTATTCTCACGCGGTCTATTTGCGCTGCAAGGCTTTCCGGCATTGTATAGATATGCTAAGCAAACTCTACACGAAAAAACTAAAGGCATTTGACATGCATAAGTACAGCGAATCCAAAAATAACTCGATCAGAACACGCGCGTTTGAATGGAATTTGAAACTACTCACGTGAAACCACCCTAGCGTCTCGCCGATTGGCAGAAAGGCGGAAATTGTTCACATGTTTTTCTCTAGGCGTAAATCGATTGGTCAACATATGAGGATCAAGTGGCTGTAAGCCAGTTTTATTTTTGTCGAATGCCCTTAAGCATGTCAAGTAGAAAACGATTTGCTTGTATGTTTGAAACTTGGAAGTAAAACAAAACTAAGAAAATCTCCAAAAAGCTGAAATGTAACAAAAGGAGGGAAAAAGGAACAGAGGGCTTATGCCGCAGAAAACATTTTTTAGGAAATAGTCTTAAGGAAGTAAGACACAGTGCAAAGAGAAGGGAGTAACGAACGGGATGCATGAACTAATTACTAGATGAACTGTAAAGTATCTCTTGATTCGGGCAGATACAATGTTTGAAGAAAACAGTTGCAAAGTGTTATACATCGATTGGAGAAAGTGTCTTTGTTTTCTACTATCGTCCATAAGTGTCTTGGCGTTACTCTTTAGAAATAACTTCACAGAGTTTCAATTGTATTTGACATAGGGTTGAGCCTTTTCATTCTGCTTAGAATCTATCGGGTATAAATGTCAATGAAAGAAAAAAACAAAGAAGGCTTAAATTATTTTCTTGGTACTACTCTGCTCCCTAACAGTAATCATACTATTGGCTAAACTTACCTCTAACTTGCTCGCATTGTTTTCCCATGTGCATATTGTCACAGATGCATTTGAAACCAAGATCAGTGCATGTGTCAAAGCACTCGCCGTTGTTCATACATGGTGATAAGATGACGCAATTTGGTCCATGCTAGCGAGGAGCAAAATTCTAATAGTCAACTTAGAGTAAAGATCGAAAGAGCCTGTTTTTAAAAGATAATATAGGCGTCGAAAAGTCTTTTAAGCCGATGAAGATAAAAGTCATTATTTGACCTCTTTATCTCCATTAAAGCAAAAAGAAATTTTGATTTTTTCACTCTTTGCAAAAGCAAATTGGCGATTTCTCTACGATTTAGCTTTAAGCCCTGATATTGTTTTAATTTTTTTGCAAGAATCTTTTATTGAAATGAGTTGGAAAAGACCTGCGTTGCATTCTCAGCGACAAAAAGTTTTAAAATTCACTGTCTTTCTAACGAATAATGCTTTTTCATCAAAAACTAATTAAACTTGCTCTTTCATAATCGAAGGAAAAATACACACGTTTCTTGAATGGTTATTTGTTGTTAAATACGTCCATCCGGCTCTCTGCAGCACATTTGATGTCAAGCTCTTTCCAACAAGTTCACATGTTCCAGTCGCTTTGTTGAAGTTCACTGCTCGGCAACTTGCAGACAAACACTCCAGAACGCATTCTCTTCTCCTCTTTGACGCAACACTTTTAATAATTGCTGATGTGTCACTAAAGTTTTCCAATACCACATTAAAATCGGCGTATATTTTACAGTCTAAATTTATGGAGTTTTCAAAGACTGCTGGTATTAAACACGCTAGAGTCACAATCAGTTGCGTTCGCTTCTTCATTTTAATCGTAGCAAATTTTGTGTTCCTAATCTGTGGTGAAACTCGACAGTGTGCATTTTACCAGTTAAGCACTCTGGCTTATAGGCTCATTTGCACATGAAAGGTGTCCACCTGCCTCGACTGCTGATTATATTATTAATTGACTTACCTTGATTACTGGTTATTAACTGAAGCCTTGATTTCAAAAGCTTTAGCATGACATCGAAGCATAGAATATGAAAATTTGACTTTAACTTTTAGCTCCCCATCCTTGTTTACTAAACACACGCTTTTTTCTACTATTTTACTACAGATATGATCACTGCTTTCTTAAAATGAACGCCAAATATATAAAATTTCAATAGCCAAGGTGATGTGAACCTTGCTGAGATAACAGTTTGTTATACGATTCTCCACTTGTGGTTCAGCAGCAATTTGTATTTACACCTCCTTCAGGGGGTTAAAAATCGTGTAAAAAGTGTTTACACTATAGCATCCGTCTGGTTATCCCGTTTTTAGACAACATTACCAATTCACTTGTTTTGTTGGTAGATTCTTTTGCCAGTTAGGAATCGAAATAGTATCTCCGAAACATGAGCTCGCTTATCATGTCTAGCTTCGATATATTTTTACATCATTCAATATCGATGTATAATAAAATAAAATTACATATTGCTAGTTACATTACTTACAAAACTATTTGTCTACACTGCCAAGAGGATACTGCAAGGAGCACAAGGCTGGGTTTACCAAGCGACCATAAAACATAAAGTTTTAGCAACAAATAACTATGAAAAGAAACAAGAAAAGCAAAACAAAACAAAGCCAAACAATTCATTAACTCTACAGCCAATTCGCTAAATCCCAGGACAGGTTGAAGAAATTAAATTTTATTAGCATAATTTTATTTAAAACGCTTTGTTGCATATATGTATCTTGAAGTCGCTTTCAGGCTTTCAGAATTGGAATCACCATACAGTATCATATCACGGTAAAAGAGCATTTGAAATCTTCAGCAAACCATATGGTTGCAACATTGAATTTACACTATTGAGAAGATGTCTCCTGTGTGCGTCGTAGGAATGGCAGTACGGTTAAAAGTACTCCGTATCCTCAACACCGTCGTTTGTGGGGTACCTGGGATTTGGTGTGTAACTGAAATTGCGTCTGAATTTCCGCAGATTTAGCATATTGGTCCAGACTTAGACCAGCACGTAATTGTTTGAATGTTTCAAGAGCTTTTAGGTCGTGAATATTGTAGACTGGCTTAGGAGGAGGAGAAATAATGGATGAGAGTTTGTTTTTGAAAATGCCTATTGAAGGGGATTCTCTTATTCGTGGGGAAGCTTATTCCATTCAAGCAAACTATAGGGGTATAAGGTTGTATTAAAACATGTCGTTTGCGCACTGATTTGTCCAATACAAGCTGGATAATGACGAAAATTGGAGTACTGTTTTGATGGTCCATGATAATTGCACAATTTTACACGAGATGAGCCCTTCCAAGCACCCGTAACTCCTAGTGCTGCTTAATATTGAAAATATTCTAGTTTTCCATTTGGATTGAGATGTACTGGCTGAAATCGAAATATCCAGACATTATAATCAGATCCAGTTAGTTTTAAACATTAAGTAAGAAAGTATTTTAACGCAACTACAATTAAACCTTTAAAGTATATGTGAAAAACCTTAATAAATAATTACAATACATATTACAAGTTAAAGAAATGCATAAATCGTCAAATTGAAGTAGCAGGGATTGCCTTAGAATATTAAAAAAGGCTTTATTTCCAAAATTGTCAATATTAGCTAAATGGTGAGTTTATGGCTGGAATCCTGCTTCGTGATTAGCCATTTTTGTCTGAAAGCTCACTTCAACCACTTGGCTTCTTTCAATTGCTTTCATCACGGCTTCACGGCTATAACATAAAACAAAATGGAAGATGAATAAATATGGCATACATTTTTTCGTATATAAACTTGAACTTTCAAGCCCGGCAAAACAATTAAACATTATACTAAATACTTCACTCAACTTTTTTTAAGTGAAGTTGAGTTGAGTTTAGCGCTGGTGGCAAAACGTGAATAATTTTCACTAAAATTCAATGAACTTTTTTCAACTGCGAGCTATGTTAGAAGCTTTGAGATTGTAGGGGAATATGGCGAGGAATTTTCTTTCTGTTTGTTTTGTTGTAAACATTAAAATACGATCGAGGACGCAAATCATGCAATAGTTATTTTAGTTTTAAATGATAGAACTATCTGAAAAATCACCAAAAAAGAAGTGGGTAAAAAGACAAAATGAATGAAACGACGTAAAAGGAAAACACTTTGATAACAAGGCTGTTTGTTAATAGACAGGGAATTTCGCTTAACCATCTAGCAAACTGCCTAACCGAAATTTCTAAACATTAAGGGCCTGTTTATATGGAGGAAATTATCCCACCCTCCAGTCTTTGAGCTGAGAGGTGAGATCCCCTCTTCTATAGAACCCTTGTGTTTTTCGTCTTGCGTTTAAATGGAAAATAAGCCAGCCCTGAGAGGTGGGATCTCACTGCATGAGAGTTGGGATCTCACTGAGGTGGGATGAATTTTTCCATATAAACGCTGGAAGGTGGGATGAAGTTGGAAGATGGGATGAAATGATCATTTAAAACGTGACCAAATTTCGTCCCTTCAACACATAGGCTTGAAAGTAGGATGATTTTCTCCATATACAACTGGAAGGTTGGATAGAAGCTGCATGCAAACATTCGATGATTTCATCCCACCTGCCAGATTATTGGCTGAGAGGTGGGATAAATTTGCTCATATGAACAGACTCTAAATCGTAAAAGTAAAGCCCATTGATCATTTTAAGCCCTTGGAACATTCTGGCAAGTGACTTTTAGTCACCTTTCTAGAGGCTTGATAAATGCATGAACAGCAAAATTCCTTTCGAAAATCCTTCAAAGTTTTTAAATCTGATGATACCATTGGTAAGGGCTTGAGAAAAGAGCATAAGTAATGAAATGTTAACGTGCTCTGACCTGTAATGTTTCAATTAAGCAAACAATTATGGCTGTTGAAACTGTTCATTTTGTAGAAAAAGTTGAATGATGGTACAGGCGCATTAGAACTGTGCCTTTCACGATACAAGTATAAAGTTTGGTGCAAGTACACAATTTGATATGCTGAATGAAATGAAGTGACAACTGATACTAAATGAAGTGACAACAAAATCAACCCAGCTGATAATAAACGCCCCGAATGCTATTTGTAGACTAAGGAACTTGTATTGCTGGATGTAGCACTAATTTTTTTCAACTGTAATAGTTTTAAAACTGAAACTTTGTTTTCTAGCGTAGTTCGACATGGTTAGTTAGACTGAGTTTATCTCTAGCTTGCATATTAAAGAAATCAATTACTTGATTACCTATAAAAATTACCTGTAAAAGTCACGCACCGTTGAGCTTGATTGATAATCTAACAATTTAAACCAATCAGAAACAGCTTTGATTCCAGAGCTCTAGAATCAAATGGTTGTTTTCTCGGTGTAGTGAAGCTGTTGCTAGAATCAATTTTGCTCCCTTTTTGGTTTGTGGGACAGTTATGTCAACAGCAAAGGAAAATGCCTCCATTATATCATCACTCGATTTCAGTAATCAAATCTTTTTGACATTTCTGATAGCTTTTGCTCGCAGTTTCATATGTTGTCCACTACCGCAGCTAGGCCAGCTAAAGAAATCAGCGTAATCTTTTAAGACGGGAAGACCAATTGCTCACATTAGTAAATCATTGAGGAAACAGTCCACCTTTAATCTCACTTAATACGTGTAGAAGTATCCCCATTTCATACTTTGGGAGATTTGGCTGTAATATGTAGCTCGTTGGGAAAAGGGCAATATTTCGAAACATTTTGGCCACGCATATCCTAAAAGATTAAAAGGAAATATCTCCAAAATAGGATCTGACATTGAAACAGAGCAGCAAATCTAGTGCAGAGCAATTTTGCAAAGTTCACTGTGAAATGCAAGGCATCAATTCTTTAACTCAACATTTTTATTGTGTAAATATTTAGATATACCACATGGAAAATGAAATTGAAAGCTAATATTTTCATGGGGAGGAGTTAAAAAGTGCTATTTTTAGAATTTCGAAAAAACATGGAATTTTAATTAAAATTTCAACTTTCTGATTTCCGTGCTCTAATCATAAGGTCGAGACCTTCAGCATTTTTTTATTTAGACACTCAGCTGCTTTTAAGCAAGCACAGGTCAAGTGGACAGCCAAAACCCACTTACGCGAGAAAGGAAAGTAATTGTTGTTTGACAAATACGTCAAAGAAAATGTCGAATCTAGAATGAAATATATGTTCATTCTACGGCTTGATTTTAATTAAAGAATTTTGTATCTTGTAGAACCAGTTTTGGATATGAACCAGTATTTGTTTGAAGGTCGGTTGGCTTTTCAAAATTTTGCATCATATTCACATGCGCAGTTAAAGTCAATGTTATTGTTTTCACGTCGCATGATAGATATATCACGTGGTAGGAACATTCGTGGTATTTATGGGAATACGCTAATCTCGAGTAAAAAGAATAAGAAAATTTAGAGAAAAGTGAGTCAAACAAAGAATGAAAAAGAAACTCTGGTTTATATGTTGCAACTCAGATTGATAATAAGTTGATTAAAATGCTTTAAAGAGCCAATACATGTAAATTATGCCTTCACCCTAATGTGCATGTCCATATGATGCACTTTCTCAATGGTAAAGACACATGGAAAGACTAGTAGCCATGAACAATAGGAATTTAGATTCGTCTCCACAACAATTACACGTTATAAGATAAAATAATATGATCAAAGGGCATTTGCTAGAATGGGTTTGCGCCTAGGGTCAATGACCATATTTTGTATTGTACGTGGTTTGGAAATTTTTGCATTCTTATCAGCATAGAAAAACTATTCTATAGTACTTTACGCGCGACGTTCGTCGTTCGATAGGAAATTCAATCGGTTCTTTATTGTGGCTTTAGATAAATGTTTTAATCTCCATTTTTTAAGACAATATCAACAACTGCATATATAACCTTAATATACCTTAACATAGCTTAAAACATATGTAATAACACGGTTTTCTTATAAATAACCACTTCTTAAGGAACCTACAAGTAGAAGGCAGAAAACATTTTTGAGAATCGATAAAAATGCAAACAATCAAGAGTTTGGAAGCCAGCTCCATTCATTTAGAGTTAAAAAAATACAATTTTTGTGTTACGAAGGTAGCTATCGAGTGCTTCATCATGTAATTTTGAGTGTTTCACTTTTCCTATTGATTAAATTTTCACCTTTTCTTATATCAAAGGTCCTTTTAGTCTTCTTTCTGTTTTTCATCTTGTTTTCTAGCTACAATTAAGAATCTACAGTTAACAAGACAGAT